TGAATCATATGAAATTATGTGTTTTTGTGTGCATGTGAGCAAATTACCTTGTTATGGTTGGAGTGAGTTGGAACATAACATGCTCACCAAAAAATTGCAGCAATCCATAAACCCATAAATATTTATAATAAAGAAAGAAAGAAAGTTTAGAAAAGGTAACAACTTTACTAGGCTTGACTCCTAACCTTTAGCTGGGGAAGAGAGAAGAGTTAGAAAAGATCCATGTGTTTTTTAAAGGTTTATTTGTTGAAATGCCCCATATGGTTTCCAAATAGTGACAAGACCTGACTCAAATTCCACTTTGGAATCCGAGCCAAACTCTGTGCGTGTCCGACACCTGGTGGGTGCCGGGCACAAATGACATGTTTGCCCACCTATTTAAAAAAAATTCAATCTATTCAAGTTTGACTTCTGCCGAAAATTCGGCAGTCTCCCCTTTAAGTTGAACATTTCCCAAAATTCCACATGTCAAATAAGCATATAAATATAACTCAATTGCCAGCATGCATATATATATATTTATATTTACATTCCAACAGTTAAATTTAAGGGTTAATTACAGTTTGGTACCCTGTGGTTACACCCTTAAGACATGTTAGTCTTTATCTTCTCAATTTTTACAATCAAATACCCAATCTTTTAAATTTGTTACAATGTGGTTTCGCTATTAGGGTTTCTGTTAGATTCCTCCGTTAGTTGCCTACGTGGCTCTATGGGTCCCACATTTTTAATTTAAAATTGATTAAAATATTTGCTTTGACAAAAAAAATTGCAGAAAAAGAGAAAAAAAAATCCTCCCAAACCAGGAGAAATTATAGAGTGATACGGTATCATCACGTAAGCGGGTGATACTCCCACTCAAAATCTAACATGTGTCAAATTTTAAAAAATAATTATATTTTTTTCAAAGTTGTACTTTGTCTTCCAACTTTACCCTGAATAAATTTTATTTAATTTTTTTATAAAAAACATGAAAAAGAAAACAAGATTGTAGCAGTGTCCCACCCAGATCCCGTTGGCAATCTGCCTCCCACGCACTACCGCCCCTTCGCTGCAATTCCCCTCCATGAATACCAACATCAAACAACACCACCCAAAAAGTGATTGATAAAATTAACAGAAAAAAGAAAAAAATAACTGATTTACTTGGTTGCCCATAACATCCATTATTACCTTTCTTTCAGCAGTGGGTTGTTAACTTATCATCATAGGAGATGCTTTTGAAAATTTCTGATTTGCACTTATATACATTCAAGATTTTTGGCTTTTTCTTAATGCATTTAACTTTTTTACTAAGATTGAGAGGGAGGGAAAGAGGGGTTGGAGATGTTGGATGAGAAGGGAGAGGAAGGCTGGGGTGGGTGGCGAGGGAAAAGAGAAGACATCTTGGTTGTGAGGGAGAAGTGAAGCACAGGGAAGACGGTGGGAGAGGGGTTAGGTCTAATTATTGTTGAAGGGTATACTTGGAAGATAAAATCCAGGTGTAATTTTTTTTAAATTTACTTTTAAAATTGATACGTGTTAGATTTTGAGTGGGAGTATCACCAGCTGACGTGGTGATACCGTATCACTCTATAATTTCTCGTATCGCGGGGAGAGAGGGAAAGAAAGAGGGAGAAAAGAGGTTTTAAAAATCTGATCTAGCAAATTACCATTTTGCCCATCAATGTATTTTGATCGTATTTTCCTCGTTATAAGTCCGATTCGAGCCCACTATGTGTCTACGAACTCGTTTCATCGTGCTCCACGCAACGATACAATCGAAATTTCCAAATTATTTCCCGGTCAAAAAGTCAACTTTAAACCTAATAAAATATTCTATGGGTATAATGGTCTTTTCTTAGAATAAATTAATAATTAAAAATTACTTAAGGATCAGGTTGTCACAACTAGTCTCAGTTTGCCCTCTAATATTTCAAATGACTCAATCTCCCCTTTGAACTTCCGTTATGTGACCAAGGTTGCCCGATTCTGTTAGGTTTCAGATAAAAACCGTTAAATAAGTTGAAGTGGAATGAGTATTTTGGTAAATTTAACTATTAAAAATTAAAAGATTCAAATTAAATATAAAAAAATGCTTGAAATGATTTAAAATAGGTTTTTAAAAAAAGATATAAAAATGTCCTTTTTTTTTAAAATTATCCCTAATTGTCAACTGTCACTACCATCTCCTTCATCTCAACTAGCCCCACTGCCCAACCAACCCACCCCACCTTCTCCCTTCTCTCTCTCTCTCTCTCTCGTCAACCCCCTCCCCTCAATTGTTAAAAGGCTAAAAAATCACAAATAAAATCACTAAATTGACTTCAGATTTCGCATATGTGGCAGTCTAGATCTCCCTTGGTGGCTTCCAAAGAAAGAGAGAGAATTGAGAGGAGAGAGACATAGGGTGAATTGTTAGTTAGGGTTTGGTGATGTCGAAGAGAGTGGAGAGCGGATTTTTTGGCACAAAGAGAGAGAGAGAGAGAGAGAGAGAGAGAGATTGCTCAATTTTTTGGGTACCTTTATTTTGACAGAGGAATGGGGATGGGAAAGGTGGCTTGGGTTGGTTGAGATTAGGGAGAAAGTGGTGGGGGCTAACAATTGAGGGAGAAAAAAAGGAGATATTTTTATCTTAACTCTATTTTAAATAATGTCAAGCATTTTTTTATTTATATTTATTTTGAATTTTGAATAGTTAAATTTATCAAAATACCCATACCAAGTCAGGTGATTTAACAGTTTGATCTAAAAACTAACGGAATGGAGCAACCTTGGTCACGTAATAGAAGTTCAGGGGGGAAATTGAGTCATTTAAAACGTCAGGGGGCAAACTGAGACTATTTGGAAACCACAGGTGGCATGTCAACAAATAAGTCTCTTTTAAACTATTATAAAAATAATAATAATAAAACATACATATTTTTCCTTTTCATTTTTTTTTAACTTGGAAGAGAAAAGGTACACTACATAAAAATAATTAGAGGAATGAAAAAAATGAAAAGGAAAAATATGATCAAGTTATACAATATTGTATAATTTTATACAAGATGACATACGTTACAATATTGTATAATTGTATACAATATTGGAAAAAAAGAAAGAAATATGACATAAGTATTCCTCTATACTTTTTTTAGCAGACAAATTATACAATATGACATACGTATATAAACTTTTCCTTTTATGATTTGAATGAGTTATTTTTGTATTTGCAAACAGTGTATATATTACTTTTTTTTTTTGGGACAAATCTTTATATTACATTGGTAACGTTGAAATTTGTATATAAAAATTGATTTTTTTTTCCTTTTTGGACTTGATTATAGGGGTGGGCACGGTACGGTATGGTACGGTATTGAGCCCGTACCGCTATTGGTATTGAAAATTTAAATCGGTATGGTACGGTATGAGATTATGGTTTGTCAAAATTAGTACCGTACCGTACCGTGCCAAATCGGTATTGGTACGGTATCGGTACCATTTCGGTACCAAAATGATACAACTAAAAAATGAACCAATTCAATATTCAACACTAAAATAAGTTATGCCTAAGTTACAAATTCAAAGATTCAACATATTCAATATCCAAATCCTAATCAATATCCATCAACATATTCAATAACAAAATCCTAATCAACATATTCAATATCCAAATCAACCAAATCAATATTTATCCATCAACATGTTCATCAAATCCAAATGGTTAAAACTCAAGCCTCTTACAAACAAAAATAGTTAAAATTATGTCTTATGGTTTACAAAAATACAAACACAATCCAAAAAAAAACATAAAGTTATACTATTCGGTACGGTAAGGTATTGACCAGTACCAAAATCTTGATACCGCTATCATACCATATTTTATTGGTACGATACGGTACGGTACCGAATATCTCCCCATAACAAATGAAACGGTATGAAATCGGTTTGGTATGGTGCGGTTAGGGTACGGTTTCAGTATTTCGGTTTAAGATGCCTACCCCTACTTGATTATATGTAAGAATTTTATATACCACCCTTTATGTGCTAGTGATTTAAGTCGAAGGGTAGGTTCCCCTTCATGATAACCAACCTCTGCCCCTCTTCCCCTTCCTATCTCTCACTTTCTTGTTGAACAAACCTGCTTTTACCTGGACAAATTAGTTTAACATCTGGGAAGTTCAAAACAAGAATTATCATCTGATAAGAATGTTCAGTTTCACTTCATATGCTGACCAAGTATCAATTGATTATATTGCGTGTTTTACTTGGTCATCTAATCATCATAACATAAATTGAAAAGAACAATGCGTTTAGTAAAACTAGAATGATGATGGGTAGAAAACAAGTGGTTAAATAATTCACACTTGCAACCAAAAATTATTACACTTGGACTGGTCTTTTAAATGATGATCCTCGAAAAAAGCAACAGAGAGGGGAATGCTAGCAACCTTTTCTTTAACCTTTTCCTTTGGACCTTCTCCCTTTTTTGCTTGACATATGCCATTCTCTTTACACTTAAAACAATGTTATTAATATATTATACAAGCTAACTTTTGCTTTTCAAGTTTACCCGTATTAAATGTATTCAATTTATCCCAAAAAATTTCACAGCTTTCTTACCATCTTATTAATTTTTTTCTAACGTCAATTATTTTTATGTATAAAGAAAATATGTGCTAAAAAAAAAGTAATAAAAGACAAAGGACTTGCATCTAAAACCAAAACGACGAGCACTTAGCCTAATGACAATTTAGATCGTTTTAGACCTAAGAAATCCTGAAAGAAAAAAAAAAAAAAAAAAAAAAAAAAAAAAATTGATGGTCATTGTTGGATTTAACAGCTACAGCAAGTGATACAATACAGATTGATGATGATGAAGATGAACTGACATGACTTTGTGATGGCCCTCATAGAATGCAAGTACTACGCACAAATTCTAACAAACAGCAAAACATATGAACCATTGGGACCATTGGGACCATTGAAGAAATTTTATTGTGATGGTTGATACACGGCACAAATGGAATAAATCACTCCTATTGTGGGATCTTGTTGAATTTCCGGTGTCGGTATTCAGCATATGTCTTGGTTGAGTATTTGGCAGGGTTTTTCTCTTCCAGAAGCTCCGGCAGAGGCCCAATCACAGCCTCGTGCGGAGGAGCAAGAAAAACAGCCCACGACATGCGCATACGTTCCTTGTTCACCAAGCTTCTGTGAAGAACACTCTTGTACTTGCCATTGCTCAAGACCTCCATCTGATCACCAATGTGAACAAAAACTGCATTTGGCAAGTAATTGACAGCAACCCAGTTGTCATCTTTCCACAGCTGAAGGCCTGGAACATCATTGGAGACTAGCAGGGTTAGGGCTGACATGTCAGTGTGGGGCTCAACTCCTAGGGCCAGTTGGGGTTGTGGGCATGGAGGGTACATGTTGATTTTCATTTCCAATTCTACTTCTTCATTTCCCAGATGAGATTTCAGAACCTTTGCTTCCAGCCCTAGACCCTCTGAAAGCACCTCCAGTAACTTGTCTGTTACTCTTAGCATCTCCTTGTTGTATTGGTCATTCACTTCCCTGTGTCAGACAAATTTTAGAGACTTTTTCAGTAACCCTCTTAATTTCAGAAAGAAAACAAAAAGAGGAAAAGACTTTATATGCCTCCTACAGTTGACCGTACATGCAAAAAGGACATATTAGTCTTCTGCATGCAAAAAGGAAAAGAGCAATAAAGAACCCAAGTAGAAACTGCTGAAAACTCAATAAATAAATAAAAACAGAAGAGGTACCTGTAAGATGGAGGGTTCTTAGGCCAGATTTCATAGTTGACCTTAGATGGAGGGGCAGTCAGATGGAAAAAATAGTCGATCCACTCGACCTTCTCGTCATGGTTCTTGGTCATCTTAGTCCCATACCCATCAAACCTCCCACTGGCTGGGTCATTTGCATAGGCCTCTTTCTCCTCCTGTGGGAGCAAAAAGAACTCATGCCCTACCTTCTGCAATTGCTGGATCAAAGGTGACGGTATGCCGTGGTCAGTAATGAGAAAGAAGCCCCATGCAGTGGCTGCCGCTGCCACCTCCTTGACCACAACATCATGAGGTTGAGCGAGGGAGATCACGGGCACCATGACTCCCTCTAGGGCCTTGCTATTCTCGGGCTGCTCGTGGGCTGGTCGAACGAACTTCACTGGAAGCTCGTTCAGCCCTCTGATGGCCAAGGTCTGCACTCTCTCCACCTCCATCACTTTTGTGTATATTTTTTTTGGGTCCCCCCTCTTCTTGTTTGGATGTTGAAGGACTAGGCTTAGGGTTGAAATGAAGTGAGGGGTGCAATGTGGTTATATAAGGTTTATGTCATAATGTCATTGCATATAATGCTTCACCTTTTGCATGCGCATGGGATCACTGTCGTCCCAGATGTTAGAAGGGCAGCTCCCACCAATAAAAAACATGCAACCTATATCCACCTAACATTCCACAAAATAATTTATAGGTTTGGAAGCTGGGCCTGCAGAGTTTGAGTCGATGAGTAATTGGAAGATAAATTGACATCTTCTAAGAAGTAATTGGAAGATAAATTGGAAGCTGGGCCTACTTTTTAAGGATTGTTTATTAGCATCTTCTAAGAAAATTGACATGTAATTGGAAGATAAAAGACCAATATGAAGTACGATGTAAATGAAGAGGGTGGGCGACAATTGGCGTTGATAAGGCATAGAAGAAGTATGGTATAATTAAGTTAACCTTTTTAAATAAAAAAATTTATTTTTAGTTATAATTAATTATAGAAATGCCCCTAAATTTAACGGAAACTTTAACATAATTAGACATAGATTGTGAATTGCAACACTTTACGAAGTTTAGATGATTAAAAAGAAAAATTAAAAGTTTAGGTGGTAATGACGTACGTGCCTAAAAATTCATGTTATATTTATTTAAATTTCCCTAAATAAAATCACCAAAAGAAAAATGATCCATTAACAGATTGAATTTCATCCCACTAGCTAGTGATGAGTGAGAGAAAAAACCATTAGATAGAATCATGGAAAATTGATTTGCTTTTGTCAGAATTCAAATACAAGATCAACAAAGCTAGATACGATGGCAGACATATTCCTTATTTTAATGAACACCCTTGGCCTTTGTAATAAAACACTTATTTTTTGTGTGATTGATAGGCACGTTTTTCTGTTTGAATTAAAAAATAAGGATTTGGTTGGAGATTCCTTATCTCCATCATTACGAAAATGGAAAATAATGAATGGCAGGGTAGGCTGTTTGCTTTGGGAAAAGCTCGTATCAAATGTTAAGTTACAATTTTTATAATTTATGGGTCAAATAAAGCTTACGTGGTATAATCCTAGTCGCTGGACCGCGATTCATCAATTCAAAGACAACAGAAGTTCTACGAAGTATTCGCTGTTTTTATGAAGACTTGCACGCAAAGCTCCGCATTTTAATCAAATTTAATCGACTAGTGGAGAAGATGAGTCCTTACCTACTCCAAGACTCCACCTCACCCTGACTTTAAATATATAAAAAAGTTCTTTCTTTTTCAACATGTCATGGAGGACAGCATCTATTTATTTTTTATAGAATAAAGAAACATTTGGCTAATCATTCGTTTTCTTTTATATAGATTTTAAATGTAATTACAGTTTAGTACTTTCTAATTACAACCTTAAGACATATTAGTCCTTATCTTTTTAATTTTTACAATAACATAACCTGGTTTTTAAATTTGTTACAATGTGGTTCCACCGTTAGGTTTTTTTTTTACTCTCTCTCTCTCGGCACCTCATTTCCATTTCTTTCTTGGTTTTGCATTTTTCTCAGTTTCTTCAGAAAATCCATGGACAACAACAATCAGCCTCTCTCTCTCTTGACACCTCATTTCCATTTCTTTCTTGGTTTTGCATTTTTCAGCCCAAAAGTCCTCAGACCTTCAACAAAAAAAAAACCTCCTTTTCACCAAAATTTTATCCTTAGTTTTCACCGCCAAAACCCAGATGCCATTAACAGCCTTGTCAACCCAACATGACCCAAAATCCAGCTCAGAAGCCCGATCTTCATAAACCCAACTCAAGTTATTTACAGAATAAATTGGGGGGAAGAAGGGGGGAAGAAATTAGAGCAACTCCTGCGAGGAGCCCAACCTCTATCTGGGGGGAGAAAAAAAAAATCCAGTTCCAGCGAGGAGCCCAAGTTGGGATTGGGAGTGGGACCCACAAAGACGGGCTGGCCCGAAGGCAGCTCTAGCCCAAGTTCGAGCCCGAGGGGGGAGATGACGTCAGCTCCCTACGCTCCACCAACAGCTAGAAGACATGTGTCGTCGTCTGGGCGCTCCGATCGCTTGCTCTTCTCCAATCCAATGGCTGTGCCTTTTTTTGCTATAACATTATGAAAAAAATTCAAAATTTTTTAAATAAAATACCAAAAAATTCTGGAATTTTTTTTTTCTATAAATACCTACCAATACTCTTCACTTTCAACACGAAATCCTCATACATTTTCTTCTACTTCTACTATTATTTGAGCTTTTTTTTGCTATAAAATTATGAAAAAAAATACCAAAAAATTCTGGAATTTTTTTTCTACAAATACCTACAAATATTCTTCAATTTCAACACTAAATCCTCATACGTTTTCTTCTACTTCCACTATTATTCACTTTTTACTCAACATTTTATTCACTTTTAAATTGTATTTTTACTTATCATCTTATCCTAAAATTTTATCCGATTGAGATATGAGTTTTATAATAAATATTGACACGTACGAACCCAAAAATCTTATTAAAAAATATTGTCCAAATTAATTGTTTAGATAAACAAATTTGTGAAAAAAAAAAACAAAAGAATAGTATTTGCCCTTTGCCATGGCAACGGGTGGAACCACACATGCATAGTAGCTGCCTTAGTTCCCCCATTGCCATAGCAAAGGGCAAATGGGTGGAGTTGCTCTCCTAGAGCATGTCTAGCGCCCAACCCAAACTGGGTGAAAGGCTGCCAGGGCGAGCCCGAGATGGCTCCAGAGCAGGGCATGTAGCCCGGTTTCATGGTGGGTTCCACGAGCCCGAGGAAGCCCAAGGGCAAGTCTTGCCCGGGCTGAAGCCCGAGTTTGGTGACGTTAGCGCTGGCGTCACGCTGACGCCAGCGCACGGTAACTCAAATTTTTTTTACCGTTGGCGCGTGAATTACACGCGCCAACGGTAAAAAAATTTGACTTCCGTGCGCTGGCGTCAGCGTGACGCCAGCGCTGACGTCACCACCTGACAGCCTCCAACGGGCGTTTGCCACGTGGCGCGACAGGGGCGCTCGGATGGTTTTTTTCCAGAAATCCGACGGTCCTCTTTTTTTGGCTAAAAAAATCGAAAAAATTCTGAAATTTTTTTTAAAAAATACCCAAAAATTATGTATTTTTTCTCTATAAATACCTAACTATTTTATTTACTTTCCACACTAAATCTTCATACAATTTCTTCTCCATCCAATATTTTTTACTCTCCACTCACATTATTCACTTTCCACACCAATTCTTCATACAAACTTTTCTCCTTCCAATATTTTTTTTATCTCCACTCACATTTTTCACTTCCACACCAATTCTCTATACAAACTCTTCTCCTTCCAATATTTTTTACTCTCCACTCACATTTTTCTACTACTTTCCATTTGTATAAAAAAACGAATGGCATCTTCTGTTGAAGTCGGAGGCTCGTGGTCAACGAATGAAGATATTGCGTTGTGTCAATCTTGGGTCATGACCCTATCACGGGCAATGAGATGAAGTTTCATCACGGGCAATGAGATGAAGTTTCATCACATGTGGAGCAAAATTCATGGAGAATTTTGTCAAAGATCGGGTTCTATTCGGACCGAAATGGCATTGTCTAGTAGATGGAAACTTCTAAATAAAGAGTAGATGGAAACTTCTAAATAAAGAGTTAGGGAAATGGAGAAATGCCTTGACAAAAGCAAAGGCGAACATTTAAAGCGGTCAAAATTTGACCGATGAGGTAAAATATTTATAATTGCCATTTTAATCAATTCAATGTCATTTTTTTTTATTGCATATTCTATTTGTTTTTCTTGCATAATTTCTTTTTGCTTGGTGCACCTTTAATTTGTCTATATTTTCTTGCATAATTAATTTTATTTTTTCATTTCAAAATAGTTTATATTTTCTTGCATAATAATTTTGTTTCTTGCACTTCCAATTATTTATTTTTAATAGATGACACAAGCACAAATGTGGTTCGGTGCCATGGGGAAAGGCAAAAAAAGTTTCGTGCATTTCCATTGTTGGGAAATTGTGAATGATTGTTCGAGATTCAAAATTATTCACAGCGGTCAGCCGGTTGTGATGAATGAGACGCCACTCCACGATTCGACATCAACCGATTCTCCATTGGACTCCCCAATGGAAACGGAGTCACCATTTGTGCCACGTCCGCCGAGACCTATTGGGAGAAAGGCGGCGAGGGCCAAGAGATGGGGCACTTCAACCAATGAATGTGTACAATTATTGGAGCAAATAGCTAAGAGCACCTCACTAAGAATGGAGAGAGACTTGAAAAGAGATGAAATGGACGTGGCACGAGAGGAAGCATTTGTTATTCAACAACAAAAGGCACAAGAAAAAGACATAGAGGATAGAGAGATGAAAATCATGGCCATGGATACGAGCCATATGTCTCCCGAAACAAAGGCCTATTGGAAGCTACGACGAAGAGATGTGATGAGAAGAAAACTTTTCCATGACGACGGACCTAGCAATACGGATTGGTTAAATGATGAAAACCATTAGGTTGTATTGAAACACCTTTGCCATATGTTGTATTGTTGTATTATCCTTTAATTTGTTGTATTGTTTCCTTTTTATTCAATAAAAAAAGCATTAAATAAAATGACTATTTATTCAAAACATTTGAGCATCAAAACAAATATTAATTAAAAAAACCTTCATTTATTGCAAACAACACACAAAACAAACCATACATAAAAGCATAATAATAATAAAAAGCATAATTCCAAAAAACACCACACACAAAATAAAGCATAATTAAAAACAAAGCATAATTCCAAACAAAGCACTAATCTTGACTTCATCCATTGTGATTGCCTTTCATCTCCCACAAGTGCTCGACCAAGTCACCTTGATGTATCTCGTGAACATATGAAGATTGCATTTCTTGATACCGATCAATCATTGGGTTGTTGAATTGACCATCCCGAAGTAACGGTTTGGGCTCCAGTGGTAGTCCATTTGGTCCAATCGGCCTTTCATATATTCTTATCAACGATGTGTTCATTGGATCGGGTTCAAACACCTCTGGAGCGTCATAGTCATAGTCATCCTCCACAATCATGTTGTGGAGGATGATGCAAGTCATCATAATACTCCGCAGCACCTCCTCATCTAGCATCCGAGCAGCAGTTCTAATAATTGCCCAACGAGCTTGCAAGATACCGAAACACCTCTCCACGTCTTTCCTGTAACCTTCTTGAAAGGAAGCAAAGTTTCTTTCCTGCTCGGATTGGGGATTCGGAATTGTTTTCACGAATGTCGTCCACCTAGGATAAATTCCGTCGGCAATGTAGTACGCACCAGAGTAAACGGTATTGTTGATTTGGTACGTGACCTGGGGGGAATGACCTCGCAATACCTCGTCGAACACCGGGGATTGACCAAGGACATTGAGGTCATTCTGAGATCCGGCAACCCCGAAGAAGGCATGCCAAACCCAACAGTCGAATGAAGCTACGACCTCCAAAATTATACTTTTTTGGCCCTTCCGATTCCCGTACTCTCCTTGCCAAGCAGTAGGACAGATCTTCCACTGCCAGTGCATGCAATCGATGCTTCCAATCATTCATGGGAAACCTCGAGCCTCGCCTTTTTGTAGAAGCCTTTGCAGGTCTCTTGGCGTGGGTTTGCGAAGGTACTCCATCGTGTACAAATTTTCCACTGCATCACAGAATCTCACCAAGCACTCTAGGATAGTAGATTTTCCCATCCTTGCAATCTCATCCACCTGCTCTGCAGATGCCCCATAAGCAAGCATCCGCAAAGCAGCTGTAAGTTTTTGCTCCGGGATAAGACCCAAAGCTCCAACAGCATTATGCTTTTGAATGAAGTATGTGTCGTAATTACAAATATCATGCATGATTTTTTGGAACAAATGTGGCTGCATTCTATATCTTTCTCGAAACTTAGAAGCAGGATATAACGAATTTGGGATAAAATAATCCTCCATGAGATTCTTACCCCGAGACTCCCTACGTCTGTCCACATTTGGGGCACGACGACGACGGTGTTGCCTTGATTGATCCATCATACACACCGCTGCTGCAAGCATTTGTTCCTCTTCTTCATCGGCGTCCCGATCTTCTTGAGCACGTCTACGCCGGATTTCTTCCCTTTGTTTTTGTTGCCTCTCCAACACCCTCGACAAGTTTGACATTGAGAGTAGAATGTGTTTTCTAAAATATGAGAAATGAAGGAATATATAAGAGATGGTGTGAGAGGTATGAGTTGATGGTGTAGTTTTATAGAGGGATTTAGAAGATAGAGATGACACGTGGCACAATTTTAGAGGATGAAAATCTTATCTAAAATCTGAAATTATAATTTTTTTTAAAATATCTGAAAATCTTATCTGACATGGGACACGTGGCACAATTTTAGAGGGTGAAAATCTTATCTGAAATATGAGATTATAATTTTTTTAAAATATCTGAAAATCTTATCTGACATTGGACACGTGGCACAATTTTAGAGGGTGAAAATTTTATCTGAAATATGAGATTATAATTTTTTTTTCAATATCTGAAAATCGTATCTGACATGGGACACGTGGCACAATTTTAGAGAGTGAAAATCTTATCCGAAAATTTAATTACAAAAGATTATCAAAATTAATGGTTTAAAGTATAAAAAAAATAGGAAATAAAGTACAATGAATAGTAATTGCCTTAGACTTGCCCTAGACTTTGCCCTCAGAGCAACTCCACCCATTTGCCCTTAGCCATGCCAAGGGGGGGAGCTAGGGCAGCCACTATTCACGTGAATAGTGGTTGCCCTTGCAAAATCAGAATTTTGTGTTTCCACCCGTTGCCCTAGCTAAGGGCAGTTACTATTCATTTTTTTGTTTTATTCACAATTTTTTTTACCTCAATAATTAATTTGGATAATATTTTCGGATAAGATTTACGGGTTCCTACGTGTCAACACTATTCATAATTGGATAAAATTTCGGGATAAGATTTTTGGGTTCAAATTTCGGATGAATTTCAAAATTCAAATTTCAGATAAATTTTTGGGTTCAAATTTCGAATGAATTTCAAAATTCAAAATTCAGATGAATTTGGGTTCAAATTTCGGATGAATTTCAAAATTCAAAATTCAGATAAATTTGGGTTCAAATTTAGATAAGATTTTCATCCAATCAAATCAAGCCACGTGGCATCTCTATCTTGCCAAATTTGTCTATAAAACCAGAGGCTCACATCATACCTCTCACACCACATCTTTCAATATTTTCATTTCTTAGAGTTTAGAATTCATACTCCATTCATTCTCAATGGAAGAATATAGGAGATGCTTGGAGAGGCACGAGAGAGAAAGAAAGGAGAGAAACCGTAGAGCCGATGAAATCAATGAGTTGCAGAGGCAAGTCGATGAACAAGTTCTCATAGCAGTGGCAATGGAAGAGGAAGAGAACCAAGGTCGCCGCCGTGGTTCACAAGTCGGCCGTCGCCGGAATGTGGACAGACATAGGCATTCTCGGGGTAAGAATCTTTTGGAAGATTATTTTATCCCAACTGCTTTGTACTCTGATGTTGATTTTCGAAGGCGATTTAGAATGCAACCTCATTTGTTCAATAAAGTCATGCATGATATTTGCAATTATGATGCATACTTTGTTCAAAAGTGTGATGCTACTGGGGTTTTGGGCCTTCTTCCGGAGCAAAAGCTTACAGCTGTTATACGAATGTTGGCGTATGGAGCATCTGCTGATCAGGTGGATGAGGTTGCCCGAATGGGGAAGTCCACTACGTTGGAGGCTTTGGTAAGATTTTGTGATGCAGTTGAAAATCTGTACATTAGGGACTACCTGCGTAGACCTACTCCCAGGGACCTCCAACGGCTTCTACAAAAAGCCGAAGCTCGAGGATTTCCAGGAATGATTGGTAGCAGCGACTGCATGCATTGGCAATGGAAGAATTGCCCAACTGCCTGGCAAGGTGATTACGGAAATAGAAAAGGCACAAAAAGTATCATCCTGGAAGCCGTTGCTGGCTTCGACACATGGGTTTGGCATGCTTTCTTCGGAGTTGCCAGAGCCCAAAATGACCTCAACGTCCTGGGTCAATCTCCGGTCTTCAACGATGTTTTGAGCGGCCAAGGCCCCAATATTACCTATCAAGTCAACAATACAGTCTACCAGATGAGGTATTATCTAGCTGACAGTATCTACCCAAGGTGGACCACATTTGTCAAATCCATTCCGAATCCCCGATCCCATAAGCAAAAATTATTTGCTACCTATCAAGAAGGATACAGGAAAGATGTCAAAAGGTGTTTTGGCATCCTTCAAGCTCGATGGTTGATTGTTCGAGGTGCGGCCCGTATGTTTGATGAGGAGATCCTCCGAAGCATTATGATGACTTGCATCATCCTCCATAATATGATTGTGGAGGATGAGTACGATTATGATGCTGGAGAGGTCTATGAGCCGGATCCAATAAACACGGCGATGACCCGGATTTATGAAATGCCCATGGGACCAAATGGAGAACCGTTTGAGCCGGAACTGTTGGTGAGGGACGATCGTATAATGACCCGGATGATAGATCGATATACAGAGATGCAATCTTCGTATATTCATGAAAGCCGTCAACTTGACTTGATAGAGCATATATGGGCGGTGAAAGGGAATGAAGATGAATGATGGAGCATAGATGCTTTGGTTATGTTTTATTTACTTATGGTTTGGTTGTGTTGTTTTTTTATTTATTATTGTGCCTTGTTTGTAGTTTTTGTTTTCATTTTAATTATGTTATGTTTGATGTATGGAATATGTTGAACAAAATGGTCTTTTATTGAATGCTTTGTTTATTAAATAAAGAAATCCAATACAAGTCATTAAGAATTACTACTACTAAAATAAAATACATGAAGTACACAAACTTTAATACAAAACATGAAAAATAAAAATACATAAAAGGTATGCCAACTAATTTAATGGTTTTGATCATTTAACCAATCCGTGTTGCTAGGCCCATCATCTTGGAAAAGTCTTCTTCTCATAACATCCCTCCGTTCTAGCTTCCAATATTGTTTTGTTTCGGGGGACATATGACTTGTATCCATTGCCATGGTTTCCCGATCCGTCTTCTGCATATCTTTTTTGCGCAAATACTCCTTTTCTCGTGCACACTCGGCTTGAATTGCCACCTCCATATCTTGGCGTTTCTGCTCCATTTCAATTCTTATGGAGTTTTGCCTTGCAATTTCCTCCAAAAACTTTGAATTAAAATTGCTTGAATTACCCGCTTTCTTTGCCTTCGCAGCCTTTCGGCCAATGGGCCTCGGTTCTTTTTGGATGGGTGAGTCTTCACTCATAGGGGAATCGAGAGGTGAATCCGATGTCGTTGAATCACGGAGAGGCGTCTCGTTTAACACAACGTCGGGACCCGTGGGAATAATTATGAACCGTTTACAATATTTCACCACCTCCCAACATTCATGATGGGTGAACCTTTTTTTGCCACCCCTGGTTGCACCAAACCACATCTGTGCTTGAATGAGCTATTTAACAAAAAAATGGCAATGCAATAAATATTTAAAATATATTGGATATGCAAGTAACAAAATAAAAATAATGGAAATGCAATTAACCTTACAAATAAATTGGAAGTGCAAGAAATATGAAGAAACAATTGGAAATGCAATAAATATTAACAACATATTGAAAATGCAAGAAATATGAAGAAACAATTGGAAATGCAAGAAATATTAACAACATATTGAAAATGCAAGAAATATTAACAAAATATTGAAAATGCAATAAATATTAACAACAAATATATATTAGGACATTAAACTTAATAAAACGAAAATTACAAAATACTTACCTCGTTAGTACGATTTTCCCCACTTCTATACAAGTTCATCGCTTTTGCCAAGGCATCTCTCCATTTTGCCATCTCTTTGTTGAGAAGTTTCCACCTACTCGACAATGCCATTTCCGTACGAGGCGAGTCCGGAATTTTTTCGCAAAATTCGGCATGAATTTTTTTCCACATATGGAAAAATTTCATCTCATTGCGTGTCACGGGACAATGACAAACTCGGAGTCAAGCCTCACACAAAGAAACATCTTCCATGGTGCTCCACGCCCCTCCGGTTTCAATAGAAGAAGCCATAAAAATAAGAAATAAAATACAATGTGAAAAAGATGAAAATGTTAAGTGAAGAGTGAAAAAATGTTGAAGAATTGTAGAAGTAGAATAAAATGTATGAGAATTGGTGTTGAAAGTGAAGGGTATTTATAGGTATTTATAGGAAAAAAAAATCAGAATTTGAAAGTATTTTTTAGTATTTTTTTAAAAAAAAAATCGATTTTTTTTCATAATTTTATTGCTGGAAAATCGCCAGCCGTTGGATGAAGGCTGTGGAATCAAATCGGAGCGCTGGGGGCGTGCCACGTGGCTTCCAGCCGTTGGGCCTGCGTCGCGCTGACGTCAGCGCACGCTGGTTCAAAATTTTTTTACCGTTGGCGCGTGCAATGCACGCGCCAACGGTAAAAAATTTTTGATTACCGCGTGTCGACGTCACCCTGACGTCGACATGGCGTCAGCCCCCGTGTTTTGGACCTCGGGTAAGACTTGCCTTCGGGCCAGCCCGAGGAGGTGGGTCCCACCCCCCCCCCCGGCCTGGGCTGCTCCGCTGGAACGCCATTTTTTTTTCCCCCCTAGCCTCGGGCTGGGCTGCACGGGTGGAAAGGCTCTCATGGGTGGAATCACAAATGCATAGGCTGACACGATTCACGTGAATAGTGGCAGCCCTTGCTTGCCCTTGCCTTAGACTTAGCCCTTGTGGGTAGCGATGCTCTTAGGGCTGGGGTGGAGGGTGAGAAGAAATCTCTTTTTTGAGCGGTGGGGGGGAAGAAATCGGAAAATAAAGTATACATGGCTGAAGCCCAAAACAACAGAACAAGCCCAAACAAATACGTGCAGGTATGTCATATTTTCTTTCGGGCCGGCCAGCAGATGGCCGTTAACTTAAACAATGCTTACCCGCCAGATCCGGCTTAACCGACCAAGTTACACGTCGAGAACACCCGATTTTCATCCAATAGAATAATGCCACGTGGGAAACACCTTAAACTTGACGTTGTTATAGCCAATGAAAATTGAGATGACGCGTAAAATACTAAAATTAATTACGGCAAAAATTAACTGTTTATATATTTGCTGGATTCAATCAAGGAAGAGCTTCGAAGACTTTCTTGAGTTTGGACTCTGAACCCATGGCGTACGTTGAGCGAGGTTTTTCTCTCTCTCTCTCTGTGCCTCCGTTTTCGTAATTTCGTAAATTCATGTGATGAATGTTGGGTAGCCTGAATCGGTTTCAAAAGCTAGGGTTTGATTTTTGAGCTATTTTTTCCTCTCTCTTTTTTTTCTTGTATTATGCGATCGGTCATGAATTTCTTTTGAATTAGGGTTTGATTATCAAATTATCTCTAAATTCTGGGTTTACAATTGCTTTTTGGTCCGCATGTATTTCTATCTTACAATTGCTTAATTCCTGATATTTTCAATGTTGTAATTAGGGGTTTGATTTTTATTTTTTTTTTCCTTTCAATTTTATACATTTACGCTACTTACCTAGCTTAATTAGCAATTAGATGGGACAGAATTGTATAGCATAAGCAGCTTGTGCCAGCTTTTGCTGGCTAAATACAGCTTTTTTCCATTTTCATGTTATTTATGGATCATGGTGGATTGAGATTTTATTCTTTCTGTTCTGTTATGTTGCTTTTGCATCTTCATGCTATATTTCTTGCTTTGGGTACTGTTTGGTTTCTGGAATGAACTTGCGAAAGGAATCAAATCAAAATAAGAATGAAATGTGAAGAGATTTAGCGGGTAAGGCACGGAAATTGAACATTAGCAGGGAATATAATTGGGATTATGTGTTATTTTTTGGGACAGGACATTAGGTATATAATACAGCTTTTTCCCATTTTCATGTTATTTATGTATCATGGTGGATTGAGATTTTTTTCTTTCTGTTCTGTTATGTTGCTTTTGCATCTTCATGCTATATTTCTTGCTTTGGGTACTGTTTGGTTTTTGGAATGAACTTGCGAAAGGAATCAAATCAAAATAAGAATGAAATGTGAAGAGATTTAGTGGGTAAGGCACGGAAATTGAACATTAGCAGGGAATATAATTGGGATTATGTGTTATTTTTTGGGACAGGACATTAGGTATATAATACAAGCCATTCTATTCCAAGGTTCGTTCCAATGAAACCAAGACTACTTTACAATGAGTTCTTTTGTTGTGTTTTCTTTATATGTTGGAAACATTGACGCTTACATGTACCTTAATTAGTTTGACTTTGCTCGTTTAGTGATCTATGTTGCTTTGTTAGTTGCGAGCTCAGTTTCTTCTACTAATTTAGGGCTAAGTAGCCCCTTCTCCTATTGAATACCTGACTCTAATCTCTAGTAAGTTGGTCATATATAAGTGTTGATGAGAATATGTTCACTTTGAAACATTGATGCTTACATGTATCTTAAGTAGTGTGACTTTGCTCGTTTAATGATCTATGTTGCTTGGTTAGTTGCAAGCTCAGTTGGTTCTACTAATTTATGGCTAAGTAGCACCTTCTCCTTTTGAATACCTGAATCTAATCTCTGGTAAGTTGGTCATATATAAGTAATGATGAGAAAGCAGGGGTCGAAGGGCATCGATGATTTTATATAGGCCAGACTTCTGAAACTGAAATTGTATTTGTTTTAATGCATGATCTTCTGCTGAGACTGGGGTTAGTAAGGTTTTTTTGGACACTGTACAATTAAAGATGCTTTTGGCATTATTAGGTGGTGGCATGGGGACTAAATTAGCCGTTTACAGTTGTGAACATTTGTTTCTAGATGAATTTGTTGAGTTGAACTGTTGGTTTAAGCAAAATTATAATGTTCATACTCTCCTTCCTCATGGATATTATCATCAGTGGAGCTGACCAATTGGTAATTTGCATACTTACTCTTTTAGGTGTTGTGAAATCCAAGCGATCCATTTGGCGACTCAAGACGATAACCGACTTCTTTTGGGCCATTGTCAACCTCATAGGCGTGTTTTTTGCTACAATGTTCTCGGTAATAAAGAGAGTCTCTCTGTATCTTGATCGCTTACTTTTGGAAGTATCAAATTAATTTGTCTACGAAAAACTTATGTTGTCAATACTTTCATGGCCTAGATGGAAAAGTCGGATGCTTACAGAAAAGGATTAGCTTCTGGAAAGAAATGGGATGGTGGTGGCCCCGGAGGCCCTGGAGGGGGACCATATGGTGGTCGTCCACGTGGACCACCTCGTGGTCTAGACAATGTTCGTGGAATTGACCATAGTAAGTCCATTCCTCCCTCCATTAAATGTTTGTCCTCTTTTTTTTGTTATTTATTTATTTTAAATCTCCGCTAAAATTACTTCTGTTCAACTCTCAGGTTCTCTACCTGCCTGTGGTTCCTGCTGCGGTTAAAGGGGGAAGAGCATATTGTGTATCTGTCATTGTGCGTCGAAATGGTTGGTTTCAAGTTTAGGAGTGGTTATTTAGTACATTTAATGCACATAGATCATATAGTGGGCATGAACAGGGAAGAGAAAAACTATTATATGCAATAATCAACTGCATTTGCCATCTTCGGATGCTTCTACTTTAGTACTCATCTGGCTGTTTAATTTTCATTTTTCCAATTTAAATGTGGGTGTTTTATCTGTGTAAATGCTGTAAGAGAGCCATGATGATATAATTTCAAGGATGTGAATCTTTTAGATTTTATTGTTGTCTTCCGAGTCATGTAATCCCATGACCTGGTGGGTTCTCATCACCGATGATCATATTTAACTTATCCCATGACCTGGTGGGTTCGCATGGCCAATGTTCATATTTAACTTAACCCTATGGTTAAAGTTAACAAAGGTTGGTCGACATGTGTAATTTTGCGGTGTTTTTACGACTCTTTCCACACGACATATTCTGAAAGTACTTGCTCATTTGTAGTGTGTAATATTTGTGCGCTCTAATTGTTTCCATGGCTGCCATACTTTGTGCCATGCTAGTCTTGATTTGCATGGCCAGTGTCGTGGTATTGGCACCTTAACGCAACGGTGCTGTGATTTGGTTCAGTGCTGCAGTGGCCATTAATTCTCGGAGGATAATATTTGGTTTTAACACAATCCGCCTCCGTATTTTCTCATCGTTTCTCTTTGAAAATGTCGTATCGTTTTGATATGTTTGTAGTAGATTTGGATTTATGATTGAGAGATGGCAGACTCAGTTTTCTTTCCTATTTGCAACACCCATGGAGGGAAATTCTGCAATATGTTTGTTTTTTTTAAAAGAATACAAGCAAGTCTAAATTAAATCACGATTCACAGGCAAATCCCGAATGCAAACTTTTTGGTATACAGCTATACTCATTGAATACCAAGCCCAAAGGTTGAAACAATGAGTAAAATCCACGTGTTTAAACAAGTTTTTACTTGTGATTTAAAGTCAATTAGAGAAAATTTTGATGTAAGCTGCCAGTTGTTTTTGGCATGTTTGACAAGTTATATCTTCTAGGAGGAGTACTGTTACTTGCCTTATTGTCCTTAGCCTCCCAAGGACACGATCTTAAGTTAGTCCAACTAAAACTCGCCTATGGTAGTTCTCCTTCACGTGGATTTGACAATACAATCATAAACTGTCTAATAAGTGCCGTTTTTCTTGTAATGATTGAAACTTAAAATGTTATTAGAGAACAAAAAACTAAGTTATCACACATATAGATAATTGTAAGCCGTTGATATATAAGTTCTATAATCCGTCAATGGCTATAATTGTGAACAACTAATGCTAGCACTGTATAATGGAAAGAGGAAAGGGATGAGAAGGATAGCCATGTTTTAGGGTGGGCAAAGGTGTGCGGTAGGTATGCATTTAGTTTGGGCAATAGTAAATGACTAGATGCATCCTAGTACTCATGGCCAGGCCAGGCCAGGGGTCCTTCTAGACAGGGATGGAAGGCAAGAAGTACCTCTTGAGTATTAGGTCATTTCTGAACCTTTTCGATACAAGTTATTAGGGTAAGGTCATGTCATGCATGTGATCAGTAATTGCTCAATTTATTGCCTCTCCATTTCCTGTCCGCGTAAATCATTCAACCACCCTTCAATTATTTTTCTTTTTTGCCCAAACACAGAAATGATGTTTGTGTATGGTAATGGAATAAGGGCACCTAAGCAAAGTAACTCTCATTATGATTGTTGTACCAGAGTTAAAAAAGAAAGAAAATACTACGTTTTCCGGCCAAACAATTGTTGTGCGTCTCCGTGATGGTAGGCGAAGAATAAATCTCAAGGTATATGCTGTTTGGTGTTTGGTGTAAGGGAGAGAATGAATAGGTTATAGGATTAACTACTATTCCTAATCAATGGATTTTCACATATTGGATTTCGAACTGCGTTGTGGAATTTATGTACTTTATGATTTTGTATGTGCTTGTAAGCATAGAAGAAGAAGTCAGGAATTATAATTATTCCAATATCTACTCTAAATAAATAAATATACCCTCATGGGTTTCTCATTCCCTATTTCATAGATCTATGTTCCCACATCAAAGCTAACTCATCACGAAGCATGTAGAATACCAAACATATAAGAACCAAATCTTATATCTATTCCTAAACCCTTAATCCCACAAACCAAACGCCACCTAAAACTTGAACTCAATTTTCTTGGTTGTCTTCACTGATTAAGAAAGAAAGTATCACTAAACTAATAACCAGTTGATTATCTAATACTCTTTTTCTTGTGACATTTTAAAAGGAAAGAAAAAAAACACTTATCCCAATTTTGTTACAGAGCGCATGATATGACCACATCACATTTAAGAAAAATCGTAAATCACATGATTACTTAATTAAGGGGAAAAAAGAGAGGAAAAAAGATAGAATATTTGTGAGCTAGCTAACATTAAGAAGTGACGCCAGAATCAAATGTGGGTTAAGTCAATTGGCCGGGGCAGTGAGTCATTGCACCCAAGTTTGAATAATCATATCCGTAAATTAGGTTAATTTAGAATCATTTAAATTATCGCTTGTATCAAAAAAGTATTGATGGTACAAACAGATGTTTAAAAGAACATTAGCAAAAGACATCACTCTTTTTAGATTACTCGGCAGATCGTATCAGTAGTTTTTACAGTTTCTTAACTTTTTTCAGAATGGATTTCAGTTTCTGATAAAGGTAATAAGTACTAATTAATAACGTTTAGGATATATCTAACTTTGTTGTCGTTATATCTTTTGTCGATCTCTTTAATGCCGGAGGTATTACATCTTTGGTCCCTCTGTCACTTCCATAAACTCGTGACTCATTCCGAAAAAAAGACTTCTCAACAACCAAAGAAAAGCTCTTGCCAACTTTACTGCTCAAATCTAGTGCCTTCTAGATCACCTCTGTACAAGGTATTGCTACGATTCCACCACCTTTTAATTTCTTTTGGTTATAAAGATAATAAATCTTATTGTCTAAATTTATTTCTAAAGAAAAAGAAAAACTGCAATCTTATATTCACATTTTGAGAGTCCTACAATTTTATTGGAAGATCCAATATATAGGTTGATTCAGAGAGTATAGAAGATGAACTAATTCAAGGTTGTGGGGCTTATCTGAATATTTGTTTTCTCTTGTATTGCACTATTTGATTTTTGGTTGACTTGTAGTTAATTGGGTTCTTTAGGGGTTACGTGTAGTTGTAATAAATTGGCATGATTTTATTTATTTATTTTTAATTTTGTTATTTTGAGGACCTTTCCTATTGAGATGAACAATACCATACTAAATTCATAGACACTACACAGATGCTAGGACTCGAACCAGGACATTGCATGAAAGCGCAAATTGTCATGAATTTTGGAGTTCGATAGAGGTTTAGGTTTAGGTTTGTAATTAATTTATGAAAAAAATTATTCGGATTTGTTAAACTTAAAAAATATGGGACTGGTCCTAATGAAAAAAATATAGAGAGAGACTAGCATGTAGAATCCCCTAAATTTCCTCTAACATTATCTAAACGAACAAGATCAAGTGTCCCCCACCAAGTATTGTGCCCTCTCAATCAGGCAACTGCCCTAGATCATAGCCACTGCTCTGCCATTGAAAGTAACAAAAAGAATGTAGGGTTTAGATTTTATGCTTATATTAGGAATGCTAATGAGTGAGTTGATTAAAATAGTCTTGATCTCCTCTTGTTTTGAGAGAGTTCAAGAGAAAATTTGTGGGTGGAGACAGCAGCAGTAAAAATAGCAACACTATTTTTCTTTTGGCAGTGGGAAAAAGGGCAGTTCAACGCTAGCGAACAGCAACGAGCCACGTACGCACCATATTTATGAAAGTTTCTTCACATACAAGAAATGGTTAATTTGTTGGCACACCCCAAATATAAATGCATGCTTCATGCCAAGGGTTTGAGCTGAGACAAAAGCCAAGATCAAACCCTTCACCACATTATCTATCTCTTTTGTTTTTCTCAGGCGATCGATATATCGAGAAATATACAAAATGCAATCGGAGGCTGAGAGAGTGCAAGACATTGCTTTAATGTCTAAAGACAGCATCCCAATCGACTTCATTAGGTCAGACCATGAGCAACCAGGGATCACAACCGTCCATGGGAAAGTCCTGGAGTGCCCAACCATTGATTTCAGCAACCAAGATGACGAAAAGATCCTGAACCAAATTGTGGAGGCTAGCAGGAATTGGGGAATGTACCAGATTGTGAACCATGACATTCCAAATGAGGCCATAAGCAAACTGCAAGCTGTTGGGAAGGCATTTTTTGAGCTTCCGCCAGAGGAAAAAGAGGTTTATGCGAAGCCTCCAGATTCTAAGTCTGTGGAAGGGTACGGGACGAAGCTTCAGAAGGAATTGGAAGGCAAGAAAGGATGGGTGGACCATTTGTTCCATAGGGTTTGGCCTCCTTCTGCCATTAACTACCAGTTCTGGCCTAAGAACCCACCTTCTTACAGGTTAGTCACACTATTTGTTTTGAGCAATGCTAGGTATGATTATAATTATGGACCATATTGTTGGATGCATATCTAGCATATGCGAGTCGATCTTATCTCTATTAAATATGTGGTCAGTAAAATATTGAATGTAAACCGTAGTCTCTGAATAGTTTTATTAGTAAATTTAGCTTAACCCCTTGAAGAGTCATTTTTTCTCAACTACAATCCATCTCTTTATTTTTGTTTGAATAAATCCTGTTTTTTCTAAATAAAACCCGATGACTAGGATCCAACTCGACAAGTTACCTAATTAAGTGCAAAATAATTTACTTATTATTCAAATAATATACCAAACTTTTATAAACACGTTTTGGATATAATTTTCATAATATTGATTATTATGCAATAATATAACTTCTAATTTACATGTTATGGGTATATTTGTAGGTATATTAAAGCCATCACATTTTTTCTATGAGTATTTGTACCTATTAGAATATATATTATACATATACATCTATATCATTGGAGGATATTAGGTCATGTTTAAATATAATTGTAGGATATTCGGTATAATAAAATTCATTTGCCTTAATTAGGTGATTGAGCAACCAAATAAAGATCTAATGGCATGATTTGTTACAAACTAAAATAAGTAAATGTCCCAAGTAAATAAATCAACCTACATGGACAAATTTTATCATAATTTAAAATTAGGTTTTACTTAAAGATTATATTATTGGTGAATTATTGTCTAGCATTTTTAAATTTAAAGGGTCTATTTTAGTATGACCCTAACCCAAAATCAATTGTACACAAATCGGTCGTTGTTGAAAGCCTTTACAGTGAAAAAGATATCACTCTAACTTTATAATTAGTGTACCAAAAAGAGAAAGAATATTAGTTGAAAAAAATAACTCTGTAACTGATGGGACCACACTTGAGAGTTATATTAATTTTGGTAAATAAAAGGTCTCTCTTCTGTTTCCTGTTTTCTGTTTGGTAAAAAAAAGTCTCTGTTCTGCTCAATGAATATGAAGCCCCATAGGGCTGCTACTTAAGTGTGAAAGCAAAAGGTGGATAGACGTGGCTCATTGCAATCCTAGCTTTTTGATAAAATTCTTCAGGAAAAACAAAACAGTATATCTCATTCTAGTTAAGTATGTAAAAACAAAGTAGACGTGGTTGATAAATCTTTCGCTGAATTAACAGAAACGAGATTCGAACTTCATACATCTCTCAATATATATATGCCACAAATTAAAAACTAACGTGGATTATGACATATTGGTGGTTCTAATTTTGATGGGTGCAGGGAAGCTAATGAAGAGTATGTGAAGCATCTGCACAAGGTGGTGGACAAGTTGTTCAAGGTGCTCTCTTTAGGGTTAGGGCTTGAAGGACAAGAGTTGAAGAAGGCTGCTGGAGGGGATGACATGGTTTATCTTCTGAAAATTAATTATTACCCTCCATGTCCCCGCCCTGACCTTGCTCTTGGAGTGGTGGCCCACACTGACATGTCAGCCCTAACCATACTTGTCCCAAACGATGTCCAGGGCCTACAGGCTTGCAGAGATGGCCAATGGTACGATGTGAGGTACATCCCTAATGCCCTGGTCATCCACATTGGTGATCAGATGGAGGTTAGGACCTTCTCTTGCCCACTCTCTATATTATCTATATTATTATTAAGATAAACCTTGCGTTAATCTTAATGATTTTAATAACGTACTAACTTAAGTGATAATAACTTTGTGGTAGATTATGAGCAACGGAAAGTACAAGAGTGTCCTCCATAGAAGCACTGTGAATAAAGAGAAGACGAGACTCTCGTGGCCAGTTTTCATTGAGCCTCCACCAGACCGCGTAGTTGGCCCTCTCCCACAGCTTGTGAAGGAGGACAATCCACCTAAATACAAAGCCAAGAAGTTCGGAGATTATTGTTATTGCAAGCTCAACAAGATTCCCCAGTAAAGCTATATAGCCAGCTTTCTCTCACTCTCGGGGCTCTCAACAACTTTCACATATATTCATTCTTAAATTTGAAGTCGTGTTAGTGTAATTAACTCTTTTAATTGTTAGACATCATCGTCTTGACTCTATTAATAGTAATGGTAGTTTCGACTTTTTCATTTAAATATGTTAACTTTGACAAGTTGATTTTGTGTATATGTAACTTCTGAAAGGAAAGTGTGTTTTGTAATTATATCAGATCTATCGGTGTTCGTCTTGTTAACTTTGTGTAAAATTGTGGGTCTCTTTAATGATTGCTAGTTGATTTTAACTAGATACGATTGAATATTGAATTCTATAACTTATGTTCTAATGGTGCAGAAAAACCCACATGTGAAAAGAGATGTGTTAATGTTAAGATTTTATCTAGTTACAGCAGTTGTTTTTTAAATAAACTGATTATTCTATTATGTAGGAAGTCATGTTGCACGTTGTTATGTTTACCAAGTCTTTAGGAGTCTCCCAATAGTGGAGCAGTTTGTTAGTGGTGTCAGTAATGAATTAAGTTAGTAGGAGTCATATCCTTGAATTTAGCATAGTCTGGTGATGTAACGTTCTATTTAAGTTCAACTTTATCAATATACAAATTACGATTTCCAGCACATATTCTCACCTATGTTTGGATTTTGAGTTTAACTCTACATCTGGTATCAGAGCTCCCCACTGGGGCCTGACATAAAAGTTCCCACAAAAGCAATAAGCTATAATTGCACTTATGGCAGTAAGTTACTATGGCGTCTGACAAGGTTGCAGACAACTATGTGCAGCCAGCCATACCATGCTTTGATGGTCATTATGATCATTAGAGCATGTTGATGGAGAATTTCCTAAGGTCTAAAGAATATTGGACTCTCGTGGAAACCGGTATTGTAGAGCCGGAAAGTGGAATGGTGTTGATAGAGCTACAACAAAAGAAATTAGATGAATCCAAGCTCAAAGATTTGAAGGCGAAAAATTACTTATTCCAAGCTATTGATCATTCCATTTTGGAGACCATTCTCCAAAAAGATACTTCCAAGCAAATTTGGGATTCCATGAAGAAGAAGTATCAAGGCTCAACGTAGGTGAAGCGTTCAATGCTGCAAGCACTAAGGAAAGATTTTGAGACTCTTCAAATGAAACAAGGAGAGTCTGTCAATGATTATTTTTCAAAAGCAATGGCAATTGCAAACAAGATGAGTATACATGGCGAGAAGATGGAAGACGTGACCATCATAGAAAAGATCCTGCGATCTATAACTACAAAGTTTGATTACGTTGTGTGCTCCATTGAGGAGTCAAATGACGTTAAGAAGCTTTCAATTGATGAGCTACAGAGTTCCTTGCTTGTTCATGAGCAGAAGATCAATCGGAGCACATCTAAGGAACATGCGTTGAAAGTTTCAACAAATAATGATTCTCCGGCAGTAAGAGGTCGTGGTGGTCATGGACGAGGACGTGGTAGAGGCGGCAGCCATGGAAGAGGTCGAGGTAGCAGAGATAGGAACAAATCCAATGATGATTCAGGCAGTAGCAGCAGAGGCTATTATAATTCTGGAGGCAACAGCAGCAGAAGCCGAAGGCAGTCATACAATCATGATTCGAATGTCGACAAATCAAATGTCTAGTGTTTTAGGTGTGGCAATTATGGTCATTACAGGTCTGAATGTTACACAAATATGAATAAAGCAAAGGGTGCAAGGGCGAATTTTGCAGAGAAATAGAAAGAAGATGACGGGGCTATTCTAATGGTGTGTCAAACCATGGAAAAACCACAAAAGAATGTGTGGTACTTGGATACAGGTTGCAGTAATCACATGTGTGGAGAAAAGTCAATTTTCTCTACCTTAGATGAAAGTTTCACAACTACAGTAAGATTTGGAGATGACAGCAAAGTTTCTGTTTTGGGAAAAGGAGATATCAAAATTTGGGCTAAAGATAATACTGTCCATACTATCTCTAGTGTTTTCTTTGTTCTGAGTTGAAGAGCAATTTGCTGAGCTTAGGACAACTGCATGAAAAGGGATATGAGATCAAGATTACAGGAGGAGCTTGTCAAATTCATGACCAAAAGAGGGGCTTAATTGCTAAGGCTTACATGACGACAAATCGAATGTTTCCATTACATATTCAAAGTGATGGTCCTAAATGTTTCTCTGCCAAGGTCAATGATCCAGAATGGTTGTGGCATTTACGCTATGGTCATCTGAATTTTAGAGGTTTGAAGACGCTACATGATAAAGAGATGATGACTGGCCTTCCTCAGATAACTTGTCCAACTGAAGTTTGTGAAGTTTGTGTTCTTGGAAAACAGCATAGGGAAACCTTTTCGAAGGGAAAAGCATGGCGGGCTAGAAGACCTCTTGAGCTGGTCCATTCAGATATTTGTGGGCCAATAACTCCAGCTTCCAACGTTGGAAAAAGGTACTTTATAACTTTCATTTATGATTACAGCAGAAAAACATGGGTTTATTTCTTACAGGAGAAATAAGAAGCCTTAAATGCATTCAAACACTTTAAGGCGGCTGTTGAGAATGAGATAGAAAAGACGATCAAGGTTCTTCGAACTGATCGTGGTGGAGAATACAATTCAAAAGCCTTTGAAAATTTATGTGCTATACATGGCGTTCGCCGACAGCTTACGACACCACAGCAGAATGGTGTGGCAGAGAGGAAGAATCGTATCATTTTAAATATGGTACGCAGTATGAAGACAAAAAGTTCCATTCCAAAGAGTTTTTGGCCGGAAGCTATAAACATGAGCATTCACATACTGAATAAAAGTCTAACTTTTGTTGTTCGTGATTTGACACCTAAAGAGGCATGGAGTAGCCGTAAACCAGCAGTTTATTACTTCAAAATTTTTGGTTGCATTGCATATGCACGTATTCCAGACGAGAAAAGGAATAAGCTTGATGACAAAGGTGAAAGATGTGTCTTTCTTGGCATAAGTGAAGTTTCCAAAGCGTATAAGTTATTCAATCCTTTGTCCAAAAAGATTATTATTAGCCGAGATGTTGTATTTGATGAAGAGAAGACATGGAATTGGAGTGATGATGTTTCTCTACAACAACAGAACATTCTAGTCAATTTTTATGATAACATGGAATAGCAACCACTGGAACAGCAGCAACCATAACAGTGCATTCCGGCACCAACTTCATCAGTTGTTCCAACACCAACTTCTTCAGTTGTTCAAGCACCAGTTGTTCCACCAATTGGAGCCCAGGCTGCAAGTTCATCTAGTGCACGACCCCAACGTTTAAGGAAGCGGCCTGCATGGATGATATATTCTAAATAAGTGTTTGATTCCATTAGTGGAAGTGAAGGAAGTGATGATGATCCACTTGTTCACTTTGCTTTGTTTGCAGATTCTGATCCTGTGTCATTTTCTGATGTCGTAAAAGAACCAAAATGGCAGAAAGCCATGGTTGAGGAAATCAAATCCATTGAGAAGAACAATACTTGAGAGTTGATAGAGCTTCCACAAGGGCAAAAGACGTTTGTGTCAAATGGGTCTTTAAAACAAAGTTGAATGAGAAGGGTGAGATTCATAAGCACAAAGCACGCTTGGTGGCGAAAGGTTACAAGCAAGAGTACGTCGTTGACTACACAAAAGTCTTTCTGCCAGTGGTAAGGCCTGACACAATCCGACTGGTGATTTCAATGGCGGCACAGAACTCTTGGCCTATCTTCCAGCTGGATGTGAAGTCTACGTTTTTACATGGTGAGTTGCAGGAACAGGTTTATGTTGAGCAGCCATCAGGCTATGTTCAACTAGGGAAGGAAAAACAAGTTTACAGGCTTAAAAAAGCTTTATATGGGCTGAAGAAAGCTCCCATAGCCTAGTACAGCCGCATAGAGGCATATTTTGCAAGAGAAGGATTTCAAAAATGTCTATATGAGCATACACTCTTTACAAAATCTGGAGAGGAAGGGCAAATACTCATCGTGTGCTTGTATGTAGATGATCTGATCTATACAGGTAATGATGTGACCATGTTTAATGATCTTAAGAAATCCATGATGCATGAGTTTGATATGTCTGATCTTGGATTGATGCACTATTTTCTTGGTATAGAAGTAGTACAATCTAGTGCCGGAATATTTATTTCACAGAAGAAATATGTTCAAGAAATCTTAGACATGTTTGAGATGAAGGATTGCAATTCAGTTTGTACGCCAACTGAAATTGGTTTGAAACTAGTGAATAATTCTGGGGAAAAGAAGGTTGATCAAACTCTCTACAAACAGATTGTAGGAAGTCTGATGTATCTGACAGCAACAAGGCCAGACATACAACACGCAGTGAGTCTCATTAGCAGATATATGGAGTGCCCAGAAGTGCCTCATTTGGCGGTAGCAAAAAGAATTTTTCGTTACCTAAAGGGCACGATCGATTTTGGAATATTATACAAGAAATGAGCTAAATCAGGTTTGTTTGGCTTCACTGATAGTGACTATGCAGAAGACCCAGATGATAGGAGAAGCACCTCAGGTTATGCATTTATAATGGGAGCAGGAGCTATTTCATGGTCATCCAAAAAACAACAGATTGTCACTCTGTCAACCACTGAAGCTGAGTTTATTGCAGCAGCAGCCTGCAGTTGTCAAGCTATTTGGTTGAGGAGGATACTTGAAGAATTACGTGGTTTGCAAGAAGGTCCAACTCCTGTCTATTGTGATAACAATTCAGCAATCAAGTTGTCCAAGAATCCAGTTTTACATGGCATAAGCAAATACATTGATGTTCGCTACCATTTCCTGCATGACCTCACTAAGGATGAAACAATTGATTTAATCTACAGCATAAGTGAAGATCAGGTGGCTGATATTCTAACCAAGCCTCTCAAATTACCGGCGTTCTCGTAGCTAAGGAAATTGTTAGGAGTTTGCTCTATGAAGGATATTGCTTGAAGACAAAAGCTATAGTGCACGTTGAAGGTTTCTCTCTAAACTGATTGTTCAAGGAACATTTAGTTTAAGAGAGGGTGTTAAGATTTTATCTAGTTACAATAGTTGTTTTTTAAATAAACTGATTATCCTATTATGTAGGAAGTCATGTTGCACGTTGTTATGTTTACCAAGTCTTTAGGAGTCTCTCAGTAGTGGAGCAATTTGTTAGCTAGTGGTGTCAGTAATGGATTAAGTTAGTAGGAGTCATGTCCTTGAATTTAGCATAGTCTGGTGATGTAATGTTCTATTTAAGTTCAACTTTATCAATATACAAATTATGCTTTCTAGAACCTCTTCTCACCTGTGTTTGGATTTTGAGTTTAACTCTACAGTTAAAATATAAAACAACTGTTAGTGCTTCGTAATAATAAAGATGTCCCTGTAATAAATAATAAAGATGTCCCTTGAATAAGATCCTAATGAAAAATATAATTGATATTGATGCAAAGACATGAACTAGGTGACGTGGGCCTTTTATATTCTCAAACACATTCCCCCAAAAATTAATGTGAACATACGAAATGGTCTGTGGAGTGGAGGTAGGTGCATCCTAGAATTTCTACAGTTAAAATTTAACAACAAATCAAGAGTCCTATCAGTTCCTTTTAATTCTTTTAGTTACTGAACATAGAGTGTTTAAATTATAAATTGTCAGAAGACTCATACATGGAAACGGAAAAGGATAATTTTGCATTTTTGAAAAGTTGGAATTGGATTTTTCTGTTTTTTAACTTTAGTGAGAGTTGGGAAAGCAACTACCCAAATTTATTTATTTATTTATTTTAAATTTAATCCTTGATGGGTCGTGTTGTAGAAGGGGGCAGTTGAACTATTAAGCGAAAAGGAATGAGCCACGTCCCCTACATGTACATGGCATCGTATCTACCTTCTTCTGAATACCATTTTTTCTTGCACAATAAATGTTCACCGTCATTCTGCCTAAAAAATACAAAATATATGGTCACTTGCCGTTTGCCACTAATATAAATATACACTTCACGCAAAGGGAGTGAGACACAAATCAAGAAGCTCCAAATTCCTCTAAACACGCTTTGTTTTAATTTGCTCATCTTCTCTGCCCTTAGGCTGTAGGGTTTTTTTTTACCTTCTAAAAAATGGGGGGTAGAGAGAGTTGAGGTCGTCATTGCCCCAAAACCAGAGGGCACTATCCCAGACGAGTTCATTAGGTCAGAGAATGAGCAACCAGGGATCACGACAGTTCATGGGAAGGTCCTTGAGGTCCCAACCATTGATTTTAGTGACCCTGATGAGCAAAAGCTCATCCGTCAGATTGCTGAGGCCAGCCGCAACTGGGGCATGTACCAGATTGTGAACCATGACATCCCTAGTGAGGCCATAAGAAACTTGCAGGCTGTTGGGAATGAGTTTTTTGAGCTTCCACAGGAGGAAAAGGAGGCTTATGCCAAGCCTCTCGACTCCGACTCAATGGAAGGCTATGGGACAAAGCTTTTCAAGGAGTTTTCTGACGGAAACGTTACGAAAAAAGGTTGGGTGGACCATATGTTCAATAAGATCTGGCCTCCTTCTGTCATTAATTACCGGTTCTGGCCTAAGAACCCGCCTTCTTACAGGTTAGGCACGCTTTCTTTTTAGTATTAATTTGTTAACAACATTTACTGATCATATTAGTGGCAACAATTAGCAATATGGGCGAAATAGTTATATTCCATTAGTGTTATATATATAAATGATTTTTCGTAATTAAGGTTTTGCGACTTCATTGTCACATTTTGCAATGATGTGTTAAATTGTGTACAACATATGATTTTGTAATACTTAATTACTAGATATTTTGTTATTTGATTGTGAATCGAGATTAACTATTTAATTATAAGTATATTTGATTACTCTTTTTATAGGCAGTAGTATTAAGAAATTGGTTCCAAAAGAAAGATAGATATTGGCTAGAAATGGCGATAAATAATTATGTACATCATAAATATCACTTGAACTTTTTAGTTATAATTCATTGACGGAAATGCACTTAAATTTAATGGAAACTTTAACAGAGTTAGAAGTTGCAATACTTTACAAAATTTAAGTGTTTAAAAATAAAAATTAAAAGTTCTGATGGTAATAATACATATGGTTAAAAATTCAAATGACATTTATGTAAATTTCCTTAAATAATATAACCTACGTATAAGATTATTATAAGTAGGTAGCCAGAAAAAATATAATAATAAAAAGCTAAAATGAAAATTACGATTCAAAAAAGAAGTGTTCAACAAAAAAACAAAAAAAAAAGTGTGATAGGACCACACACTGTCACTTTCGCTTTTAATGGAGACTTCAACTTACGAATTCCAAGCTACCTGCCGCGCGGCGTTTCATGACTGGCTGCTTATTGGAAAGATCTCTTCCACAAAAATACAGACGTGGCATGATGCCCATCTGAAAAAAGAAAAAAAATTTCTTTCCTAAAATGGAAAAATAACAAACCCCTTTTTAAAAGAAAAAACTCTAATTTAATGGTTTAATTTGTTTTAATTTTGATTGGTGCAGGGAAGCTAATGAGGAGTACGCTAAGCATATGCACAAAGTGGTGGAGAAGCTGTTCAGGCTCCTATCTCTAGGGTTGGGGCTCGAAGGACAAGAGTTAAAGAAGGCTTCTGGTGGAGATGACTTGATTTACCTTCTCAAAATTAATTATTACCCACCATGTCCCCGCCCGGATCTTGCTCTCGGCGTGGTGGCTCACACCGACATGTCCATCGTCACCATTCTCGTCCCCAACGATGTCCAGGGCCTCCAGGCCTCCAGAGATGGCCACTGGTACGACGTTAGGTACATCCCTAATGCCCTTGTCATCCACATTGGTGATCAAATGGAGGTAGACATTTTATTCATCTCTCTTCGACTTGACTTTTTTAGTCTTTGTTTGATTAAGTCACCCAAGTGATTAATTAACTAATTAATTAATTAATTTGTGGCAGATAATGAGCAATGGAAATTACAAGAGTGTGCTGCACAGAACCACAGTGAACAAAGACAAGACAAGAATCTCATGGCCAGTGTTCTTGGAGCCTCCAGCAGACCACGTAATAGGGCCTCTCCCACAGCTTGTGAGCCAGGAAAATCCACCGAAATACAAGACCAAGACGTACGGGGAGTATGTTTATTGTAAGCTCAACAAAATTCCCCAATAAACCAAAAAAAAGAAAAAAAAAAAGGACTCGGGTGTTTCACTGGTTTATTTGGGTTGAGTGGTGTCGTTTTCATTACTAGTTTATGCAGTGTGCGGTAGGTTTTTTTCTTTTTGTTTTTCGCATTTTGTTTTGGGGAAGTTGTATGTGTTGGTGAGTACCATGTTGATCCAAAATAATTAATTAATGGTGATCAGTGACTTCGATGAGATTTTGGTTTCATATTGAGAGAGGCGATAGTATGCTAAATTCACACACACTACACAGATGTTATGACTCGCTCGAATCCATAATCTTTCATCATAGAAGCAATTGGTTTAAACTACTACACTAGTGAGTCTTTTACGCATACTCTTATTTTTTAAGCAACGTATCCAAGTTAATTAAAATTTTATCATTCAAAATAAATAAATGTTATCAATTCAAATTTCAATATAAAAATTTAAAAGGGTTAAGACATTACGTTCAGTTCTAATGAAAAGATCAAAATCTTAAGAAGTGAAGTTTCACACCTCTTCCAATGTTATATTAAGACAAAGTTATCCTTTTTTTTTATATTCTTTTTTTTGGGGCCAAAAAAAGAGTATGTGATTTGATTTTCGTTTTGAAAAAGTTGAAAGGGCTGGGTCATCTGACAACTAAATGTTTAACCACCATCATTTTTAATCATAGAAGAGTGTTGAATTTCTAGGGTTTTAATCACGGAGGAAGATGGAAGGGACAATAAATATTAAATGGTTGGATTTCTTTTTTTTCTTTTTCTTTCTTTCTGTTTTTCTTTTTGTGGTGTGAATTTTTTTTATTTACATAACAGATTATGTAATTAAAATAGATGAGATGTTATCACGTCCATGTCCCACATGTGTTAGTATTCAAAAGCTAATAAATAAGTTGGTGCCCGTAGGCATTATTGTATCAGAGAAACACTGACGTAGATGTGCAGAATAGATGAGCAACATGCGACAAATTCATTTATTTCCCAATTTTTAGTGCGTGATAACTGTCAAGACCGCATTCGATGTGCATACTTGGGTGAATTACGTGTAGCGTGTAGGGACAGAGAGAGGTCATTTAAAGTCGATTTCTATTCGACGTCTTGAAAGGATCCTTTAACCCTTACACATGATGTTTACATGAGCATAATTAGTTAACATTGGAACGAAAACTTCGACCTACTTTGAGATTGGTACAAGTTTTTACACTAGGGAGGCTGTGACGTATAAGCCATACCATACGACTAGAATGGTTTGTGCAATTTAGCTTCCCCTCAAAGGCCCTGAGTAAATCCACACACCTCTCTTCTTCTTCTCGATTTTGTATGGATTGGTCCACTACACAAGGACACTTTTTCAATCTTTGTCTTCTAATTCTTTATTATTTAGCAAAATATCTTTCTACTATTTAAAAGATTTACAGATTAATTAGATGTATAAATCTAAGGTCTTGTTTGGTATCTAACTCAAAAACGTAAACTAAAAAATTATGATTCTTTTTAAAAACATGAGTTTTCAAATAGTGATTTTAAAATCTAAAAACTTGTTTGGTATTGAACTCCAAACTACTTCTAAGATCTAAAAAAAAATTGAAATTAAAATCAGAAAATCAGAAACCCTAATCCCCAAATTGGAATTAACTAAAAAAAACGTGAGGCATAAACCCTATCAATTTTGGTGTTGCGCAAGAGAGAGAGAGATAGACAACAGAGGGAGGAGAGAGAGAGAGAGAGAGAGAGAGATAAAAAAAACTATAAAACCTCACTTTTTTGGTTTTTAATAATAAGGGTGTTTTTAAATTTTTTTTGGGTTTAGGTTTTTAAAAATGGGCCTACAAAACAGGTTTTTGGGCTAAATCTGTTTGAGTTTATAAAATTGGATCCAAATAGGATACCAGATATGCTCTAATTTTATTTTATTTTATATACAAGCTATATTCTACTTTAATCTAATCTAAACTACATTGAACTCCGCAATGAAAGTGGAAACGGTACTTAGGCAGCCCATCAAAAGAAGCAGCATCAAAAGGCCTTCAGCAAGACCCTTGACGCGCTCAATGCTCAGATTGATTGAACATTGTGTGAAGCCAACATGAGGAGGCGTTGCATTGCAGAAGAAGAAGCATCAAAAGGCTGTCCCGAGCATTCTACTTGTATCCCTTTGTCCAAACAGGTACAGAATATATCAGGGTCCCCAAACCAAACGAGGTACATATCGTAACCATGGCATATGTGTATGCTCTCCAGGGGTATTTGCTTTCTCTCATTGCATTGAACTCAGCAATGAAGGTAGAAACGGTACTCAGGCAGCCCAGCAATCCAAATTGTATGCCTGTTGCAACAATATCACACGTCTTAGTATCCACCTGCACAAACAGAATAAGTCCCACTCGTTAGCTTTGCCATGAAATACGATGCAATACCGACAAATCTAATTGGCATGGATCAAACCAATGGAGCACAAGAGCAATTAGGAGTGGAAAGATATGAAAAAAGAGTAGATAAATGAGCAACAATAAAATCCACATGGTTTGGAGGGGACTTGGACATTTCTGCCAAACACTGTAAAATAAATCCACATGATCTGGCTCTATGGTGAACTTCGGGGCAAATCCCAGATCTCAGTGAACCTCAGTTGTGTACTTGGCGAAGGTAACACAAAATTTTGTCACAGAAGAGAGTAAACTTCAGGGATTCTGCTAAGAGGCTACAAATCATAGACGAAAGCACACTAAAAAACATAACAAACTTAGCAGTTTATAATGTGACAAATATATGTTTAGTGTAAGCTTTCTGAATATGATAGAATGACACATAAAAGGTAAAGGTGAGGATGAAGTCACGAAGTGGATCTGGACAGATCATATCACGAGACCTTACCTCTTTCTTCACAGTAGACAGAGCTGCCATGACACAAGCTGCAGAAACATTGGCAATTAGAGTACCAAATGGAAACCATTTCAGCAACCCCATCCTGCCTAATCCACGTCCATTAAGCCTGGCTAAGAACCACCTGATCCACACACCTAGAGGTCCAACTATGCAAGCCAACCATAGTTGCGCCTCACTGCTGTCACTGCTAAACTCCTCCCTTAGCAATACTCCACTTACACTCCATAGAGAAACTAGCATCAGCAAAAACACAGCTAAAACTACCAAGTGACGCTTGTGGCTGTCAACCCTCCAGCTTGTGCCAGAACTAGTTATACCACATCCTGAACTCCTTTCAAGAAGCTGCCTAAAACCCTTAGCTGTCTCTACCCCAACAATGATGGAGTAGGCCGCAAGAAACAGACCTGAAATCAATCACATTAAAGAGAAGCTTGTATTAGTCGCAGCCGTTTGAGCTAGATGGGTTTGTCCATGGATGAGTTACAAATAGGCTCAAAGCAGGAAACCACCCGTAGAAATGTAATTCAAAACCCTGCTTTCCATAGCCATCTACATGTCTACTACAGCATATTCTTTATACGACATCTTACCTATTAAGAAACCCAGCAGAACAAAAACCCAATGGCCTTCAACACTGAGTTCAAGCATTTTCTGGTTCCACCCACTGAAAGTTGTAAGGCTTCCCAAGTAACCGGTTGTTAATCCAATGGCCAAATGATCTGACACATATGAAATATCTCCTTTGAAAACAACACCAAACCACCCCATCAAGAAAGAACCAACCTTCAAAAATGTTTAGGAAAATAAATTGCATTAGAACATCATCGAACATTATCCATATCACTAGCCTAAGAAATATGACATAAAAAATGACAAGATGAAGGGCAAAAATTTCAGTAATCATCATACAATGTGCAAATAAGTCCCTCAATACTCACAATCAACCAAGTATATAAGGCATAAATGTTTATCAACAAAATATTCCCAGATAAAGGGGTTGTGCTTGTGTGTGTGTGTGTAAAAGAGAGAGAGAGAGAGAGAGAGAGAGAGAGAGAGAGAGAGAGAGAGAAACCATATTAGAAGGAAGGTCGAGGTAGAGAATGGTTTGGTTGCTTGTTACACCAACAACTCCAGGGCCAAACAACTTTTGCAGCAGATATCTCGTTAACACCTGCAGACTGTAGCATGTCAAATAATCTATTTGACAGGTGGGTTCCCATATATGAAATTAATAAATTAATATCTAACAAATTGTTTTCAATGACATATTCATTCTTGCCAAGAGAAACAGAAATTCCAACCTGCCAAAGCATGATCAAAATTGTTAATGTTTTAAATTACAGTTTAACGATATAATAAAGATACACCGGATACAATTTGATCAGTATGAGCAAATCCATTTAGACACAGATTTTCTTCCAAAAACTATTTTTAGCAAGGAAAAAGTTCGTACAGCATGATAAGATCTAGTTATCTGAATTATAAAGACCAGAATGGATGTGGTCAGTGCATTCTTGCACAAGGATCTTAAGATCCAACTTTTGTCAAACAGAGGTAATAGCAGCTATAAACTCAATAGATATTAGGATTCAAAGAAAATGCACTTTGGTATATATACGAAACATAGTTAAGTCTGTTACCCCAAGAATGCCAAAAACGGCTAAATGAGTCATACATGAACCATATTCCAACAATTTTGGCAACTTTGTTGTAGTTTCCTGCATATAAAAACACAATAATCTAAGTTACTAGCATGATCTGACTAAAAATTAAAAAGAAATATCAATGAAGATGCAAACCAAAAGCTCACTTGCTTTTTGTCCTCATGGCATACGACTGCATCAGTGGAAAGAGGAGATATGATTTCCTCTGGCAAGGGTGAGACAGGGGATATTGCAGTGGTTGTAACCGGATCACGACACCAGAACCCATAGGATTGCAGTTGAATATCCTCTGAAGGCAACAAGCGGATGCTGCCACTCTCACTGTGCCTGTTGCTGTGAAGAGCCCGATCCCCTATATCTCCTGCCTCTGAAACACGCTCACTTTCAATGTCATCATCTATTTGGGAAGGCTGAGCACCTGATAAACTTAAAGAACGCCTCCTTAATGAAGAAGTGGCACTGCTTGTTCGATCATTTGATACACTTCGTCTGAGTTCAGAGTCATTAGTCCCACGGTACCCTCCCTCCATAACCGTTGCACTTTATTCCTCTTGGGGTGACTTCGGAAAACAGCAATAAAATCAGAATGTTGATTTAGAAAAGCTAAAGAACAGAGGAACAAACGTAGGATAGAAAATGATGCAATTACTGCTGCTACTAATTTTGAAGTGCCATAATTTGTACCGTGCAAGCGAATGCCAACCACAAACCACTCTATTTTTCAAAGACATTCAAACATTTGTATAAGAACAAATGATGCCATTTCCTTCAGCTCTTATAAGAAAACGTCAAATCTTCGAAATAAAAAAGTACATATGAAATTCATTTACAACACCTCACACATAAGCTCAGGCAGCCATGACATGAGTGAAAGAAAGAGACAAAAACAATTCTTCAAGATGTCCACAGAATTCGACAATAATACAACCTCTGGACCTAAACAGATTCATTCAGATAATATTAATTACTTTGCATATCAAGATTGTAGAATGAAAGAATGATGTCACAGAATTATTATTATTTTTAAACAATTGGACTGAATTTTTCTTATCCACAAGTTACAGAGACCTCTAGCACTAAGCAGTACAGTTACAGAAGCCTATAGGTCAAGGGTTAAATCATTTTTTGCATACATGTCAAAGAGGGCCTCAAGTTATAAGCCTACTGACGTAGAAGGGTACAGATGAAAACTATCTATAAGTACCGGAGTAGCACAGTTACACTACAGAATCTTGTTTGTACAATAATTTTCTCAACTTTTTCGTCAACACCTACAAACAGCCAATGCAAGAGCTGCCAACTAATGAAATCATAAAGTAAAATTCGGTACCAAACAAATCACAAAATGTTCTTCAGAAGCCTGACCGGGACCCACAGACTCTGAAGATGTCCAAACAGAACAAAACCCAGCACCCAATAATTGTTCTGACCAATAACCAATATTGAAACCAAATTTCATTCACCTAATTTCTAAGCATGAAATCAACATTTTGTGCTCCAGAATTCAATTGATTTCAATACAGAAAACAAATCAAGTTTGTTGCTTTACACTATTGGGTAACAATTTGAATGAGTAGGGACCCAGTATAAAGTTGGTTTAGAACATCAAACCAAAATCAGTCGATAAAGAGCTCCAAAAGCTGTATCTTTAAGACGTGTCCTCCACTAAAGAACCCAAAACATAAAATATCGAAAAAGCAAAACAATTTCATTTTGACTGGTTGTGAACTATTTAATTAAGCACAAACTAGTTTTTAAAAGTGAAACTTTTCGGCTCCTAGATTTATCAAACAATGCCAGATTCCTCCAACACAACTTTAAAGTGCATGAGAAACGTGTTGAAGTAAAATACATACAAGCTGAAAATAGAAAGTTAAAGAAAATGGCAAAATCAGAGAACTTGTAAGAGAAAGAGAAAAAGGGAAGGTTTATGAAGGTACCTGTGATTCTGTGGACGCGGCAAAAGGTGTCCAGATTCAAAACCGTGAATTGGGTTTGCGAGTTTCGCCTTCAATACAGAGAGGTGAGGACGGCGGCAATGGGCGAAGTTCAAAGGCAAACAAATATAAACAAAGAGACAGGGATTGTGGGAATTCAAAGTGGAAGTCAGAGAATGAAAGCGAAGGTTTTGAATGGTTGAGCGGATGAAGAGAGGCTTTGGGATCAGATGGGTTTTTGGGATTTCAGGCACGGCACTGCTTCTGTTCACATCTTTGATTTTTGCTACGTGAATTTTCAATAGGCCAATATAATTTTTGTTCCTTATTTTATTATTTTATTTTATTATTCGTTTTTCATATTTTATTATTGGGTTGACCATTTTATTGACTTATTCTACAATTTCTTAACGTATGTAAAATAGTAAATTACCTATTTCATCTTATGCACACTTTCTCCTTTTCACTTTTATTTTTGGGCCAACATATTTCATTTCTAGAAAATTTAAGATACAATGGGAATTGTCAATGGGATTTAGCCCAGTAAAAAAGGATATTGACTTGCATTCAGTGTTCTTACATTTGAACCCCATGTCACATTGGTAGTGTGTGTGTGTGAAAGAAACTCTCCTTCTCTTATAGTTTAGACTATTACTTGTATTAAAAAAACTGAAAAAACATAGAATGGCAATTTTTGTTAATTGGTCATGTTTATGTTGTGTCATTTTAAATTCGTGTTGAATACTAGTCAATCCTAACTTGACATATCTGATTAATCACATTGAAAGACTCAATTTAACACTAACTAAATTCGTTAATAATTGTGTTGTATTTGGATTGCAACGGACATTATAAACGAACACCTTAACACTAAGTCTCATTTGTTTCTAAATCATCATATCTTATCACTAATACTTAACTTATAGAATAACAACCAACTTCGTCGTGATACTAACCAAATCGTAAAAATAATCATACAATTTCTTATATAATACACAATTAAAGATAGAAAAGATTCATCATTTTCCCCATATAATACAACGCAAGAAACGTGTTTGTCGTGTCTAAATCAAGTTGCTTGGATTTGACACTAACCCTAAGTCTCATGTTCATGTTGAAAATTTGATAAATCCAAAATTGCTAATGGCACATCTAGTTCAAAATTGTGTTATATGTCAACAATTGCCACACATTTCTTTAAGTATAATAGGATCAAAGAGCAAAAATCTTGTAGTTCGAGTGATTAAGAGCATTTTATTACGTGTTTAATTATTTTAGTTGTTAGGTTACTTAGTTTAAGAATATCTTCAAAAAGTTTTTGACTAGTATTGTAGTTTAGAATTCTTAGGCTTATAGGGTTGCATTTTATCTCTTCCTATTTTCATGTAAGTGGAACATTGGTGTAGTGTTTCACGTGCTTAGTGCCCTATGTTTCCTCAATTAGCCAGTACCTACCACATTTACCATGCAATAGATTCGATTTTCTTCTCTTTAAAAAATAATAATAATAATAACTACAAAGTCTGGTAAATACACAAAATTAAAGCAATAAAACTATTTGCAATAACGTACGAATCAAGGAAACACCTTCACTTTGGTTGATTGGTAGAAACAAAGTAAAAAGAAAAGGCCATTGTTGAATATGGTACGCGATAACGAAGGGTTCATGTTTAAAGGATGAAAAATGGAAGAGACTGCACCTTTTGTGAAAATAATTTTTTTAAAACTGGATGTGCATGTTAGTGGTCATCATTGCAATGTGGACAGAGTTTCTGATTTGATTGGAGAATGAGATTCTGTACGATGTCGAACTGTCATGTCTTACGTCCAACTCTTTTACCACACAGACGCCACGCCAGAGCAGAGAAAGATGATGTGGTGGGCGCTGAATAAATATATTCACCACAAAATTAAACTATCAGAATGAAATCACAAAATATATTATGCAAAATTAACCACTTTTAAAGAAATGAAAGAAGAAACCTAAAGAAACTAACCAATTATGTTTTAGGCTTTATTTATTTAGTACAAGCGATTGAGGAAGAGGTTTACACAAATATTCATGGGGTGTTCAGGGTATTTTGAACATCTGCCCACATGGGCGGATGTGAAAAAGTCCAATCACAAGCGATAGTCGGTTTTTCACATACATTTATCAATGTATCATGGTAGTTCGAATCTAATATCACTGGTTTGCAAATCAAATAACTTTTCTATTGAGCTAGATCCTATTCACAGTTCAGTTTCTTTTTTATACACATTGTTGCATACTGTACCTAACTGGGCTCAGTTGTATTGGATTTGGGCTTTTGGGGTTGAAGATGAAGTTTTAGCAAGTGGGGCTCTTTGCTTTCTTCTTCTTTTTTGGGGTCAAGAGTGGGGCTCTTCGCTTTGTTTAGTTCTTCCAAACTTCAAAGCTGACGTGTAAAACTCTAAATGGATAATTGGAAAAAACCCAAAGGAATACTCTACTTTCGTCTGCCAAGTGGCAGGCAACGTATGGACGAGAAAACCAACGCGGATCCCACATAACTTCCCCCAATTCCCACCCAACAATGAAAAAGCAGCAGCAGCAAGCAGCAGAAGAGAGAGGGGCACTCGAGACTGAGACTCCTCAACAGAGCAGTTAGTCCCCGCCACCGGCAATAACTGAAAAAACAAAAAACAAAAAATATCTAAAAGCTTCAGAAAAAAGAAGCTTCTAGATCCTTCTCATCCATGGCGGACACCGCGAGATCCACGGGCACAGTCAAGTGGTTCAGCGCGCAGAAGGGGTTCGGCTTCATCGCCCCCGACGACGGCACCGAAGATCTCTTCGTCCACCAGACCTCGATCCAATCCGACGGCTTCCGGACCCTCTCGGAGGGCCAGCCCGTTGACTTCCTTGTCGAATTAGGCGAAGACGGACGCACCAAAGCCGTCGACGTCGTCGCCTCTATCGCCCGATCCCGAGGTCCCGGCTTTGACCGTGGCCGTGGACGCGGCCGTTTTGGCTGGAGGGGTGGCGGTTATGGCGGGAGAGGGGTAGGCAATGGAGGCGGCGGGCGTGGTGGTTATGGAAGGTTCGGTGGAGGGTATGATGTCGGGAGAGGCGGCGGGAGGGGTGGCGGTTATAGTGGTGGTTACGGCGGTGGTCGTGGCGGTGGCGAGTGCTACAATTGCGGCGGATTTGGGCATTTGGCTAGGGACTGTATTCAGGACGGCGGCGGTGGTGGCGGTGTTGGAAGATTTGGTGGCGGTGGTCGAGGATACGGTAGCCGTGGAGGCGGTGGTGGCCGTGGGTGTTATAATTGCGGAGAGGAAGGGCATTTGGCAAGGGAATGTCCTAATGATCAGAAGTGAGAATTTGGGTCATGTCCTATTGGGTGGCTTGGCTTTGGATGTGGGTGTATAGGTCTCTGTGGTTTCCCACGCTTTTGGTTGCTTGCTTGGTGATTGCTCTTGGCGTATGAAGAAAGGAGGGCTCTTGTTTGTCACCAATGTGTTCTTAATTTGGGTAATTTTTTATTCCTTTTTGCATGATTTGGTGGTATGTGGGTGATTGTTTTTGCATATATTAGATGGTAGTTTTCTCGTTCTAATTCATTGTTTCTCCTCATTTTTCATACCTATTCTTCTTGTTGTTCAATATGAAATCAATGATCATGTTTTGGTGTCATTTGCCACTTCCCTTTATGTTTAATTATTTTTCATTCTTCTTGCTCTGTTTAGAGATGGATTATGTTTTTGGTTCTATAAAAATTTGATGACTTTTGAGTATCTGTAGTTTGACACCAAAATACCAATTTGATCTTTGTTCCTTCCTTCCTTCCTTCCTTGTGGGTATCTCTGAGCAACAAAAAGATGGTCCTTCCTTTTGAAAGGGACATTCACCAGTTTTGCACTTCTCATTTTTTCTGGTTTCAGTTGTGGATTTTTTTTTTTTTGTCTTTCTTTGCATATTCTGTTATATTGCTTTTTTTTTTTTTTTTTTTTTTTTTTTTTTTTTTTTGGTTGCTTGCTGCTAAATTATATCGTGAGTTATCGTCAACTTAATGGCAGCAACATGCTCATCAAGTCAAGTCATCTTATCCACTTCCCTGAAAAGAACAAGAACCATGTCATACACCCTATCCTAGTTGATAATCCATGAGAGGTTGATATTTCACAGTTCAAGATTGCATTTCCCCCTTTCGGCGTGATCAACATCTTTTCGAAATGTCTTCGTCGCGCGTCACTTGTTTCTAAGCTCGTCCTTTACAGTCTTGATCTTCCATGTAGTGTCTTCTTTATCTCCCACTATTCACTTTTGTAGAGGGTAACAAAGATGCATCCCCATGTGTTTATATCTATGAAAGTAGAGTGCATAAGTGAGAGGTTATTTGTTTCATGTGTCAAAAACAATTGCTTTAGGGAATGTTCTGCCAAAACAGCCTCTCTGAAAATTAAAGGTATGGCTACATATTTCTTGCCCTCTCCAAACCCCATATTGGCAGGAGAGCCTTGTGCATTTGGCCACCCTTTCTTTTCTAATTGTTATTATTGGTTGGTTGATCAAAAATTATGACCCTCATTTCATTACCAAGTTCAACCAAAGATAGGTACATGTTTCGGATCATAATAACCAACTTCATTAAGAGTTTTGATTGTCAGTCAAAGAGCTACTTATCAAGATGTTCTTTCGAAGATCACAAAACAATTAACTTGAAATTGCCCGTTGAAGCCTCACTTGTTTTCTCCTGTTCTGATCCCTTGTGTGGTGTCCTTTTTGCTGAAAACAGAATTGCGTTTGATCGTTGTTCTTGCTAGTTACTCTACTTTCTTCTCATCATCCAATTGATGTTGTGAGCGTAAACAAAATGAGAACTAATAAAAGATGGGAATATTTGGTGAAGATCTGTCTCTTTCATTGTGCTTAGAGGCTCTTTCCTTTTCAAGATATTAGTTCATCGTGCATCTATCTACCACAGCCATATTATGAAGGGGCGCTAGAATGTCTCAAATTCTAAGCTGGCTAAATTCTTCCTCGCTTTTGAATGCTTATACGGCTTGGAATTGTTTGATTGATGATGAAGAAGAAGGGTATTATCTAATCACGGGGACTTTTGTTTGATGTATCACTCAGATCGGCCATGAACGCTCATAGGTTTTTTTTCTTTTCTTGACAAAGCGATATTTTAAATTACTCTTAATTTACGAGGAGGGGACTTAACCCACATCTCTACTTTTCACATTTCTTTTACTAAAAGAACACATGCAATTATGCGAGTTTGAGAGAACAAGGATTGGTTTTTTCTTTTTCTTCATCGGTTAAGGCTAAGGAAACCAAAACACAATCCAAATGTCTGGGTTGAACGGCCCCAAAACAGATTACTAGATTAGAGGACTGACCAAGAAGCCATGGCTCAACTATGACGAACCAACAAGAAACCTCCCACCAAACCCAGAAAGGAACCAACTTTTTTTTTTTTTTTTTTTTTTTTTTTTTTTAAAGTCCAGAACATTGTCTATAAAACAATAGATTTGAGGTCAATGAGGTCTAGTCCAATAGAAAAAGAACCTTGACATGCAGACAAGAGGTCTCAAGTTCGAACCCCTAAGGCATTTTAGTTGTGTTAGTGTGTGAGAAATCCCCATAACCTTTAATTTAGACTGTCGCTTGTACTATAAAAAAAGTCAATAGATCTGATATTGGTCAAAATTTAAAACAAGATATGTGAAAAAGGAGGAAAAATAGAAGAGAGAAGAAAGGAGAGGATGGAGAAATGAAGAAAAATGTTTGAAACTAAACTTGAAAAGAAAAACTATTTGAAATTGCTTTTTTACCTTTCATTTTTTGTAGCATTCTATTATACTTTCTCCTCCCCCATTACTCTTGCATGCCTTGTCCTTCCTATTCCCTTCTTTCTCATACCACCCCTTTCTTCAACTGAAAAACCAAAAACTGAGAATAAAAAACGAACTAGTTAGCAAACCAACCCTAAATTTTTATTTAGAATCTGATTAGAAACTGGACAGAGTTGAGCAATTGGCTGGCAGGCCCATTCCCAGCCCACAGAAAAGCTGGTTTAAAAGCAACAGCAGTGATTTTAACCATGTTCAATGGGGTCGGTCGGTCACTCTCACTGTGAAGCAACTAAGCTAGAAATGAACCACACAAAACTTGCAAGACCGGAGAGTGGAAAGCTGCAATCACATTGTCAAAGACAAAGACAGGTCCTGGAGGAGCAATATCAAACTCAGTACAGTATAAAAGTCGGCAGCCTTTGCCTTTATATCTCACCCTCACCAGAAACTTCCACTGGAGGGAGGGCCCTACTGATTTTGACCAACACCCTACCTTCCCCCACTCCCTAATCTACTAGGAAGAACTTGTATATCACGGGATAGCATTGTTTTGCTATTTTTTTTAAAAAGTTAATTGAACGTGACGAAATGTGACTGATTTGGAATATCAAAACAATGTTATTCCCATGATATAAATTTTTTTCGCAAATCTATCAGCATGAGCCTGAGGTCCCCTTTTCCTCTCTTAAGGAGATAAAGAAGGGGGTTGAAGCCTGGCAAGATTGACACAATCCCAATCTTTCTAACTAGTGTAGTGAACTTTTGGTCACCAAAGCCCTGAAAAGGCTCTGACTTTTGGTCAAACACACTTGGGTTGGATCCAAGCACCAGAATGTGAAGAGGGTCCAAGCCAAAGTTTCAGTAAGTTCCAGCCATGTGGTGACACATTTTCTTCCCTGCAGAGATCATAGGACCCCCCACACACGTTTCGCCTTATCTTACACTGTTAACTTGCTGGACCCTCCTCAAGATTTTGATTCTGTTTTCACAAGCTTACAACTTGAATGCCTACAAAACATTTGTTAATGCCTTAATGGGTTGATTTGATTTCAAGTTTCAACCCAGAAAAATTCATCTCTTTTAAGTTTTTAAACTGAAACTGATGGGGTTTCAATTGCCTGGTCAAAAGCATTTTCTCAGTGCATATATGGGCAGATGCAATGATTTTTTGGAGATGCAGAAGAAAAACAAAAAATAAAAAATAAATAAAACATTCCCATGACAAGTCCTCATCTTGGAAAGTTCTAAGCAAAAATTAGGTCCCCACCTTAAAACCCACACTGTATATCTCATCTGAGTTATGAGTTAGGAGGAGCTGCCTTTTTCTTTTCCCTTGCCTTCTCTTCTAATCAATCATATTTCTTTGGCAAAAGTCTAAAAGAGGAATATTCCTTTTTTGAGTTTCATAGGCATCCACTTTGCTGCTTTCATGGCTTTTGCATTTCCTACTTTATATTATGTATTTTCTTTCTCAGTACCAGAGAGAGATTTATGCCCTGGCCCCCAATTCTCTGCTCTATGTATGGGTTATGGAACCCACCTGACCTTATGGTATCAATTTTCAATTGTGGCCAATTTCTTGGGTCACAAACCAGAAATGTATGTAGCTTTTTTTATGAATTTTTTTTTTTTAATACAAGCAAGCAATAGTCTAAACTATAAAGGGAAGGGAAGTTCTTCACACATACACTACCAAGGTGTCATAGGAGTTCGTATCCGAAACCATTGATCTACAAATTAAGATTCTTTTTCATTGAGTTAAATATCGTTGGGAAGATATTATGTAGCTCTAAAAATTATTCAATAGGTGGCTGGTTAATTGAACCGTAGTAGGCAACCTATCCTATACAATGATGTAGAGCTGATTAGACCAAGGCTAAGATTGTTCCTGGTCATATGTCATATACATGGGGCTTTAGGGCCTACGATATTTCCTTGATTTGGTTGGTCAAGACTCCAAATCAATCTTGACCAATGTGTTATGATGGACCAATTAGATATCTTCTGATCCTTGATATGAACATGTCATTCGAGCTTGGGCCTACTAACTATTTCTTCGCTTTCTCTATCAAAGAAAACTTGTGTACGAAAAACTCATGAGCTTCACATTATTAATTTGGGTGACAAAATTGATATTTCATGAAATTATAGTGTAATGTAACATGAATAGATTGATAACACTACAGTATTGAAGGATTTCATTGTCTTTGATAATATTGTAATGTCAGTGAAATCACAGTTATATACCACATGATGTGATAAGTGATGCACATATATTTAATACTCAGTGAGATAAAATCATTAACACACGTTGATTTCCTTTATCTTTCAACCGAATAGTTCTGCCATGTAGCTCGGCAACATGACATGTAACCTTACAGAAGTTTTTCTTCTCTCTCTCTCTCTCTCTCTCTCTCTCTCTCTCTCTCTCTCTCTCTCTCTCTCTCAGATGTAAGGCCAATAATTTATGTTCCATTGGCCTAGTTCTGCCAATGACTAGGTGATTGAAGTTCTCCAACTGATTTGCTAAATCTTTGTCGTTTAAGGCATGTACACACAGAACACATCAAATTAGGCAAAACGACTGATTGACATGCAATGATACCAAGTAATTCAATTAAAGCACATCAGAGTTAGGCCTTGACAATGCCATATATGGGACCAGCAAATTCAATCAACCTTTGCAGCTGGACGGACAATCACATCTGCTTATTATGCAGCAGCATGCTAATGTTTCTCACGCAAAGTCTACACAATTTCAAAGAGTACCACATGAGCCTTTTTCACCCAATCAACACACACAGAGCTTGCAATTGAGGTTGATTTGGGTGCTCAAGAACCTAACTGATACTATGTGGAAAAAAGTGAGCTCAAAGATAGCCTTTTTCACCCAATCAACACACACAGAGCTTGCAATTGAGGTTGATTTGGGTGCCTGATACTAAGTGAAAAAAGTGAGCTCAAAGATAGCCTTTTTCACCCAATAAACACACACAGAGCTTGCAATTGAGGTTGATTTGGGTGCCTGATACTATGTGGAAAAAAGTGAGCTCAAAGATAGCCTTTTTCACTCAATCAACACACACAGAGCTTGCAATTGAGGTTGATTTGGGTGCCTGATACTAAGTGGAAAAAAGTGAGCTCAAAGATAGCCTTTTTCACCCAATCAACACACACAGAGCTTGCAATTGAGGTTGATTTGGGTGCCCAAAAACCTAACTGATACTATGTGGAAAAAGTGAGCTCAAAGATAGCCTTTTTTCACACCCTGTGGCACATTCAGATTGGCACTCATGGACCAGTTATAGACTCTTTCACTATCAACTCCCCAGCAGGATATCAAAGTTGTAAGAGAAGTTGTAGTTTATGACCTACCTCAAGTGATTAAGAGTGTTTATCCTTGCACTCTAGGTCCGATGTTCGATTCCCCGCTCCCCTAATCTCGCTTGTATGAAAAACAAATGTATAATATTTTGGAAGAATAAGGAAAAGAATTACAATCATTCCTAGAGAATTTCAACCTTAATTAACTAGATAGAAATATGTCGAGTCTATAAATTAATTCCCACAAGAGAAAACCAGGGGACTTGCATTTCTTAATTAAAAGAAGACTAATTAATCAACACACAAGGTACAAATGTAGGTCCGTATAAAGGTTGGCCATGATAATTGCCATCACACCTTTTTTTCTTTCTGAAAACCATCAACAATAGATCTTACAAGAGGAAAAAAGGGCAAAAAAAAAGAAGTTAAGAGGATAAAAAATACAAATCAAGTAAGAAAAGAAAGGTTTACAAATGCCAATCTCTTTACACACTTACATATGTATCTTTTAAATTGTTAATAAAAACTTTCTGGAAAGTAGGGGGAATCTACTCATGCTTTGTGTGGGGGGCATTGGTAGCACTTGGTGAATAGACCAAATGTGTCGACTTGTCGTATGAAGTTGAGCATGCTTGCCCACCCTCCAAAACCAAATCCCACTATCAAAACCCAAACCACCACAAAGCTGTTAATGGCGTATGAGCCAGCCCACCCTCCCAACAATGATGGTGGTCTCTCTACAGCATTCTGTGTGTCATCAAAAAAAACAATGAACATATCAGAAACTTATACCTGGGACAATTTGATATGTTATGCTACCAGACTGTGAATTGGATCCTAAATTCAGTAGATTCTTGTTTGAATGTATAGTTAGTCTAACAACATAACATGCCGGATATTTCAGGTAGGAGAATGTTACCCTCCTTAATTAGCAATTAGTTCATCCCAATGAAAATTAAAAGTGGACTAACCTCTCTAGCAGATGCAGAAGCAAAGGTGACCATGTGAGCTAAAGCAGGAATTATGTAGACAGTAAAGCTGACAAGAAGAGATCCAACAGTTGAGTTGATGGGCCCAAAGAATGGGAATATGATAGCAAGGAACCAAATTGGGATCACCACTGGGAGCCTAGCCAGGGCCCTCTTCAACATGCTCTTGGTCTCATGCATTTGAATGAATTTCTCCCACACAAAGTACAAAGGGGTGCAAGCAAATCCAAATGTGATAAACTGTGCACACCAACCAAATCATTAATTAACAATTAGAAATCCCATTTTAAGTCACTAAATCAAATTGGTTTTGGTTGTTAATTAAGAAACTGTTGATTTAGTACCTGATGGATGAGCATGAGCACAACAGCAGTGTCTCTAAATCCAGTCCTTGGAAGCAAAGCTAGAGCATTGGAATGAGTCAAGAGATTGTCCCCAAAAGCCCAGTAAACAGCAGAAGCTGATGGCAGAGTTAAGGTCAGCACATAGAGTGTGGCCATCAAGTATATCAACTTGAATTTCTGTGGCTTCCACATTGCATGCATAATCTCCCTACACAACACACAACCAATCCCAGATAATCAAATTCCAGTTAAAACCCAAAAATTGCAACAGCTTCCTCTGTTCTTGGATATTAATTAATTTTCATAAAGCCCTCACACTGTAACAGCATGTCCACCAAATGTATAGAGAATGTTGGTAGCTCCAGTGAAGTAGAGAACCATTGTGGTTGGACCAGAGTGCTTCACTCCCTCAACCTTGGGGGGCACAAAGAAAAATATTAGATTGCAACTTCTGTGTGTGATTTTTTTGGTGATCTAAATTAAGCAGTGATCGCAAAGGACTCCTAGGCAAGGTCTTAGGTTCAAGTCCTAGTATCCGTGTAGTGTATGTGAGTTTAGTATATTATCGCCGTCCTCAAAAAATTAAGCAGTGATCAAATCTAATTGAGGGATGTAATTAATTAATAGGAGATATAGAATCTACCTTTCCATGGATAAGGGAAGCAATGGTGAGATACCAAGCAGTGTAGGTGGTCATAATGAGGCCCAAGAATGACCAAATTCTGTAATTATGGAAGGAGGGGATGAAGACAGTTGTAGCACAGCAAGCTCCGAAGATATAAGTCCAAGTCCTCTTGTCAAGATTGTCGTTTATGTAGTAGATGTTACTAAGATCAAAACAAAAACACAAAGACAAACCAAATTTTATTATCTAATTCTTTTCTACATATATTATTTATAAAATGAAATAATAATAAAAAAATAAAGTATTTACCTTGCACAGGCAATTAACTGAATTACAGATCCGAACAGAAGAAAAGTGCAGTTGAAAAAGAGGCCAACATTCCTCCAGTGCTTCCCCAGCAGCCCATCAAGAACTTCAAACCACTGCCAATATTTATAACAATCAATGTTTATAAAGAAACTGGAATTATAATTATATATAGCATTAGTTTTTACAAAATTAATGGAGGAAGATTATATACCTGAATTACATGGTTCCTAAAATCAACCTTTTCTCTTTCCTTTCTAGTTCTGTACTCAACATAGAGCAGACTGATGAGGTAAGCAGTCCAGCTTCCCATCAAGCCATAGAAAAGCTGAAATAGAATCCCAGATAGCAAACCCAGCTGTGAAAATGAGTATGGCAGTGTGAGAAGCACTTGGGCAACCTGCATTAAAAATTCCATTAAAACCAAATTAAGATATATAATTATAATTAGGTAAACACATCAAATACACAGTTATATTAACACAAATGATAAGATATGTAAAACTAAGAAGTTTGGTAAATAAGATTAAATATGTGCCTGATTAGAAGCACAGCTAAACCATGCATCATAGGCTGAGCCGCCATGCCAAAGAAAGGTGGAGAGCTTGCTCTTAGTTGTCTTTGAGTCAATCTCTTCCCCTTCTCTTTCCATTTCTACGTAGCTTCCGGCTATAACAGTCTCAACCTTCTCAGAAGCCATTGTTATAGCCTTGGTGGTGGTGGTGTGGGAGGAAGCAATGGATGAGTGTATGAGTAGTCTATAAATAGATAGAGGGAGTGCTCCTTTTTCACTACTATTTCCACTCCTTAAGCTTAACCTATATGTATGTATATCTTATAGCACCACTTTGCTTTTTTGTAGAACTCTTTAATTTTTATGAGCAATAATTGAGTCACCCAAGTGGAGACCTAGCTACATCATCACCCTAATTAGCCCTTAGGAATGTCATTGCACATATGATATATGCATGCATATTATTTAACAAATAGTATTTCAAATCCCCTATATTCTATTTCCAAGTTATGGGGAAAAAAAAATTAACAAACATATGTCACACAAGATAGTAAGTGTCTAAAATGTGTATCGACCTGTATAAACTACCTTCGATCGTATATTCTTAACTTAGCTACATATTTAATTTCAGTTTTATTAGATCTTTATCTCATTGTGTTTTTTTTATTTTTTTTGGGGTCAAAATTTATCTCATTGTGTTGAGGTTAAGATTCATTGGTACCACATGGGATTTACTTTATTTCATCCTAAATTTTGATTTTATATATATTTGTTATTTGGACATGGAAAAGCTGTTGATGGGCCATGCTTAGTATGCATTGCACGAGCGGGGTGGCCCATGCATGATGCATATGGATGGACGGATGGATGATGTTGAATCTGTGTAGAGAAAAGTGAGGTAAAGAAGAAGATCTGTGTTTATATAGAAGGGTGTGGAAGGTGGATGAAAGTTGAAGGATTATAAGAAGTGCTGTTTTTGTGTGGATTTGAGTGTGAGTGTGGGGGAGCCCATAAGATGGAGTGAATGATTACTTTGAGGTGGGCTTGGTGCTAAACATGATTAGCACCACACGTGTGTGCCAACTGGCTTTACAAAAAGAGATCTAAAAATCCCCTTTACCCCTTTTTAAAAAAAGTTTAGGTCCCTAAAGGGTTCTTTGGGCCATTGATTCAGCTTCTAAATTATGGGATTAATCAAGTGTCTTCGCAAATCCCAGTTTTGGTGGTGGTATATATATATATATATACAGTCCCCTTCTATTGAGGGATCCCTCAAATAATTTTATTTGAGGGACGCCTTTTAGGGTACCCTATAATTTTTTTTCCAATGATCCAAACCATATATTTTTTAGGTCTTCATTCATAGATCATCCTTACAAAAAATTAGACAAATCGGAAATCGTTTCGACATCCAATTGTGTCTTACAAAATTAATGAACACGGTGCTTCAAGAAAGTACTAAAATTTCAATAACTCAATTGAGTAGTCAAATGATATCGGATTCAAGTGATTTTTTGTAGAGATGATCTTTGAATGAGTATCTACAAAATAGACGGTTTGGATTAGTGAAATACAATCCATAGTGGGGCCTACAAGGGGTGTCCCTCAAATAAGCTTATTTGAGGGATCCCTCAATGGAAGCTCTCTGTATATATATATATATTTAGTACAAATGATAGTCTAAGCTATAATGGAAGGGGGATTTCTCATACACAGATAATTAAGGTGTCATGAGAGTTCGAATCTACCTGAAATCATTGGTATGCGTAAGTCAAACTCCTTTTCCACTGAACCAGACTTCATTAACGTAAATCAAACTTCTTTTCCACTAAGTTAGAACTCATTCACATAGTGATAAAATTTTAAATTAGGTTAGTTGGAGGATCTTTTCTATACGTAAACACTAGAAAGTTTATGCAATCTATCCAGCTTCATAATTTTGATCTCACCAAAATTTTATTTTCCCTTTAATACGCCAACCACTATGTCTGAAGGTGTGAGGAAAAGTTTATTTGGTCATTTACATCATTAATGAATAAATACAAAGTTCAGTTAATTCCAAAGTTTGACTGATAATGGACCAGGGTGGCAAGGATGCCGATTAGCTTCTGGCACTGGCAACCCCATTTGGCCCAACGTTATTTAGGATTAGCTTCATCTAATACGATTCTTGGGAGCTTTCTACCTACCCTTGGACTCATTACTTCAAGCCCTTGTTTGGTAGTTTGGCATGAAGTTAACTATTTCAATCAAATTAACTAATCTCCTTGTTTATGTTTGGTGAATTTATAAATATTAGGATTATATTTATTAAATTTGACAATAGTCCAATATAGCGTCGGACAAGTCTCGTTTAGATTTAGAAGAATGAGACTCATTATAACTAGTTTGAAATTAATTTCAATTCAGTCCAAACCGAACCACTAAATGAAGTCAATGAGCATATAACAATCCAAATAGAATAAAGATTCAAAACTTTTGCTTTATTTCTCTTTAAGTCATGTAATAATTCAGATGAATGGTCTTACAAATCTTTCTATTTAAGAATTTATTTGAAGACACAAAAATCATGCTTTTTTTGGGGTAAACTTGGATGGTCATTTTCATCATATGTACTAGATTATGATATTGGTGAGTGATTACCTAACTACTACCTGTTTAAAGGGAGTGGCCCGAGTAGGTCTAGGCCTAAAGTCTAACCCCACCCTGCATATGCAAAACTTTAAGAATAATAGACACTTTGGGGTGACTAAAAGTTGGGGCCAAGGAGCTTCCAAAAGGATAAAAAAGCAACTAAATAACCCACCTTTTGACTTGGTTCATATGCTTAGACATATATCATTATCTCATTTTCCTAAAGAACATTTTGCATAGTTTTGGATTTGTTTGGACGTTGAGAAAATATATGTTCCTTTAAATGTAAGGGTGGGAAAAAAGAAACCGATCACATTGTTCAAACCGACAAAAATCAATCAATCTTGAAAGTTTGATTTGATTTTTAATTATAAACAATGTAATCTTGTACTGAATGAAATCACACTGTAATTAAATATGTGTTTCTTCACCATTTACTATTATGTTTCTTCACACATATCATTGATATCAACCTATTATATCATTAGATTGTTAGTTTGTTATTTTAATGAAATGTTGAATGTTGTTAGGAGGTTAGAGATATAGGATGTGGGTGTAATATTGGTTTTATGGTAAGAAATGTTTGTTGAATTTGTTTAGAATTTAAAAAGTTTTTTTTTTTTTTTTTTTTTTTTTTTTTTTTTTTTTTTCGGGTGCTTGTTAGATGTAGAAAGTGTGTAAATGCAAGTTTAGAAAAATGAAACACTAAAGAAATGATTCGGTTGCAGATATAGGATTAGTGAAGTTAGCTAGAGTGGATGTGCTCCCCACTCTGTACCTAAGTTCAAATCTACCTATTCATCGTTTAAATTAGTTTAAAGTAGATTATCCCTTGTAAATAAATAAAAAATAAAAAAATTCTACGGTGATTGAGCTAAATTGCTATAAAAAATGCAAAAAAGGAAAAAAAGAAAGTGTATTGGGCTCAAGCCCACACCCAATATTGATGGTTTCTCCAATAATTTAGGCCTAGGGCAACAGCACCAACTTAGCCCATTTGATATCAACATGACCCGAATTTAACCTGAACCGGCCACATAAACATGAGCTTGGCCCATTTAAAATCAGCATGGCCCAATTAAACATCTGTCGTCTCCCTCATTTAAACTTGCCGCCGGAGACTGCGGCTCCAAGCCTATCTCAGTCCTCGACGGCGCCATTCTCCTCCGCCGATTCAAGCTGATATTCAACTCCAGCTGAGGTCTTACTTCTTGGGTTTCTCTCATTTTCTGTTCTTAGTGTTGTTTTTTCTTGCTGTCTGCTTGTTTGGTTTCGGAAAAATGCAGGAAAATAATCATTCACCAAGAAAGAAAAACATGAAAAGACATTTCAATTTCAGATTTCCAATTTGGAGAGGTTGAAGAATTGGCATAGATTTTTTTTTTAAAGAAAGAAAAAAGATAAAAGACAAAACTTTACTAAATCATGCCTATGGCAGCTTAAACCTTTATTAATGTCAAATTTTCCCTTCAGTTTTCTGATCAAACAAACAGTAGGACAATTGCTCATTAATTTTTTCCTGTTTTCCCTTTTCCTTTCCAGCTGTCCTTAAGGAAACTGTTGGCCAGTTCCAGTAGTAACATGCGGAAGGAATCTGAATTCTGAATTAAGATTTCTGATCTTGGAAGTTAAATCTTTTAAAAATATGGTGTCTTTTGAAAGTAAAGTAAAGGAGTTGATAGTTTTTTTTGGTACCAAAAGTGAAATAGGTATCAATAGTTTCTGCAAATGGGGAATTTTCAGATTAATTTAAACTTTGATGCTGGTCCAAAAAATTTATGGGAAACGAAAAGTAGAAACAAGTATAGGGAACCTAGATAAACTTGCAGGAAAGGATTAGGAAAGGAATCAGATTAGCTAGCATTGCTCAAAAAGCTTCCGTTGAATTGCTGCAACTGCTTTGGTTTTACTAGTCCTTTCTCCACACGTATTCTTCTTCACCCTCTTGTTTTATAAGTGGATGTTGTAAACTGTACAAGCGCAATTCATTCATGGTTCATCTAAACCAGTCCTCTTAAAGTGAGATAGACAAAGAAAGAAAGGGAGAGAGAGAGGAGAGAGGGAGTTAGTAAGGAAAATGGCAGCGCATCTCAATGTGTTCTTACCAGTTTTATTGGTTTTTATGGCCATTTCATCAGGTATTCTTTATCATAGCAATCTTTGTGGTTTAATCTTTCTCTCAGAATTGCGTATGGATAATGACATTGATGAGAAACATATATACTTTTTACATGTAGATAAACCATTAACCTTAGAGTAAACTTATAATGGCCAAAACTATTAACCCTTTTAGCTCATTTGTGCACCATCATTTGTTATCAAGTTTAGAAGCAACTGACTTCTTGGTTTTTGCAGGACCAAAGTTATCAGAGTCTGCTAGAATTTTCACCATAATAAACAATTGCAAGGAGACAGTCTGGCCTGCAGTGACCCCAGGGGAGAGCTTTAATGGTGGTGGTTTTATGCTAAAACCGGGCCAGTCAGTCATATTCACTGCCCCAGTCAGCTGGTCTGGCAGGATATGGGGTCGAACGGGCTGCAACTTCGACAACAAAAATGGCAACACTTCATGCCAGACCGGAGACTGTGGCGGCACCCTCAAGTGTGGAGCTTCAGGAAAGACGCCAGCAACACTTGCCGAATTCACATTGGCAGCTCCAGACTTTTATGATGTTAGCCTTGTTGATGGGTTCAACTTGCCAATGGTTGTGACACCTCTGAATGGTACGGGAAATTGCAGTGTTTCGGGTTGCGATGGGGACCTGAGGTCCAGTTGCCCATCTGTGCTCTCTGTCAAAGCAAATGGGAAGACTGTTGGATGCAGGAGCGCCTGTGATGTGTTCAACACTGATGAGTATTGTTGCAGAGGGGTTTTTGGCAACCCTGTTACATGCAAACCCACATATTATTCCAAGATGTTCAAAGAAGCATGCCCTACTGCCTATAGTTATGCTTATGATGATCCAACCAGTATCTTTACTTGCTCTGGCACAGATTATGTGGTTGCATTCTGCTCAAACAGGTTTGTTCATGAACCCATTTTAGACACTAAAGCTGTTTTGAATCTCTCTTAGGGTAATGTTCTCTTGCTAGATATCTGCACGATACATTCGAATAAGAATACACTTAAGCAATGAATGCAGTTTGAATCTAGCTCCTGCCTAATTTAAAGCCCTCAAAGCACTCAAATTTTACCCCCTTCTGTGCATTGTGCATGCATTGCAGATGACAATTGATCAATGTCTGAGCAATCTGTATTTGACCTTTTTGCTTGCTGTGCAGTCGATGACATTTGTTTTTGTTTATGTATATACAGGAAGCAACCAGTGTGCACATATCATAACCACAAGCTTGTCTGTAGTGCTAATGGATCAAAAGGTTTAAAGTCAATGAGATGGACTGTGATGCTTGCACTGATGGTGATGATTAATTTATGGATTATTTTTTGAGAAAAGGGTTTTTTTTTTCCCCATGAAGCTTAGAGGTGTGTTTGTTTTACATCCCCTTTGAACTTACAGAGCAGCACCTGAAAAGAAGGTAAGAATTGTCCGTACTAGTTGTACATATGAAGTTATTCATTTTATTCTTTCCTTCAGAAGAGGGAAAATAATGTATGCCATCTGACTTAATTTGGATCAGCACTATGTGTAAAATATTGTATAGCGAAGCTGGTATGGTCCTTTGTAATGCCAAAAGTATATCACCATTGCTTGGGCTATTAATATGCTTGTTGCTCCTTACTTATAAGGCCACTGGCTGTTTAATCAAGTACAAAGCATTCCGGTTTGGGCTAAATCTCAAACATAAACCAAACCAATGTAATGTCATGGTTCGTATTGATTCGGTTTAGGCCTCAAGTTAGCATCATGGTTTCCGATTGAGGCCTTGTATTGTTTAATTGCTTATGAAGGAAAATAACCAAATCAATCGGTAAAAGGGAAACTTCACATTGAAAATTGAACGGTTTAGGGGTTTTAGCTTTTAGAATTAAATATTAATTTATGAGATGAAACATAATAGTAAATGATGATAACCAATAAGAAAATGCCAATTATAAAAACAAACAATAAAATCAATATAGGCAATTTAGTTTGGTTTAGGGGTTTCCAAATAGGTCAAATCAAATTGAATCAAAATAATTGTAGTTTGATCCGTCCAGTCTAAAATCACAATATTTTTGTGTTTGTATAAAATTCGAACAAAATCAATTGAATTAGTCTGAACGGTTTTATCAACCCAACATAATAATTCTCAAAATTGAAATAATACATGCAATAATTTCTCAGCTAATGAGGTCTAGTCGAGTAAAAAGAATCTTAACTTGCAGACTAGTAGTATCAAGTTCAAACTCTCATGACACTTGATAGTGTATATGTGAGAAAATCCCCTCCTCCAATATCTTTGCATCTAAAAATAAAATCATTCCCAAAGGATTTAAAAAAAAAAACATATAATCACAAAACAATGCCTCCTCATCGTTAAAAATACGAACGAGAACGAAGCAGGTTGTCCATATGTATATATACAAGACCGCTCCTTAACATGCAAACAACGAGAAAAATAAAATTATAAAATAAAAAATGGCGGGTGGTGGAAAGGGATGTTGGGGATTTTTGTTAAATAGGGTGCGATTCGTTTTTTTTTAATTGTCGAAACCCAAAAATACCCTTCAACGGTCATACGCATAATGGTCAATTAGCTGGTGGGGTGGGTCTCACGGGTGCCACGTCAGCATTTAATGATTGACATTGACCGTGTGGTCAACTTAACAGAAAGATGAAATTGGACGATGTTGAAAACGTAAGGGTGTAAATTGATAAAATTGATACCCTATGGCCCAAATTGAGAACGACCCCAAATCTGCAAGGTGTTTTTGTCGTTAGCCCTTGAATATTTTAAAAATTATGTCTTTCTTTTGAAAGTAAATTAAAGGAGTGTTATGTAGAAGTGTCAACCAATAGGTGAAAATAAACAACAACTGCTAAGGGATAAAAGAAATAGGCTTATTATCACAAAACGTCCCTAAGGTCTACGAAAATATCATATTGCATCATTAATGTTTTTTTTTTGTCAATCGTGGTCCTCAATATTAGTATGTGTTATTGCAAATGGTCCATGTCATTAGGTTCCGTCAAAAACTCTGTTAGTTTGCTGACGTGGTATATACATATATCATAAACATCCTTGAGGTTCACGCACCTATCACAAATGGTCCATTCAAATTTTTTTAGTTTTTTCATTTAAAATTTATAAAATTTTGGTTTTCTTTTAAAAAATTTATGAATTTTAAATTATTTAAAAATATATATTATATTTTAAATACATGTGACATTATATTATTGTAGATGTGGGCTCCATATATATGTCACATCAACAAACTAATGGAGTTTTTTAAAAATAATTTAAAATTCATAAAATATAAAAATGAAAAAACTAAGGGTTTAGGGTTCATAAATGGTCCTCAAGATTAAATTCTTCTATAAATGGTTTTTTCATTTATAAATAATTTTAAAAAGAAAACCAAAATTTTATGAATTTTAAATTAAATTTTTTTTGTAAGGACCATTTGTGAAATGTGTGTGAACTTCAGGGATGTTTTGTGATATATGTATATGTCACCTTAGCAAATTAACGGAGTTTTTGACAGAACCTAACGGCAGAGACCATTTGTGATCACACATACTAACCGTGAGGATCACGAATGACAAAAAAAACATTAAGGATGCAATATGATAGTTTCGTAAACCTTAGAAACGTTTTGTGATAATAAGCTAAAGAAATAAAACAACAACAAGAACACCAAGATTTATATTGGTTTGGCCTTGCCTACCTCTAGTTTGGAGACGACGGAGTATTCCACTATAATCAAATGAGAGAATACAATAGTGTTTAACACTTAGAAACTCAACCCCCAAATATACCCAAGATCACAAAATCAAGAATACAAAGGGAATACAAAGTGATTAATTTATGGATTAGTTTTTGAGAAAATGGTTTTAGAGGTGTGTTTGTTTTATATCCCTTCTGAACTTACAGAGCAGCACTTGAAAAGAACGTATTAATCTCTTTGTCCAAGAATTGTCCACACTGGTTGCACACATGAAGTTATTCATTTTATTCTTTCCTTTAGAGGAGGGCTAATAATGAATGCAGTCGGCTTGCTTTACACACTTTCTTTTTCTCCCCTCTCCCTTCTTGAACTGGGTTTGATCAAGTTGGGTCTAATCAACTGGCTCAACCCAATCCATGTATGCCATCTGACTTAATTTGGATCAGCACTATGTGTAAAATATTGTATAGCAAAGCTGGTATGGCCCTTTATAATGCATAAAGTATATCACCATTGCTTGGGCTATTAATATGCTTGTTGCTCCTTACTTATAGGGCCACTCACTGTTTAATAAAGTACAAAGCATTCCGGTTTGGGTTAAATCAAAACATAAACCAAACCAAGGTAATATCATGGTTCATATTAATTTGGTTTAGGCCTCAAATTAGCGTCATGGTTCCGATTGGGGCCTCGTATTTGTTTAATTGCTTATGAAGGAAAATAACCAAATCAATCGGTAAAAGGGAACTTCATATTGAAAATTGAACGGTTGAGAGGTTTTAGCTTTCAAGATTAAATTTTAATTTGTGAGATGAAACATAATAGTAAATGATTAACCAGTAAGAAAATGCCAATTATAAAGACAAACAATAAAATCAATATAGGCAATTTAGTTTGGTTTAGGGGTTTCCAAATAGGTCAAATTAAATTGAATCAAGATAATTGTAGTTTGATCTGTCCAATCTAAAATCACAATATTTTTTTGTGTGTATAAAATTCGAACCAAAACAATTGAATTAGTTTGAACGGAAATCAACCCAGCATAATAATTCTCAATTGAAATAATACACGCAATAATTTTTTATTAGTTGAAGTTTTTATGTTATTTCTCAGCGGATAGTCAATTAGGTCTAGCTCAATGAAAAGAATTTCAATTTGCAGATTAATGATATCGGGTTCAAACGCTCATAATATATTAACAGTGTATAAATGAGAAAATCCCCTCCTCCAATATCCTTGCATAAAAAAATAAAATCATTTCCCAACAGAAAATTAAAAAAAAAACATAAAATCACAAAACATGGCCTCCCCATCGTTAGAAATACGAACGAGAACGAAGCGGGTTGTCCATATGTATAGATACAAGACCACTCCTTAACACGCAGACAGCGAGAAAAATAAAAAATGGCGGGTGGTGGAAAGGTGTCCTTCAAAGTCACTCTAACCTCCGATCCAAAGCTCCCCTTTAAAGTGTTCGTATAACCCTCGATTTATATCTTCAATTCCTCTTCGTTAACGTCTTTTCTGCTTCTCGATTTACAATAATTTGATGAAATTTCTCAGCTTTTGTTTTTGTTTTTGTTTTTCAGGTTTAGCGTTCCTGAGGCAGCCCCTTTCACCGCCGTTCTGAAATACGCAGCTGAAGAATTCAAAGTTCCTCCCCAGACCAGCGCTATTATCACCAACGGTATTTCATTCCTGGGCTTTTGCATTTTGCTATTGATTTCATTTTTGTCTCGTTAAGTCTCTGATTTTCTAATTGATCATCGGTTTGCAAATTGGTATTGATTTCTTTTTCGTCTTGTAAAGTATTTATTTTTTTAATCGATGATTTGGGTATGATTGGAAATTTCATTGATTGATCGAATTAGGGTTTATGGTTTCCGGAATTGGGAATCCCTTTTTATGATTCAGTGTGAGATTAGATCTCTATGAAAACAGAAGTTGTACTCTTTAATTGAGAGCTCGGACTTTTAATTCTTGTAGAGCATCATAAGTGATGCAAATTTCAAAATCAAAATTGAAAACTTTGAACCAAGGGAAGAACGGAAAAGGATGGAGCTGAGAGAATTTAAGCAAAAAGGGGGAATTTGAATTGCAGATGACATTCTAGGAATTTTTTATATTAGGAACTGGTCCATCATCATTTTCTATGTGACTAAGCTCATGTAAAGTTCACTTGAAGGCAGTCTACGGTATCCTCTAGAACTTGTAAAGAATATCAACAGTGCATGACTTGTTTTGGTTGCTGAAATGTAATTGAAAAATGTCCTGCATTTTTTTGAAGAATCAATGTGGCCAATTTGAAATGCAAAACCATTTTGCCAAAACATACCGATATCTCCAGTCCTCTTCCCTTCCTGGACAACAGTGTTATTAGTTGAAGAACTGTGTGTTTTTCCCCTATCCTTAGATCCAATCACAAATTGACATTGGTACTATCCAATCTTTAGACAATTGAAATTTAATTTGATAAACAGTGAGACTTTTATAATGAAAAACCCCTTATCTCCTAATTTGATATAAGTAAGGGAAAAGTGCAGGTATGCCAATGCTTGTTGATTGTCACCATTCTATTAGTTCTCACTTGTTGATTGTTATTGTGCAGATGGTGTTGGAATCAATCCTCAGCAAAGTGCAGGTATGCCAATGTTTTACCTTTATTGCTTTATTTCTTTTCCCCGTTCAATTTTTACCAGAAAAGAAAGTGTATAATTTATATTTAAGAAAAAGGGAATGGTGGAAATACTGACAAGATAGTTTTTGCTACTAGCGCCTGCACTGGGGCTGTTGCTTCTTTGTTATTCTTTACACATGAAATGAGACCCATTGGCACACCTTAATATATAAATTAAAATCTGTCATCCTAGACTTAAGTTTATGTTTATTGGTAAGTTACTTGAAAACTAAAGGGGTATGAAAATGAATCTATGGATTCTTTATATGAGGACGGTTTAATGGTGTTTTAGTTTAATGCTATAATATATGTCCATGGAGATGTATAAAAAATTGCTAATGAGTGCTATTTTTCTGTGCACCTCCCAACAGATGGCAAACTGTCATTATTATAGAATGGCTTATATCCTTGGTTTCACATAAATTTTTTACTGGCTTTCTCAGGCAATGTGTTCCTCAAGCATGGTTCCGAATTACGCCTGATTCCTCGAGATAGGGTTGGGGCTTTTGGGACAACAGACACAGCATTACCATCAAACTGAAGAAATGGTCTACTTCTTCATGTGAGGTCTTTTATCTTTTTTTCTTTTTTATGGTATGTACCTTATTATTAAGTTGTGAGGATTATCTGCGTCAGTTTAGTTGACGATATTAACTCTCCAGTTAAACCGAGATAACAGGTAACTAATAGATGCATTTGAATAATATATCAAGGACAGTTACAGTTCTGCTTTCTCTGTTGGAGGTCCATCTGTCCTGCGTCCTTAGAAATTAGAACATATACACAGCATCTTTTACCCCTCAAACCTTGAGAAAATTTTCAAGTGTGGCCGTAACACCGCCATGACTGGTGAACTCGAGAATTAATTGGGAGCTATTTGGTACTTGGACTTGACTAAGTTACTTAATACATGTGCCCCAGCACCCGAGATCTTAGGTTCGACTCCCCATTCTTTCAATATCGCTTGTATAACAAACAAGCATCCCCTTGGCTTGGCTGGGCTAGGTTTGGGATGTGATGTTTGTGGGCTATGCAGATGGTTAATCCTAGGGCAAAAGTCACTCTGTCTCGGCCCAATATAGTGCACTTGGTAGGTATCTTACAGTACCTAGCCAAGATTATTAACCATGGAGCTTTGTTGGAACCCATGTGCAAACTGCACCCAGATTACAACCGTAAGAACATAGCCCGAAATGGAGGTTCTTGCAATACGTAAACTATAAAAGAGTTATTGATCTCAATGGTCTCCCAACAATTGCTCAAATATCATTTCAGTCCACCAACTAAAATTTTCATTTGAACCATCCTTCAACTCCTTTTTTTTGTATCAAGATGATTCTACCGTTAAAGTTTGTCAATTTTATAGCTAAATTGAGGGGTAAAAATGTCTATAAGAATTAAAATAGTAATATATAATTAAAAATTAAAGGAAACTATTATAAAACTTGGAAAATTTTAAAAAATTGAATCTCACCAGCCACATGGCTTTTTTTTTCGGTGAGATTGACCTAACAATTAATAAAAAAAATTCTCTATTGTTTAAATTAATTAAAATCACATAAATATAAAAATAAAATAACAAATTTTTTAAAAGAGTAAACAAGAATTAAAAATTAAAGGAAACTATTATAGGAACTTGTACCTAATTTTAAAATTGAAAAAATTGAATCTCACCACCAACATGGCTTTTTTTGGCTGACATGGACTTAAAAAGTAATAATTTTTTTCTCTATTGTTTAAATTAATTAAAAAAATTTAAAATCAGATAAATAACAATAAAATTGACGGACTTTAATGGTAGGACCATCTTGATACAAAAAAAAAGAGTTGAAGGACGGTTCAAATGAAAATTTTAATTGGTGAACCAGAATTATACTGGAGCAATAGTTGGGGGACCATTTCAGTCATTAACCCTTTTTTAAATAATATTTTACTTTTTTGCCACTCAATTTAATGAAATATTTGACCAACTTTAACTATAGGACCATCTTGATACAAAAAAAGAGAGTTGAAAGACGGTTCAAATGAAAAATTTAGTTCGTGGACCAAAATGATACTGGAGCAATAGTTGGGGGACCATTGGGATCAATAACCCACTATAAAAACATAACCAACTAAGCATACAAAACAGTTAGAACAAATATACATCTTGAATCCCAGTTAACATGGAGTTACAGATGAGGAGGACCCAATTCTCTGCAACAACTACTGCTTCAAGAAGATCAAGGCAGAAATAATCTCTCAAACATCATGGGACAAGGAGGGCATAACTGTTAATCTTCCACTAGGACATTCCACAAAATATCACAGCATCTCCTATCTCCACTTGATCCCCAATCACAATAGATTGTAAACCCACCAAATTCAGCAGCTCCACCTCCAACACAGAGAGATCTACAAGATATCTACCACAAAAATAGCAGATCTATCAAGATCTTCCAAAAACCAGTCCCAAAAGGCAGGGACACAAACCCTAGAGAAACAGGGATGAAACAAAACCTTGCAAAAGCAAGGATCAGACAAAACCCAACAAAAGTTGGGAGGGAAAACCTCTCCACAACATAACCGGGGGGTAGAGTGGGGGGGGAGGCCCAATTATTAGCATAAGGGGGTGGTTCCAGGAGAGAGGCTTGCCTGACTTTAGTGTTCCAATTCTGGCTCTACAAAATTTATGAATGTGGCATTAACAATACATATATATGCTGCTGTTATTTATATGAGCCGCCCAATCAACCAACTGAAAACCAACTCCTCCCCCAGATAGTTTTCATCAAAGTAGAGTAGGGATTGTCATTAACCAACTAAAAACTACACCGCCATATTGGTTTGATCCTAAGTAGAGTTGACATTGGCATTGGTTTGGTAGGGCACATTGACATTGGGAATTGTATAGCTTTCGATTTGTTAGTTGCTAAGGGCTCGTTCGGTAACCTTTTTAAAGAATATTTTCACCAAATAAAGTTAATAAAACAAATTTACAATTTAAAGATACGATTCCGTTGAAAAATCAACCATGGTATATAAACCAAGGGAACAATGCCAATGCTAATTTGGCATTACTTATTTTGAAAACTTGTGTTCTCTCAAACTAGCAAACATGAAAACCTAATCAAAGGATAAATATCTTGAGCGCTAGCTAGTTCAAAAGGACATCGCTGTCCAAAAATGGATGGTAGGACTGAAGACACGACAAATGCATTTAGATTTGTATCTAACTAAAGAGCTCTTCAATGAGGTGATGAATTTTCTGTACTGACCCATCAGATTTATTTGTCTCCCTAACCAGCTTTCCAGTTTATGCATCCATGGCTAATAGCAAACTTAGCCCCACCAGCTAAACTCCACACCTAAGTTTTGTCATTGCGTATTCGGAACATTCAAGCTTTATATCATCACAAAGTTGATGGAGAGCTATTAATGCAAGAAGCTGGAAACTGCTCCAAATAGTAAAGATAAGACATTGATGGACCATTTCTTGGTGCATTTGGTTTTACCTGGAATTTCCATGTTAACATGTTTAATTTACCACTTTGATGTCGGTTGTAATTCAAGGATGGCTGGTTGAATTTACATTTTTGTTTGCTGTAATTTGATGTTAATAATTTTAGTCATGTAGTTTAGCTTGGTGTGCAAGTAAGTTCAAATCGTAAACTTCATCTTCACTCTCATCCACATTTTCATTCTCCTTCTTTTTCCTCTATACTTTAGCGCCAAAAAAATAAGAATAAAAAAAAACTAAAATTGAAACATTTATCAAGCAGGTCCTAAAGCAATAAAAATCAAGTCAAACTACAAATACAACAAATTGTAATTTGGTCTTCAAGGAGTGGGATTGCATCCTATCCAATCACCTTAAACTTCCTTTTCGATTTGGAAAGATAGAGCTAGATCACTTTATGCTTGTTTAGTTGGGCAAAACCTTAACTAACCATATCATTAAACCTTGCACATTGTTTCCTTAAAGTTATGCAATATGTCAAACTCACTTTATTTCAACTTTGTACAGAAACTAGTTTGTCAAAGTTTATATGAGTCCAATAATGGTTTTGGGTTCAATGATACTTCATTTTCATTAAAATGTAAGATCAAAATTCAATCAGAAAGTAACTTGAGTCGAAGAAGTACGTTCTAATACCTTACGAAGTCATGATCGAGAATGAATAAGAATTGTGTTTGCACTTAGCAATTGCCCTATATACACACTTGTAATGCTTGTATTGTTCGTTTTCTTTTAAAAAGAATGTTCACAATGCAAAGATCATGGGGCTTAAGTTAACCCTAAACCTAGCAAGTTGGAATGTTGCAAGGGCACTTTTTTTATTCAATTTCTAATATTGTTGACTTTAGTGACACTCACAAGTTACAACACAATGTGCGCATGATTAGAATATAAAATCAGCAAATCGTGTTTTGCTGAACTGCAGATTTTATAGGGATAGCACACCTAATAAACCCATTTGATTGGAATTAATTTAAGAGATTAACTTGCAGCAGTTTACAGAAATACCATCACAAAGCTTAAAAGCACTATTGGATTGGGGGGGTAATATCGTAAGTGTGACTCCGTCCATCCTCGATAAAGTGGACGAACCGCATGTCTCGGAGAGTTTTCGGTACTCTTGGTTTCTTTTGACCTCTTTTAACGAATTCATAGTTCCCACGTGATGGGATGCCACCACCACATCCGTGGTACCCTCTTTTCTTATATGACCATTCTACCCTCAAGAAAATAAAAAAGGTTGATTTTTTTTTTTGGTTGAAGTGAACAATTCTCAACACCAAAATCAACATGAAAGGCAGGACACAGGCACAATCCTCCTAAGAAAATGGTTGCTGGAAAGCACATTCATCTTAAGAAGTTGACTACCTGAACCAAATCATGAGGGACTTTAAAAAAAAACAAAAGAACATAAACCTAAAATTGGGTGATGCGATAAGTGTGGCCTTATTAAAACTGTCTTAAAAAGTCTTCTAAAATGGAGGAAAATTCGGTCAAGAAAAAAGAATATCACTGCATCACAACCAACAAAAAATCAACTCCTAAACTATAAAGGGTTTATTCTCTGTTAAACATTGGAAAAAAAAGGTTGATTTTAACAAATTGAAAACATTTATTCTGTATGATATAGAAATCCAATAACTTTTCTAATAATGTTTCTTCCCAATTTATCTTTATTGATCAAGATTCTTGCAAAACATTTTTAAAATTTTCGGGGGTGCATTTTTCATTTCTTACTTTTAATTGGTAAAATAAGTCGTTTTAGAAATTCAAATATACACTTGCTGTTACTAATCAATTAGCTCTTGATTTAGTGGTACTCTATTTGAAGTTTGAATCCCTTCCGCCCAAATTGATGAGAAAAAGTCATACAATTTTAACTATTAAAAAAATAAAAAATAAAAAAAACTCATATGCCGACTCAAAATTGTAGTAATGGGCATCACCATCTCCTTGTTGTTGAAGTCATGTAAGCTTTCAAATGGTCCCAACCAGTTTGCTTTATGCTTTTTATCTTTATCTGGGTATTAGTTTAGCGGTCCTTCAGGTTATGTTTGTGGTTCGAAATTTTTTGGGCCTAACAAGTTGCCTGCCTGCCTAGTGATAATGAACCATCTTAGTTGCCTTTAAAAACTAGGTTAATTAATTATGAGGAATATATTTTGCTATCAAACCGAGTAGTTTTCAGTTGGATGGCGATGGACTCGGCCGCATTAGGTAGTGCCCGAATGGCATGCGGATGAAAGGGATAGAATGAAAGCATACGTATACCCTATAACCCACGTCAAAGTGCCAAGCCAAGTGCTATATCGCACTCGCCCACTTCCAATTGGACTCAGTTTTTGGTGGAACATATAGGTGATGGCGGCTTGGAGGGGGCGTTTGACTTCGGCACTCTGGCGAGTGCTCTACGTCCGTCGAATATCTATCGAGTCTTAAGATTTTTTTGCCTAGAGTTGAATGGTAATGGAGTTCATGATTATGGGATGAGTGGAGTTGATAATTTTGCCATGAGTGGGCTAAGACATTATTGTTTATAGAAGATTATGAAAAATGCCAAAGTCTCTATACCGACTTGTAAGGCGTAATATATTGGATTGTTCTTTAATTTAATAAGTTCAATTCAATTATTTATGATTTAACAAATATTAATTAAGATATTAGTACGTACAGAATAACTATACATATTTAGAATTTATGCTTAGATTGAAGAACATACACACTGAAGTGTCTACCTCTCTTTGGTAACCTTACCTCTATTGGTTTGTTAACTTTGCTTAGATTTATATTAGGATAATGGATTGGGACGTTTCAAGCTTTTAAAATACTTCACCACTCTTAAATTATCCATTTCTTCATTGACATTCGCTTGATGCTTTCTTATATCGCCATGCATATACTACTTTCTTAATGCATACTCAAGTTTTCCTTTAAGATAAGTTGGTTAGAAGACAACCACAAAACCAAATTTTAGTACTATTGTCACCAATTTTTCGTAGTATTTTTTTCATTAGTGCAACACGTGATGGAGCCGCATTAGGCCTACTGACTCCAAGAATTTTTTTTCCCTTTCATTCCAATAATTTTGAGTGAGTATTCGATCATAATATTATGGAATTTCAATTTTGTGAAAAGAAGTAAGATATTTGATGAAACGTCTCTCAACTAAGAGAAGGCCAAAACACGCCCACCTACATTCAGTTTAATAAGCTTTTTTTGGTATGCCTCCACAATGACAAACTCTTGATCCAATTGTCACTTTACTTGTTTCAGTATACTGTTTCTTTTTGCGTACATGGGATGGGAGGAGAGATTCAATTCAACAATTCTCCTCTTCCCTCATCTTATTACAGTAAAAGAACAAAAAAGGAAAAAAAAATCATTACATGGTGGTTAAATGTGTAATAACATGTTCCTCACGAGGGCATAAATGTCCTGAGGCGGGAATGTGGGAATGTGGGAATGTGGTAAAGGCAGAACCTGAGGCGACGCAGTTGTAAACGGGGTTGGGTTTCAGCCGTTCCGCTTCTCCATCTGGCAAGGCGACTAGAAGAATTGAAACTCTTTTGCGCCTCCGTTACATGAATTAATTAATTAAAATATAGTATCTAAATTTTTCTGACATGTATCCCACGTCGGCTAGGCTTAGGTGGCTTAGGTGGCTGGCTTGGGTGGCTGCAGCCATCAACTTCACTACACTCCATTATTTGCAGAACAAAAACTAGGTGGCTTGTCCAAAAAAAAAGAACATGCACTCTCTTTTCAGACTATTCTAGAGCAGGACCGAAAAATAGATCTCATCTTATATTTTATATTATATTATATAAAAAAGAAAAATAAATTTAAATTCAAATTCCAATTTATGTGGCATAGCTCCTGACCTATTTTACTATAGTGAACATTGTTAACTTTATGTGCATGTAAATATATAGGTGGTATAGCTAACATTTTTCCTAAAACTTATAAACAAATTTAATAAATGAGAATGTCTATATGTTCAACTAACTTAACTTATTTTTTTATACATTAGCCGGTTGGCACGCGAATGCAATAACAAACAAGTAGATGTGAGTTAGGTTAGTTGGCGGATACAGTGATTCCGTCTTTTGATATTCGAGTTTGAATATCCTTTTTTGTAATTTAACAATTTGATTAGTTTTTTTAATTTAAAAAAAATATAAGAATGAAAGATAATCTCATTGAGCCCAATTTTTGATGCCCTCATATCTCATAGATAGCATAGGATATTTGAAAGAGAAGCAGACAGAATAGGACGTTTCATTCAAAATTGAAAGAAGGACTACTTGAGAATAGAAAGAAATGAACAAGAAAGCCAAATCTCTACTAATAATAGAGAGGTTAATTAATTAGTTACGCGAAAAAACCCAAAACACACTTGTCTATTTGTCTATTTGTCCATCCCCATCACCTGAAAAAGAAAGGAAGGAAAGTCCATCACAACTGTGCCCATCATTGGCTTGGCTTCAACTCAAACTCAAGCCACTCAGCCTCTCTCTCTCTCTCTCTCTCTCTCTGACATACTATTTCTCCTCAAAATCTTGCAGCAACTCTCTGAATCAGAGAACCCATCTTTTTCTCTTAACACTCTCTCTAGAATTCTCTCACACTTCAATTGCATGGGAATGAAGGCCAAGCCTCACCACCACCACCATTGCAATGGCAATGGCGGTGGGGGCGGAGGTGGAGGTGGGAACGGCAGCGAGAGCAGCAGCAGCACATCACCCAGCCCACCACCGTCACCCCGCCGACACTCCAGCACACTCTCCCACTGCCGCCGGAAGCTCCGGTCCAAACCCATCTCCGTCGTCGCCGGATTTCTTCTCCTCCGTCGATTCCTTCGGTTACTGGTGGTGCTGCCTCTGCTCTACGTCTCTGGGCTTATCATGTGTGTCGGCCCGTTCTCTGGTCTGATGGGCCATACCCCTCTTCCCGGTTCTGTGTACCGTAGTCACGAAATGTTTGAGCTGCTCTGGCCTCACATTCAGGCTGATAATTCCACCCCAATTGAGGTTTGGCTCCTTGGGTTTCTCTCCTTTTTTGTTTTGATGAATACCCTTTCTGTTGCTCTCTGTTTGTTTGGTTTCTGGGAAAATGCAGGAAAAGCGTCGTTCTCCATCAAAAGAGTAAAGCATGAAAAGTAAAAGCAATAAAATGTTTCGACTTCAGATTTTCATTTTGTAGCTAAAGGACAAAAACTTTACTTATACAAGACTATTGCAGCTTAAATCTGTGATTTCAAAATTTTTCCTAAAGTTTTCCGATCAAATAAACAGTAGGATCGTAGGACAGTTGCTTAGTTCTCGCTGTTCTTCTCTTTTTCCCAGTGTTTCTCTAAAGAAACGCTTGTACATCTGAATTATATGAACTTTCTGATATCTGAACGTGGAAGTTAGTTATGGGTAGAAGAATTTTATTTGAATTTGGTCTGGGGCATCTTTATTTTGAAAGCAAAAGGAGTTGATAGTTTATGAAAACGGGGAATTTGCAGATAGTCAAACTTTGATGTGGATAGGTTTAGATCCTAATTTTGCTTTCAAGTACTACTGCAATGGCCACTATCACTTGCTCAGTTATTTTGCCACTGTGCTCTGCTCCTCATTTGTTGCTGAATTTAACGTGCGGTGAAATTATTGCTATAATGCTATTAACCAAGATGATATGTTGTTTCTTGCTGTAGTTGTCTTCTGTGTGGAGATACAGAAGAAAGCTGAAAGAGCAGAAGCCATGCCCGCCTTCGACTGCTGGACTACAGTTAGGTATTTTCAAGACAGCACAATCTTGTATTAAGATGGCTGCTACAATTTTGACAAACTATTAAATTTACTTGTGGGAAATTGAAGGTTTGGTAGTTTTGGAATCAATGGTCGTAAATCTTTATCTGATAGTTTTTTCTTGGCACCTAATATATTCTCCATTGAATTTCAGAGTCCCCTGGCCCTAGTGTTTACTTGATTGTGGAGGCTAATGGTGGTCTTAACCAACAACGCTCTGCGGTATGCTAGTTGTCCTATTATTCTTATATTACTTCAATTTTCATTTGTTTTCTTTGAAAACTAGAGCATTAAGGCTACCAGATATCTATGGTATGTTTTTTGGTAACCTTACATATCTCCTATGTGCTGGAATATACAGTTTGTTCTTCCTACTAAATCATGTTTTTTCACAGATTTGCAATGCCGTGGCTCTTGCTGGACTCTTGAATGCAATTCTTGTTATTCCTAACTTTGAATTTCATAATGTTTGGAGGGATCCAAGGTAAAGGAACTATATTGTTAAAGTCCTGACTCTTAAAACTTAAAATAGTAGTTCTTTCAATGAAGAACACTGATTCAATACTGCATTATAGTTAAGCAAGCATGCCTCATTGATCTTGATAAGTGTGTATAACCATGTCTAACCAACTTCAATGTGTCCGGAGCTAAAATGGGGTTGTCAGGTTCATACGCAGTCGTCATCTAAATGACCAATAACATCTATTGAAAAGCCTGTCATGTGAGAGGAGAACTCAGAGCTTATAGACAGCATGAGGAGAATGATCTCTTTATAATCTTGCGTGAAATGATCTTGTGAAATTTCCTTATTGTGGTTTCAATTCAAATATAAAAAAAGTATCTTTTGTTTGGCAGCACTTTTGGTGATATATATGATGAAGATCATTTCATAGCCACCCTTGAAGGCCATGTTAAAGTGGTTAAAGAGCTACCGGAGATGGTATTGGAGAGATATGATCACAGCATCGCAAACATACCAACCCTTCGTGTCCAAGCTTGGGCTCCTGTGCGTTATTACAAAGGAGAAGTTTATCCTATCCTGCAGAGGCAGGGGTAGGTACTGAACTGTTTTTTTTTCCATTCTATATCAATTTTCCTTTTGGAAGTTAATTCTGTTGTTTTGCTTGCTTTTTGGTTTATGCAGGGTTATCCGCATAGCTCCATTTGCTAATAGATTAGCAATGAATGTCCCACCTTCTATTCAGCATTTAAGATGCCTTGCCAATTATGATGCATTGAAGTTCTCTTCTCCCATATCAAATTTGGCAAGGAAACTAGTTGAACGAATGACTGAGATGAGTTCAAGGACTGGTGGAAAGTATGTTTCGATCCACCTCCGTTTTGAGGAGGTAATGGAGCTTATTTTCTGTAAATTGTTAAAAGTTTTTGGTTCATCTTATGTTTAATGGTCAAGAAAATTAATCATGTTATCAACTGTCTTTCTTCTTCCTGCAGGACATGGTGGCATTCTCATGTTGTTTGTATGATGGGGGAGAGGCTGAAAATAGTGAAATGAATTCAATTCGACAAAAAGGATGGGGAGATAAGTTCAAACGAAAAGGCCGTGTAACTCTGCCTGGTCTCAATCGGATTGATGGAAAATGCCCACTAACCCCCTTGGAGGTAATCTACTTTGATAACTATTATTGCTTTTTAGACCTGTTACTTTGAATGTAAGGTGTTCCAGATAAACCTTTGGAGTTAATCTACTTTGATAACTTTTGTTGCTTTTTAGACCTGTAAAACTTTGAATGTAAGGTATTCCCAATAAACCTTTTTTTAAAGGAGAAAATGTGGTTATTTTATATTCTAATTTTGTTGTCATAATTCCACATGTATCTCGTACATTCTTGTAGGTTGGAATGATGCTGCGGGGTATGGGGTTTGATAATAGCACTTCAATTTATTTAGCCTCAGGAAAAATCTACTGGGCAGAGAAACATTTAGCCCCTCTGCTAAAGATGTTTCCCTATCTGCATACAAAGGAGTCTCTTGCAACCCCAGATGAGCTTGCTCCTTTTAAGGTACATATCTTACTAGCTTTTATTAACTGTGTGCCCAAGAGAGTATTTTGGAATTGGTGAAACAATCATTTTGAAATCTACCACCCTAAAAGTTTATCTACTCTGGCTCTACTTCTATCTTTGAAATTGTAAAGTTCTGCCTAGTTAAATTCATGATTTTAGTAATGGGTTGACAAATGCTATGAACTCTGTAGAAACCAAGCTGTACCGAAAATGAAATAGCCACTCCCATGTTGAATCCACGTACTTGCTCTAAATCTGGTTATCTCTTTTGCTAGGGATATTCTTCGAGATTGGCAGCTTTGGATTATACAGTATGCTTGTCTAGTGAGGTTTTTGTAACAACACAGGGTGGGAACTTCCCACATTTCCTAATGGGTCATCGGAGATTCCTTAATGGTGGACATGCCAAGACTATTATACCTGATAAGCGCAAGCTTGTTGTTTTACTGCATGACATGAGTATCAGGTATTGTGTAGGTGTAGTTTATGTAAAATAGTGTAGGTGTAGTTTCTGTAAAATAAAATACTTTCTGCTTGCAACACCCTGATTTTAAGATTTCAAGTTTATATATGCTAACAGTAGGCTTATATGCGAACTCTCTATATATTTGGTTTTGCAGCTGGAAAGATTTCAAACTTGAGATGGAAGCAATGCTCACGGAAAGTGACCGCAAGGGAAAGATAATACCTAGAGTGAAAAAATTCACCAAAAAATCTTCTGTATACAGCTACCCTTTGCCAGATTGTGGGTGTCTCCAAAAACACAATAGCACTGGGATTGACCCATCTGCCCATTCTTGATTTTCATGACAAGCTAGGAGATGAAAAAACAAACCTAATGCTTCAAAAGTTTCTTCTACCTGTGCCGTCATCAGACGCCATTTATATTGGGGCCTTGGCTCTTTTCTACTGTGGATTTTGAAGCGGCTCATTGCTCTAAAGCCTGTTGGGAAAATGTAGATAGTCCTCACAGCAGGTTTTCCAATTTTGGTTGCAGAAGGATTCCCTTATTTCATGTTATTCTTTTTTCCCTTTTTCGTATGGAGATGTCAGGAGCAGCCTCTGGCAATGTTGGGGCATTGCTCAACATTTGTCGTATATAGATTGGATATTTGACAGATAAGTTTTTAGCTAGATATGACATTCCAGCTCTGGTCAGATGGGGTTTAGTGGTTGATACGCTGGTTTTGCAGTTTGATTGTTTTTTGTTAGCCTTTAAGGCATTTCTGAATTCTGAGTACATAAATACTTCGTTCTTGCATGTTTGCGCATCGTTTTGTATCTTGGAAACAACTTTGATATAGCGAGTACAGTGGTTGCATTGTTTTCTTTAATCAACAAAGAGGAGGATTCGATTTTGGGACCTATTTCGATATTACAAGACCAAGAGTCAGCTTGATATGTGAAAAAATTTAGTGTACCAATTGAGATGACTTGTTCTTTCAACGTTGAAAAGAGAAATAACGCTAGATTAAGAAGCAGACGGTCATGTGCTATTTGTTACATATATATGTATATATATATTAACTTGGCCTTTATGCATGCCCGCCTCTAAGGTAAGGGTAAATATGACATTTTTGGTTTCATCTTTTGCTGTATTTTTTTAAAAAGAAATTTTAAAGTTGATAAACGACGAAACGATGATATCTGTCAGAATTCATTTGAAGCCTCCGTCAGCGGTGGCGTGGGTGCTTAAACTTGACCACGTGTTAGAAGCCCATGTAAGGCAAAGCAATGGGCCCTCGCTACAAACATGTAGGGCCCAGTCTCGCGGTGGGCACGTGCTTGTATTATTGGCGATGCACGAGCTCATATTCAATTGACCATGGAAATTGTGTATTTGAACCGCATAGCTCTAGCTTTGCGCCAATGCGGGCGAGTTCGCGCCTCGAATCACGGCAAATCATTTCACTGCCAATTGATCAAGCTCGGCGTTTCGAATGACGTGTTCCTTGCCAACAATCTGATTTCCATGTACGTTGGATTTCCTTGTTTAGAAGACGCACGGAAAGTGTTCGATGAAATGCCTGACAAGAACGTTGTTACATGGACCACAATGGTCTCTGGTTATACTAATTGTGGGAAACCTGAAAAGGCTGTGAGGCTATATACCGAGATGTTGGAGTCTGATTCAGAGACGCCCAATGGGTTCATGTACTCTGCGGTTCTTAAAGCTTGTGGCATGGCGGGTTACATCAGAACGGGTAAATTGATTCATGAGAGGATATCTAGTGATAGGTTGGAGTTTGACACTGTTTTGATGAATGCCCTTTTGGACATGTACGTAAAATGTGGGAGTTTGAGTGATGCTAAGAAAGTTTTTGATGACATGTCGAGTAAAAACACCACTTCGTGGAACACGATCATTTCAGGGTACACTAAGGCTGATTTGATAGATGAGGCAGTGAATTTGTTTCATCAAATGCAAGAGCCAAATGTTGTATCTTGGAACAGCATTATTGCTGGTTTCGCAATCAATGGAAGCCCACGTGCTTTTGAATTTATGTGTTTAATGCACCGAGAAGGCCTCAGACTCAATGGTTTTACTTTCCCGTGTGCTCTTAAAACCTGCGGTCGCCACGGTTTGCTAGCTTCTGGGAAACAGATTCACTGTTATGCCACAAAGTCAGGTTTTGAGTCTGACTGTTTTACTGTGTCAGCTCTGGTTGATATGTATTCAAATTGCAATGGACTGACTGAAGCCATAAAGCTGTTTGATCAGCACTCAAGGTGCAATGCTTCCATTTCTGATAGTTTGGCACTTTGGAATTCTATGCTTTCAGGATATGTCATTAACGAACACAATAGTGCAGCTTTGGATTTAGTTTCAAAAATCCATTGCTCCGGTGCATGCATGGATTCCTACACTTTCAGTGGTGCTTTAAAGGCTTGCATCAACTTACTCAACTTGAGACTTGGTCGTGAAGTGCATGGCTTGGTTGTCACCACAGGGTATGAGTTATATCATATTGTTGGAAGCATTCTTATAGATCTCTATGCAAGACTGGGGAACATTAAGGATGCATTAGGATTGTTTAACAGGCTTCCGAAAAAAGACACTGTAGCTTGGTCTGGTTTGATCGTAGGGTGTGCTACAAAGGGACTAAGCTGGCTATCCTTTTCACTGTTTCGGGATATGGTGTATTTCGATATTGAAGTAGATCAATTTGTCATTTCGTTTATTCTGAAAGTTTGTTCTAGTTTGACCTCTCTTGGAAGTGGCAAACAGGTTCATGCTTTCTGTGTTAAGAGTGGATATGAATCTGAGGAAGTTGTAGTAACATCCCTGCTTGATATGTACTCAAAATGTGGTGAAATTGAGGATGGGTTAGCTCTGTTTGATTCTTTGGAAGAAAGAGACACTGTATGTTGGACCGGGATAATTGTGGGGTGTGGGCAAAATGGAAGAGCAGATGAAGCAATTAGATTATTCCATCAGATGATAGAAGCAGGATTGAAGCCAAATGAAATTACATATCTAGGTGTTCTTTCTGCCTGTAGGCATGCTGGACTAGTTGAAGAGGCACGGACCATATTCAATTCCATGAAAATTGAACATGGAGTGGAACCTGGTTTAGAGCATTATTATTGCATGGTTGACATTCTCGGTCAAGCTGGATACTTTAAAGAGGCAGAACAGTTAATTGCTGAGATGCCATTTGAGCCTGACCCAATCATATGGAGAACATTGCTCGGGGCCTGTGGAACTCATAAAAACACTGAACTTGTTAATGTTATTGCTGATCACATTCTCACAACTTTACCAGAAGACCCTTCCACATATGTGACACTTTCAAATGTTTATGCAGAATTGGGAATGTGGAATGATTTAAGCAAGGTTAGAGCAGCTGTCAAGAAAGTGGGTGCAAAAGAAGCAGGAAGGAGCTGGATTGAAGTTTCAAGTTAAGAAACACTGCATTTTTAAATTGTATATGGTGCAGAAACTAACTTCCTTCGCATCCATATTTGGATGAACTATGACACAGATACCATTCTGAAGTTGAGTCCCTACACGAGCTTAATGACCGGATCATTTTATTACTGAAGACCTAACAAGAATCTCCGAAAACAGATGGCCCTTGGTGGCATAGTCCAAAGAGATGTTTTTTTTTAATGGTATGGTATGTCAAACCACTTCCTTAACTCTGTTTTAATTTTAAACCTACAAATCAATCTGATTTCTATTTCCTCTTTCTTGAGGTTGAAATTTGGATCTAGCCAAGCCATAAAAAATTTCCCCTCTTAATAGAAGAAAATGATAGAAGCAGACTAATTTACTTCTGTAGTTCAACTGTGCTTTTCATTTTGTACTTCTGCTGTCACTTGTCTATCATATTTGTTTTGTTTACTTATTGTTGTTTTCCTGTTTAATGCAGGTTTTGATACAGCTAACTGCATCATCTAAATGCACAGTTGCTCAGAAAGATCTCGGTACATAACCCTTATCTCTGGTCTATGCATAACTAATTTCCATTTTGTCATTGCTTCCTTCTTGCCATAAAAGGAAAGATACACATTCCTCTTGGTCTTCACCTAATCATAAGTGAAATATTTTTCTGTTATTGGAAGTAAATCATCTTTTCCTTCTATGGCAGAAGGGGGGAAAAAAGAGAGAAGCCATTTTAGCTGATCAGTTGTCAATTTTGCCTCTAGTCTTGCATGTGCCAATTGTTATCTTTCTGTCAAATAGCCTTTAACTACAAGTTGTTGCTCTTATCCCAATCCAGGAAGAGGTTGAAAGATAAGATGGTCCTGGAAATTAAACCGGGTAAGCTGGTCCAACCCAAATGAGCTTGACCCGACAGAATTGGAGCAACAAGAGGAACATGGGTGGGCTCCATCTGTTGCAGGCAGTGAGGTCCTCCATCTTCACTGTTGAATGCAGATAAAACAGGTATTTGCTTTGTAAAGCCTCCACCGTGCAGAAATGGCAGAGAACTCTTTGTCATTGCCCCCCTTCTCCGCCTGACCCTTTCTCTCTCCTCTTTATAAAGTGAGAGCATGAGCTTCCCTTTCCTCAAGCATGCCTTGGATTATTCCTTCTTTTTCAGTTTTTTTACTGTCATCAATGGCTCATAACATAAAGTTAATGCAGAAAAGCTACACAGATATTTACGTATAAAAAAAATTCATAATTTTCGCGCCGTTCTCTTTTTGGCGCCAAACTTTACCCCTTCCAAGTTCCAAGTGGTAAAGAAACTGATACCGTATGGTAAAATTATTCTGGTGCATTACTAATTACCAACTTATCTGTATATATATACGTCCATTGAAAATGTGCAACATGTCATTTTCTAAAACTATTAAAGCATTTTTTTTATAATTTTATTCTAAAAGGGGAAATTGAAGTTTTAATTCTGCTGAAAAAAAAGGTTATAATCTTGTATAAAAGATAAACGGAAGTATCATCAATTGAAGTGATGATACGCTATTGGTGAGAGCAGGTACCACAGTGGTGGCTTCCCCCTTCCCCCTGCTTGACACCAAGGTTCGAAACCCTAAGGGGTTTCTCTCCTCCCAATATGTAACCAAAAAAAAAAAATGATACGCTATCTGTGTTTAGAGGTTGGAAAGTAAATAAATTATTATTTTAATTATAAATATTATAAATAAATATCAAAAGTAGAGAGATGGGAGAGATCATGGAAACAAGTGGACTGAAAAAAAGGAAGAAATGGGATGAGGACAAAATCGAGCCATACCGTTGCATGCACCATTGTTGTTAGAACTTAGAACCTTCTAATCAAACACCAAGAAAATTCCAAACGATGAGACAATGAGTACAACAAAAGAGTCAAGAATTAGTAAAACTAGGGCGGGGCCCTCAAATCAAGAAGCCATGCGTAACCTTCTATCCTCATTGCTTTGCTCAGTAAAAACAAGACCAGAAGACATGAAATGACACAAGATTTGGAGGGTAGCTTCTGCCTTAGCACCCCGCAAGAGAATGCATAGAGCAGATTAGCATTTGAATTGAATTCATGGTGCAATGGGCAACATATTCTAAGAGCATCTCCACCTACAAGGGCTAAGTCTATGGTAAGGGCAAGCAAGGGCTGCCACTATTCACGTGAATAGTGTCAACCTTGCTATTTGTGGTTCCACCCATGAGGGCTAAGTCTAAGGCAATTACTATTCACTTAAATTTATTTTTTAATTTTTATATTTAAATAATTGATTTTGATAAGCTTTTCGAATAAGATTTTCAAATCCCAAGTGTTAAAATTTATCGTAAAATCCTCACCTAAAAATCAAGATAACATTTTTGAAATTAAATTGGTGTGGAAAGTGAATAATATTGGTAGGTATGTATAGAAAAAATTTCCAGAATTTTATGATATTTTTTTTAGCCAAAAATTGGACAACCGTTGGATTGTGCAAGATTTTTTGATCGGAGGCTCTAAGAGAAGCCACATGGCTTGTAACCATTGGGCAATGTGGGCTGGTGGGTCCAACAATAAAAAAAAATTTGAAAATCAGCTTCTGACATCAGCAGCCCGAGGGCAACAACCCAGGCAGGATTAGCCCGTGGGCTTGCCCAGGCTGGTGAGACCCATGCCTTGCCCGGGCTCATTGTTGCGCGCTGGAGGCAGGAATGGGCTACCAAGGGGGCCTTTTGCCCAGGTTTGGTGCAACGGTGGACATGCTCTAAATCTTATTTATTTTTAATGGTTAAATACTTTTTTGGTTGTTAGGTTTTACATGAAAATTCAATTTGATCACTGAAAAAAAAAATTTGCCAAATTGGTCATTGGGTTGAAATTGTGAGGTATAAGGAAAATTAAAAGCCAAATCAAATTAAAATGAAACCGACAACTTTCCAATATATTTTGATGCTCTATCACCTTGATTACGTCTCATTGCCATCGAAAGTCACAATACGGTTCTCACTCAATCAATTCAAGCTTCAATATAGCATCCAATTTGACCTCTCACAATTCCGATTTCAACCCAAGATTTCCTCTAATTCGTTAAAACCCTAATAGTACAATATATCCTAACTCGTAAAAAAATAAAAATAAAAGCTGCACTTTAAGGAAGTTAACGGAAGATAATAGAATGTCTATGAATTGTAAATTTTACGAAACACAGTGACCAAATTGAATTTTCAAGTATAATATAGTGACCAAAAAAATATTTAACCCATTTTTAATAATTAGAGTTGAAAGAGTTCTTGAGAGTGAATATCCATTTCTCGTCGAGTCTAATATCTAATACTAAAAAAGATTGTGTTACTTTTGACCTCTCAGTGTGTGAGCACATGAAAAATATGAGAACCTACTTGTATTTATGTTCCTTTTATTTTGTCTGTTTGTTTCCTTTCGCTTGGCCGTGAAAGCGCAAGCTTGTTCATTTCCTTTTGTTTGATGTAAAAGCTGCCTACCCTTCTTTAAGCTCATATCAAACTTTCAAGGCCAAATAACTTAGGAGGAGCCCTTAATAATGGCCTAAATTGGGAATTTGGGGCCATTAGGTTGGACTTGGACATTAAAGCTTGATGATTATTGTATTGTACTTCTGACTTGTAGTTTCTCAAGGAATTATTATTTTCTTCTTTCTTCCCTCACAACTTACATTGCAAGGGGAATGCAAATAGAAATCTAGATTAAAGAGAACAAAAAATTTACCTCCTTGGTAGGATTAAGATATACAAATTCCAAAACCCAGTTTTTACTTAATGTCACCTTAGTCATTAATGCATTAACAGTTACACAAATTTTTATGCAAATAATTTATCTAAACCAGCATGACTCCTTTGTCATTTAGCACCTGTCAGCTGGCACCAAGAACTTTAGGGTTCCTCGTTGACCCAACAAAAATGATCTAAACAATTCTACCAATCTATGTGCATGCACATCCTTCTAAGTTCTAAACTGATAGACTGATCATAGTGGATCACTTCACTCACTCCCCACAAAACACCAAATTTTAGAAGATATTCAAAAGATTATACGGATGAACAAATTACAATTTGATGCGTATGCATAAATTTTCCTTACATAAACAGCTAAACGAGGCAAATGTAGAATTAAGTCATAATCATCTTAGCAATATATAACATAGGTGTGGCCAAAAACTCATTAGAAAGTTTAGAAACCTCCATATATGACAACAAAACAAGGCAAAATAGCCTTGGGATTAAACACATACAACTCATCCAAATTAGAGTAGACTCCCACAGCTCCAGCCACAGAGTCATACTCTTCCATACCAATAGGTCCAATACCAATACCATCCTCCATGTTCTTCTTCACCCTCCCTGCAATCACACGACAAACCAGCATTGCCCTCTTGCCACTGTGCTCTGCAGCAACCACAGCCTTGTCATGAGCTCTTCCACTTGTTGCTGTTGTCAAAATGCCGTCTTCGATTAGGTCTCCAGAGAACTTATTGAACCCATTTTTTATTATGCTGCAGATATTGCAATGTGGAATTGAGTTGCAGAGATTGGAGGAGCCGTTTAGGCCTAGTGAGCACACAAATGTGGTGCTGTGGAACCTGAGGAGCTCATTGCCGTCTGCAATGCAGCGAGGGTGTTTCTTGGGGAGCTTGGTGGCTTTGGCTTTGATGGATTCTCTGTACTCTTCAAATTTGGAGATGGTCTTTTGGGTGTTGTGGACTTTGAGGATGCGGTCGATTTTACATATCGGGGTCTGTTTCTTTAGCCAGCTGGACTGGAATATGATCTCCACTATGTTCTTGCTTGTGTCTTCAGGACCCAGTTCAGAAACTGTGGATTTTGTGACAGAGATTAAAAAAGATTGTAACTTTGAGCATGGTTTTCTGAAATTTATTTGAAAAGACTGAAAATTTGAACATGGTTTTCTGTAAATTGTGTATTGATATTGGTAACATGTTTTGGAAATGATGCAGGAAGAGGAATGGTGCTCATGAACTCATTGTAACTAGCTAGTAACAGAAATTAATTCTGCATTGAAGTATGAGAGAGAGAGAGAGAGAGAGAGAGAGAGAGAGAGAGAGAGAGAGAGAGAGAGAGAGAGAAAGACAGGTTCTGAAACTGAAAGTTTATGGCTTCATAAGTCCTAGCTGATAATACTTATTATAAGCTCAGAGTGTAGAGATAAATTAATTTTTAATGTACCTTTTCTGTGATGAATAAAGACATTTAATTATTAAACGCAATAAAGGGTTTTCTCAGATCACATCATATGTGTGCATGACTCAAATTGTTGAGAATTGTGTGAGGTACCTGCATGCCTAACAGCCTGATGAAGCTCCAAGTTCTCAGCTTTCATGAAAATCTCACCACATTCAGGACATGAACAAATGCTGCCTCTCAGAGAAGGGTCTCTAGCAAAACCAAGAACAGGATCAACCACCATTCTGCACTCATAGCAGCCAGAGAATCTCCTGAAAGGCATTGCTCTAAAAGACCCAGCACCAACAGAAGAATTATTAGTAGATACTGCAGATAATGAAGAAGAAGAGGTAGAAACAACCCCATTGAGCTCATGCAGAGGAGCTTTCATGGATCTGCTTGAAGTTTCATTACTGTTACATGAACCCATTGAAGCCCTTTTTTTATGAACTTCAGGAGATCCTATTTCAGGCCTGTGCATGATTTTGGTGTTGTTACACAGTGAGCCAGAGCATCTCATTTTCTTGCTTTTCTTGGCAGCATTACTTTCCTCCATGGCTTGCTCATGCTGTTGTTGTTGTTGCAGTAGCTTCTGTTTGCGCTCTTGTTGTGGCTGAAGTGGTTGGAGATGTTTACAGGTCAATAAGCCTCTTACAACAGACCAATAGGGTGGCTTCTCTGTCTTTTGGGGCTTCTGGTTCTGGTTTTGGTTCTGTTTCTGAGCCTTTTGGTGTATTTGCTTGGTGGGTTTTCTTTGGGTTTTGAGTTTAGAGGTAGCCATGGCTGAAGAAGACATCTAATTTGTGATGTTTGAGCTGAATAAAATGGTGGTTTATGGTTTTAGTTTCAGAATTGCAGATAGGGTTCTTTCAGAGACATGAGCTGAGACAGACAGCTGGGTGGGGTTGCAAAGGAGCTTCCTTTGCTTGCTTTTGTAGAAAGCTTTTTCTAGATTAGGGTTCTGTGGGGCTTTTCTTGTTGTGTGTACAGAAGTTGATTTATAAATAGATAAGTGATTGATCTGTGTAAAGATATTGTTATTTGTTCACGATGGGGGAGCGATGCTTGGATGGCAAGAGAAGACAAAACTATGGGTTGCACATATTTAATATATCTCTTATTACGAGTGAGTCAGTGACAAAAAAGAAACATAGCTTAGGATGAAGATTCAAAACTTAAAATCTTATATGATTCAAAAAAACCCTTCAAATCTCATACATGATTATCAATTGAAACATATTGGTATTACTACATTCAAAAACTAACAAAAAGTGGAAGGAGTTCTACATATTTTTATGGTAGTTGTGTTTCTTTTACTATTAAGAAATAAAAACCATTCAAACAACATGATCTGTTTTTCAAATGGCATTAGTGTGATGTTAACCATTTGTTATATAAACTACAAATAAAACTAATGATTTTTTATTTATTTATATACATGCGATACTGGAAGAGGGGATAATTGAATTTAGGACCTCATGTGCAGAAATAAACGTTCTTAACTACTTAAACTACAAACCCCAATTTAAAACTAATGAATTTTAGTGTGAAACAAGAGAAATCAATTGAGACCAATGTAAAACTAATGGCATTTTACATGATTCATTCAAATAATTTTCTATAGGATTTAATTAATGTGTCCTCTCACCCACACACAATGCATGGCTCTCGCATAAATATGACAATCCTTCCACATTATTGATTGGTTTTAAAACACTTAGAATAATATATTGCAAGCAGAGCAACCAACCGGGGCTCGGTTTCAGAAACCCAACAGCAATTTATGGCGAGGCAGAGGTTGCCGACAGAAACTTCAAGCTAGGCTTTGGTTCCATCCTAAGCCCAAGGGAAGACTTTTTTTTGGGCTAAACACAGCGCATAATAAGGTAAGCAAACACACACTAATTAGATAATAATTATAGTGCTGTACCTCTCTTCTGGGGAAAAGCTGCTTCATTTTGATTCCTTTTGCTCCCAAAATCATGCAATGCCATATGGTGTTGGAATAAAGTTGTGTACTTTAATAAGCAATCCATTCCACCCAACAAGTTGTTCATCTTTAATTAAATGTTTGATTGTTGCTTTTCATATCCCTAAGCTTTAACACCAAGGGATGGCAAGCTTTGCTTGGTAACCGTTGCTAAGTACAAAGTATGGAGTATGAGAATCACAGAGTTAACAATTCGAAAATTTGTACTGTTAAGAAAGAGGAGGAATAACAATTCAAATTTGATTTGGACCTCCTTTTCTAATGCTGTATTTAAAACATGTAATAGTTTTAAGAAGTGGGGAAATGATAGAGCAATTCAGGGTGTGAATGTTATGAGCATCTCACTGGAAGTCTAGGACGAAAGAGTTTAAAAGGGTTTCTTCATCTATTGCTAAATTAATTTTTAGTTAGATGATCACATTCCATTCCAACTGTGAAAATTGAAAGTTGAACCTTTGATAGCCTGCTTGGTAGCAAATTGTCAGTCTACTTCTTAACTAGATATGAAGCGATTTTATGACTCGACACCGCTAAAGATCACCAAAATTTATAAGTTATCAACCATTGGAGTCGTAACAAGTTTGTCCCTCACAGTCGCTTGAAAAAAAGGACCTCATGTGATACCATGAAGGTTCAAATTTGAGACCTCTAATTTTCAAGTCAATGTCCTTTTTTACTGGACTAGACTTCGTTGACAGAATATTATTTTCTTAAAAAATATAAAAAAAAATTGAAAAAAAAGAGAGCGACTACCCCCATGTGGGCCCAACCTCTGTGGAACCCATGTCAATATGGCGGCGTCCAAATACCACCACTCTTATTTGGCCCAAAAACATTGGCCATGGGTCATAGGTAGCCCAATTGTGTTGTTGTCTTCTTCAATCATTTGGGTGTACGGATTGGGGATGCTTGGGCTAACTTGGGGTTTTAGGTAAACAATAATTTCATGTCCAATGCGTATCGGCCCAAGAAAAAGCTCATGGGAAAGCAAGCAAGAGCGCCAACATGGAGCGTTTCAAATTCCCAGTGCTTCTCTCTCGCTCTGTGCTGTGTGGTTTCAGGTCCTCTCTCTCTCTCCTCATGGATATCAAAATCCCTCTGTTAAACCATAAATACCAAGTCCCCAGTTGAATATCTTCCCGCCATTCCTTCTTCTTTGGAAATTTCCCATTTTGCCCTCTTGTCCCCATAGAAATGCCGGTGAGATCCATCCATGGACGGGGAGGCTAACCTTCCAGTCCGACCCGCTGGGGCGAGGAATTTGATCCGTCCGACCAACCTGGATTCCACATCATCTTCTTCTTCGTCATTCTCTTCCTCCTCTTCGCCGCACTTACTCCGCAATGTTCAAGCCGCCTTCAAGCGCCACCGCCCTCTCGGTAGCTCTCTCTCTCCGTCTCTCAAAGTTAATGTAGTAACTAGGGTTTTCTTTGTGTAGTTGTTTTACTTTTGGGGTGAAATTGAGAATTCAAATTTGGGGTTTTCTCGTTAGGGTTCTACAGTGAGTGTACCTTCTACAAATTCAAGGCTTCTTCTTGAATTTGTAGTACTTGTGCCTTTACATTTTTCTGATAAATGCAAAGTTTGAGCTTTTGGTTTATCTAGTTGTTTAAGTACGTGCTGCCCTATTACAGCTTAGCTTATAGATTGTGGGCTTGATTTGGGGCAGCACTGAACTATGCTCTGGGTTTTGAAATAGATTAGAGTTTGAAATTTTGGATAAAACTTTTATAGTAAAGCATATGTCTTTAGAAGTAAAACTGATTGGCTTTGGTACTACTGACCCTTAAATGCTCAGTGATTATACTGAAAAAGCCGGCAGCCCATTTGCATCAAGTGCTCATTTATATGATTAAGATAGGATAAATTTTTTAGAGTTGCCTCTTTAGTTCTTTGAATGTGATGAGTGAACACACCCTTAATTCTTTAAGTGCTCATTTCGAGGAACATTCAGGTGTAATGCAGTCAAATAGCATAAAACCTCGGCGTATGGTGGTCCCCCAGCGAGGCGCATCCAAAAGTTCCGCTTCAAGTGTGGCCCCTCTGATTGACACCAAGAAGTCGAGAGAAGTAGCTTCAATGAGTGAGGGTAATGCTGCAAAGGATTCAACAGTGCAGCCAAACAACATGCCCACTGTTGTCAAGGAAACTCAAGAAGATGCATGTATTACACCATTTTCCAGTTCAGGCGCTAGCACTCAAACCTTTGATGAACACTTAAACCCATTTGATGGGCAGATAGATCAAATCAAACCTGGTGGTAAAGACAATAATCAGATGTGTCCCGTGAATTTCGAGTCTCAACAGATCGATGGTAAAAAAAAAGTCCAATTTTCAACGGGAAGCGTTGCCACTCCCCTGGGTAATATTTTTTACTTCTTTTAAATCTGCTGGGTTTTATTGCTGTGCTTTGGTGCTTCTTAGGCAGCTCTCTTTGTGACATTGCACAATTTTATGAATTATTGCTAATGCTGTGTACAGAATACTATTTTGAGGTTCTTTCTATGCCCCGAATATGTTTTCCTTCTCTCTTAACATGCAGGGGCCGATGATGATATGGCCACTGGATTGGAGTACTTATCATCTCATATGCGTTCACTTTCATTGACAGAAATGGAATGGGTTTCCAGCAGTCAAGCAGAGGCTTCGGCTGTTATCAATCATGACTCAAAGCATCAGAATATTCAGAACACAGAATCTGATATCAGTTCGAAGTCTGATGGTGGGATTTCTTCTTCATTGGCAAAGAGAACAACCGCCATTCATGATCAGTTGCATCAATTCAAGAACTTCTTAAGCCAGCCTATGACTCAATCCTCAGTTGTTGGGCCATCATGTGCTACGACAACGTCTGTCCATGCTACTTCAGCACCCATGCTTAGTTCGACAACTTTTTGTACTCATTTGAATAGTGGTTCTCATGTGGCAGTAGAACCTTCGGGGGATTTTAAAATAAATCCTCAACCAGTAACTGGGAAAATGATAAAGCCCTCAAATGCTTCTTTAAAGGACAGCAGTGGAATGTCAACTGACCATATAGCTGTTGCAGCCCAAACTTCTACCGCTGCAATTGATACCCAAATGCAAGTTAAGGAATATGACCTTTCTAAGGAGCAAAAAGGCTGCATGCTGAAGGAAACTAAGATTATGGAAAATCCTTCTCTTCTTGATGCTAAGTCAATTGAAGGGAAAAGGCTTACGGGTGATGTTACCAATCCACAATCTCAGGCTCCTATGCCCCAAAATTCGTGTACTGATATGAAGTTAGAGTCTTCCAAATCAGAAAAACAACAAAAGGCTGCAAGTGGTAAAGGTGCATCAGCCCCTCGTAAAAGGAATTACGATCCTGACTTGTTTTTTAAAGTTAATGGGAAGCTCTATCAAAGGCTCGGAAAAATAGGTAGCGGAGGGAGCAGTGAGGTTCACAAAGTCATATCATCAGACTGTACAATCTATGCACTTAAGAAAATCAAGCTCAAAGGACGTGATTACGCTACTGCTTTTGGCTTTTGTCAGGAAATTGAGTATTTGGATAGGCTGAAAGGAAAAAACCATATCATACAGCTTATAGACTACGAGGTACTTACTTTCAACCTAAAATCGTTCATATTATAACATGCAGATAATTTCATTTACAGCGTTGCTATATTATGTCTGGGTAAAACTATGCAATTCAAATTTTTGTATGCTGCGACAGAGACGAGGACCTAAGATGAAAATGAAGTCAGGTTGAAATCAACCATCAAATTATAGTGTCGGTTGTAGATTCTTGATCTCAAGATGGCCAAGATCATTATAAAGTCCAAATAATGGGTTTTCAAGGGAATGTTTCACAGGATACCTCAATGTAGCCAATTAAGTCATCTAACTCGGCCAACTAACTGGTTCTTAAGAGTGACAAATGCTTACAAGAGCATCTGTTGCTAAAATTGTGGTCAAGAAAGTGGAACAGACTCGGAAGGAGATTGAGGTGACACTAGATTTGGCTAAGTTAGTTAGGTGTCTGATTTGGTTCTCTGATCAAGCTAAAGAAAGTAGCTTCAAAGAAAATAACGGTAAAAATGATTAGGAATCTGCTCTTTTTCATCTAATCCAATGAATTTTGCACCATACATTCTTCTTGGAGCAAGGTCTTGTTTATTACATGTGATATTGATGACCATTTTCGGATGTACCGCATATGTAATTGACAGTTAGGAACCCAAGAGAGAGTTTATGCACCGACAGTTGGAAATCCTTTATGTAACAAGTATATTTCCTCATTTAAATATTCCTGTTAATTGTAAACTTCGGTATCATATAATAATTAGCATGAAGTTCATACAGAAGATGCTAGATTTATGCTAGAAAGTATACCTATATACCATGGACACAGGTTGAGGAGGCAGAGTTGTTTTCATACAAAAGATACACGACAAATCCTAGGACGATAGGAATCCACATACTGCGCTATGACTCAATTTTTATTGCATGTGGATTTTCTAATGTCTGAAAGTTGGATGATTGCAGGTTGTTAATTAAGATATATAATTCCTATACTTGTTATTGTTATTAGGTGACAGATAAGGCTTTGCTCCGTGAAGTCTTGAGTGGCTCCATGAGTAATAAAGATGGCAGAGTCAAGGATGACGGGTACATATACATGGTGCTTGAATATGGCGAAATTGATTTGGCTCACATGCTGTCCCAGCAGTGGAAGGAAATGGACGTCTCTAAAAAGACCATAGATGAGAACTGGCTACGATTCTACTGGCAGGTTTTTGAGCTACACACCTTGATATTTTGTTGGTAATTTCTTTGCAGTGCTTTGTGTTTGTTTTGGTACTCAAAAGGATGATTGTCTAAAAGGTTCACTTTTCGTCTAATGGTATTAGGTATTTGCTCGTTTTGTTTGTTTGGTGATATTGTTTTGGTGATATGACAGATATTGCTGCACCTAGTTTATTATTATTATAATAATATATATATATATATATATAGTGGTTACATAGAATCTGACATGTTGCCTGTATATAGTGGTTATTTTCCCCAAGCCATATATGTCCATACTTGACTATGTTCATAAGATGTAGTCAACTTAAGGAAACATGAAGTCATAATATCAAGTTGACCTCATTTTCAGTAGTGTGATGATTGTGGTGTTGGCTGCATACTAAAATTCCTAACCAAGAATGCTATTAAACTGACTGTGGGCAGATCCAGTTTCCATTATACATCCAAAAATCCTTTAAAACATTGGTTTCTACCACTTGTTAGTTCTCTAAAGTTGTATGAATCATACGCTTTTCTAATTTGGTTACTGCTTTTGCGGCTACCATTTATCTAAAGATATGTTCTAGCATTATGCTGGTGTGATTTTCCCAAAGTCTAAGGCCTAATTGTGTGCATGCACTTGTTAATTATTATTGTGGAATAGATTAATTTTGGTGATTATACTGAGTATGAAAAAGCTGAACCAATCTTGTGGAAAAATATGGCAGCAAATTCTTCTGGCGGTTAACACTATACACGAGGAACGAATTGTGCACTCTGACTTGAAGCCAGCTAATTTCCTTCTTGTCAAAGGCTCCCTAAAGCTAATTGATTTTGGGATTGCCAAAGCGATAATGAGTGATACAACCAACATCCAAAGGGATTCTCAGGTGATTATCACTTAGGCCTCCCTCTTTTACTGGAACTGCGATCTGTTATTATCTGGAAATACCAGTTAAGTAGAATGCATATTCCATTTTGCTTGCTGCCCTTTTGAGAAAATATATGTTTGCAGCATCTAGAAATATGGTTTCTCACTTTTTTTCATAATGGTAAATTGTACTGGCATGCCATATGCACCATGCTCTACATGATACGGCTCCTTAGTATGTTGGAGGTTACCGGATATGCATTATGTGTACTTTTGATTAGGTCTTCTGTTTCTACTCTTTCAGGTGGGTACACTTAGCTACATGTCTCCAGAAGCATTCATGTGCAACGAGAGTGATGCAGATGGAAACACTATCAAGTGTGGTCGGCCGTCAGACATCTGGTCCCTTGGTTGCATCCTTTATCAGATGGTATACGGGAGGACCCCATTTGCAGACTACAAGACCTTCTGGGCCAAGTTCAAAGTTATAACAGATCCCAACCATGAAATCACATATGCACCAGTCTCTAACCCCTGGCTTCTGGATCTTATGAAAAAGTGCCTTGCATGGGACCGCAATGAAAGGTGGCGGATTCCTCAGCTGCTTCAACACCCTTTCATTGTTCCCCCGGTTCCAAACCAGCCATCTTTGCCTCATGACGAAAACTGTAAACTGCTTCAACTTATTGCCCAAACTTGTGACAATGACTCTGAAGCTTCCAAGCTATGTTGTCAAATCCAGCAACTGCTTAAGGACCCTGTACCCTCAATAGGGTCTCAGTTAATAACATCGCGTGACCAACATTGTAAATTGCTCTCCCAAATGTCAAGGCTTTGCTTTCAGCTCCAGGAACATTTAATATCAAATTCAGAGGGATAATAGGTGAAGGTCCAAGCATTTTTTATCACAATTTCAGCCCCCATTTTTGTGAAACTCAGATGTCAGGTGGTATCCACTTTTGTCAGCTGATTTTGGCTCATAGGGAAATCATGCTCGGTTACCATCATTCTCTTCCATCTCTTTGTAATGATATGTAATATTCCTGCTGTGTTATTTTGTTTTGTTAAATCTAATAGAAAATCAGCTCGGAGTGATTGGCGTTTATGTTCTATATCCTTTCCTTGTACTGTATTAAGCAGAATGCATGGAAATATGTTTTTTTTTTTTTTTTTTTTTTTTTTGCAGCAAAATATATTTAACTTAAATTACTGAAATTTGGTGTCTCGTGCCAAGCTTTTAAAAACCAACTGGGGTGGCAACAAAATATGGCAATTACTTGCATTGTCATAGAAGAATGAGGTTAACCGTAAGGCCAGACATAAAGAATGAAATGTTGGTACTGTCAGAATACGGCAATTACTCATCCATACCACCAATGATATTATCACACGTGTAATTGTTATCATATTTCAATGGATGTTTAGTTGTTGGGTTAAGAAATGCAAGAAGTAAATGGAAGTTTGGTTCCATGTTCAATAAATTTGGTATCCCCTTTGATAATAATGCATAAATAAAGATTGATTGGATATACGAAGTAATAGCAGAAATGTACAACAAAAAATCCCAAAACAAGTAAGCTTGTTAACAAGAATCAGAATTTTCTATTCTTTTGATGAAAATTTATAAGAAGCTTCAGCGCGTGCTTCCTCCAACCTCACGAACAGGTCCTTCATGAAAGGTGTGCTTGTCCCATGAGTAATCCGCAGTATATCTACCGCCTTGGTCAGAGATTTGACAGCATTCTCTGTGTCTCCTAGTAACCTGTAACAACAAATCAACTTGTTTAAAGATTCAACAGAAAACTCCTACGACGATTTGACCAAAAATACTAACCATTCGAGCTTTCCACAGGTATAATATTGCAATCCAAGCAAAGGATGACAACCTGGATATACTCCTGTAGTGAAATAGAGTGAAATTCAGGACGTTAGCGGCAGTATAGTAAACAGATGTGCATTGATAATTTTCAATATACTTTCTCATAATTGGTTACGAGGTAAATGCAGTGTGCATGCCAAAGTAGAAGTTTAAACTTGAATGGAAGCGCCTTGTAAGAAGGAGATTTAATCTCACATGTGGAGCACGCACTGGCCTCAATTGACTCAATCCACAATATCCTAACACCTTAGTTTCCATTTCTTTTACCAAAACTCAGTTTATTCAGTTGTACCTAGAGACCGATTGATTGAGCAACGAGAACAAAAGTAATTTGATCTTTGAACTAAAATGAAAAATAACTTCTAACTGGAAGACACCAACTTGAACAGTTAAAAGTTAGGGAAAAAGAGGTAAAGGAATTAAATATCTCAAATGTGGAATAAAAAAGAAACAAGAAATACTTTGATACACTGGAATGGTCAGTCTACAATACGCTAGAGCTTCACTCCAGTCTTCCAGCTCCATCAAAATCTGAACACAATATGATTTCAACAAATTAAATGCATAATTTAAGTGAACATAAGGAATTAAAGTCACTGCATGTTACCTTACAGTGTTTGACGTTAGCATGAAATTAGAATAACCACAATTTACTACTACTTTACTGAGTGCCCAAAATCATTGATCTAAAAGTACTTTTAGTGTTAAGAATATAACGAACAGGCTAATGACAATTGCCAAAAAATTATACATAGACAATAAGAAACCATTTCCAATGCTCCGCAAACAGAACATGATATTCATTTCACTAGAAAGTAAAACAATACCAAACTTATCATACTTCAATTCATAGAGGCCAAACCCCACATCGTACCTTCCTAATTGGTACAATTTCAATTAAGTAAAACCATTTCATTTGTACCTGAAGGAGCCAAACAAGATCTGTTTTTGCATCAAATATAAAATAAAACAGAAACTTTAACAAACTTTTTCCAGAACCATTTGATGCATACATATGTATGTGTGTGTGTCTATATATTACAAATGAGTTCGACTTCATCACTACTTTCATTAGCATAATAGGAAAAGAACAAAAAATAAATAAACAAATAAGTTACCTTTAAAAGCTTCTCCCGAGTTTGCATCAAAGAGATTGAAAAAGGATGATATAGTTTCTTCTGCAGTGTCTCAATTGCCTTATACACAGATATAGCTTCCTGGTAATCTAAACTTAGTCAAAGATCAAATCATGGTGATGAAATTTGAATATAAAAAGACCACAAAAATATTATAAGTAATCATAACATCAGATTGCCCAAAAAGACGAGTAATTCTTTGCACAAAGAAATAAGGATACTGTGAGAAGGTGTAGATATAGTAGCCTTGTCTGACAATGATTTTAGTTCACTTGCTATCTGTTTTATCTCTTCTTTGCTCCTAACAAGTCCGCATTGGTGGCATATGAATCCATTGCCATCTGCTCATCAAATTGCAAATAATGAAATATAGTTGCTTTAGCTACCTAACTCACTCTTATTTTCTATTTTGTTTCACCTCACTGACTTGAATACAGGTAATTACATACCAGATTCACGAAGTAAAAAGCCAATGCATCCATTATCCTTGCATCGGTAGCCTTCCAGAACTGCACTTTCTTGGATATCATCGTACTTGCCCTTCAATACAAAATCAACTTCATTTTTAGTTTAAATAGGATAAGGTTCTACATATTCCGGTATCAAAAGACAAATGCTACATGACTCACAACGTCACATTCTTTAAAATAAATAAAAAAGTAAAAGTAAAAGTCATAAGTACCCCTTTACTGCAGCAGGGACATGTGCAAGTAAAAAGGTATTGTTCTTTTAGTGCCTTTTGCCGAGTCAGAGTGCTTCCAGCAGTTTCTATGTAACTTATCAACACCTTGAAAATGAATTTGACAAACAGAGAAGCCTTTAGATTTGACTTGTTGTCAAAATTCGTGCAATAACATGATACTAAGTAACTTTACTTCACATTAAAGAAAGTCAGATAACGTCTTGACAGCATATGAGAAAAAGGATCATAAATTTAAAATATTTTCATAAATAATTCACAAGATAGGGTTGAGTTCTGTGAATGCATTTAAAGATTATAAAAAACGTCATTGCAGAATAAATCTTCTCGATTATTAATGAAGCACTTTATAGAATGACCAAGGGACATGCAGCTCATTCCTTTAGTGTCTATTTGTCAAGCAATTTAAACTTATTAATTATCTCCCCTATGATCATACATTTCTGGATATTCAATGCATAAACCCTTGATGTAATCTCTTATTCTTAATTGGAAATCATAATGGCCAGCTAGTTAAAGAAGCATATACTACCTCAGCACCTTTGGGTATATGTTGCACAGCACGTACAACTGCTGACCTTCCCTCAAATAACAAAACAGAATTGGGCAAGCAGCTACAGAACCAGAACCATTTAGCAAACAAAAGCAAGAGGGTGATACTGAAAATACTTTTATCCACTAACATAGTTACCTGTGGTTAATAATGGAAATGACAGGATACAATCCTGTGCCCAGGGGTCTCAATTCACTGTCACAAATTGTGTGAGCATTGCATGCAAGCTGCATGGATCGAAGAGAATCAAAATTCCCAAAGATTCCACTAAAAAAATTTAAATTGCATTCTTATTAAGATAAACAACGTTTGAGTCCGTACATTAAAGGATCGAAAGAAGTCATGCAGAAAATAGCACTGTAACATATCATTACAAATTTGTAAGAACTTAGTTAGACACCAGATGATCGCATTGACTGAGTTGGGTACATGCCAAACTGACAATATAACTTAAACATCTCATTGTGCTATGCATAAATGCCTGAAGTACCTCCAACACAACGGTTTTACTGCCTAACATTTGCTATTGGGTACACCAGAATTACCACAACACTTACATGATAGTGAAGCTTCACTTGCATTACATGGTGCAAATTCAGTCATTTTTATTAATAAAACAGTAATAATTGAGAAAAACAGAACCGAAAAACTGTTTATAAAATCACACCTTGGAAAAGTTTTCTGCAATCTCTTTTATATTGATACCGGGCCACTGAAGTATCAAGCTGACAAGGTTCGCCATCTGAGCATACAGCACCAATTGCTTCTCATCAATCTCCGACAAATCTTTATTAAAAGAAACAAAAAAGAATTAATAAAACAGTAAACAGCTACAACAAGAAGGAAAGCTAAATTGGAAAAAGCCAAAAAGGATACGAGCAACTAACGCCTCCACCAACTTGTAGTTGTCCATGGCAGAAGCAGGAATGACCTGAAGGAAAAATCTAATAACGTTAATGTTTTATACCCAAAATTAAAAATTGAATCTTTCTGTGTAAATATGAAAATCTTTACCTTCTCAGTTTGCAATTTTGTGCGAAGGTAGAGTTTGATCATGAGACGAATAGAAGGCGTGACAGCCATTCTTCTCTCCTTGTGAAGCTTCGAGAGAGCTTCACATTCTAGACGATGCAGCTTCCATTCAGACTTCTGCATAATACAAAAACCCACGACTTCAACGAATGAGGAAACACAAGAACTCCATGAATGTAATCGAATTACCAATCCGAAGCCTAGGGCATACCTGGCATGAGTTACTGCAGTAGTACACAACCTGACAAGCCGAGCACTTCTTGAGATTACTTGATTCGAAACAAGCATCGCACCTTGATTCCGCTGAGGAGTTGTTTGGCACAGAAACGTACGGCTCTTGGCTTATTATCACCTCCCCTGCAATTCAAAACCTCCATTATCGCTGTTCTGAAGCAGCAGAGCTACACAGAGAGAGAGAGAGAGAGAGAGAGAGAGAGAGAGAGAGAGAGAGAGGTGAAGAGGAGACCTGGAGAGAAGTCACTGGAGGTAAAGAGGCAGCGGCCTTTCTCTGGAACATTCGAAACGGTTAAGCCTCGGTCCTCAAGAGCTCTCTGCAACTCTTCCATGATTGGCGTTCTGTCTGTGTTTGCTCGCTCTTCACCAACGACGACGTGACGGTGGCGAAGTTTTTTTGTGATGATTTTGAATGTTAGCAACTATATGATATGAGTTTTTTTTTTTTTTTTTTTTTTTTTTTTTTTTTTTTTTTTTTTTTTTGGGTTGGTTGTTTTCGTTTTTGGTTTTGTGGGGGTTAAGGTGGCGGGTCCTACATGAGAGGACGTGGCGTGCTACGAAGCCTTGTGTTATTCACCTGTCGTTCTTTTCCGTCTCCGAAGCTGAAACGTTTCAATTCTCACTGAAAGTTCTGGTCTTTTCAAGTTGAATGTCCTACGCCTTCACTAGGTCACTAGGGTTTTTCTCCACACTGAAGAAGGTCATTTTATCAACAAAGAAAGCGAATAGCAGCCTCTCTCTACCGGTTGCTGCTTCAGGTTAGTTTGGTCCCTACTGTTTGGTTACTGAGAAAATCCAGTAAAATCAGTTCGTTTCTGAATTTATCAATCTGTTTGCGAATTTCAGCTATGGATGGTATTTCAAGTTGCGCGTTGGTATTATGCGGAAAATCATCGGCAGAGAATGAAACTGCCAAAACGCTGAAGAACAGTGGCGCTCTGAAGCTCACTGACAACACTGAGCTTTCAATTCTTCTGCACTCTGAATCGGCAAAACCGATCAAGGAAGACGCTTTTGGGGTGGATTCGTTCATGAACTCTCTCTCAACCAATCGGTTCGGAAGGTTCCTCCTTTGGTCTCCACGCTTGCCTTCAACGCACGACGTCGTCTCCCAGTAAGTCTCATAAAGCCCTTAGCTTTGTTTGCCTTTCTGAAACGAAGTGATTGGATATTTAGCTTTTTCTCAGGAATTTCTGTGAGCTTCCGATCGGTGCGGTTTGTGTAGCTGATGTTCAGTACAAAGGGCGAGGTTTGAAATGCCAATTGGTGGTTGACATTGATTTTGCTGGTTTATTGTGTTATTGGGATTCAATTTATTCTCTGATCTTTTCCAGGCCGGTCGAAGAATGTGTGGGAATCTCCCAAGGGTTGCCTTCTTTTTTCCTTTACTTTGCAGATGGTGGATGGCCGAGTCGTGCCTCTTATACAATACGTGGTGTCTCTTGCTGTCACGGAGGCAATAAAGGATGTCTGTGATAAAAATGTGAGTGCATTTTTCTTGCTGAGTTTGATATAGAAAGAACCTTGTCAAATTCATATTGCAGTTAATAGCTGATGCTATAGTCTCCCGACTTTGATACACTTGTGTTAATACATCTTTTGAATTTCAGGGCTTGCCATATGTTGATGTTAAAATAAAATGGCCAAATGATCTTTATTTAAATGGCCTCAAAGTGGGAGGTATTTTATGCACCTCGACATTTAAATCGAAGCAGTTCAATGTCTCTGCTGGTAATTAGTCTCATCCTCTGGGTGCTGATTAGCATATCTGATTGGAAATAAGCATGGTTTCACATACCTACTGGCTGCTTTGATACTTTTCTATAGACCTTGTTCCATTCAAGTATTAGATGAATGCCTCCATCAACAACATTGGATAGTCAAGAACAAACTCTATGTTGCTAATGATGACACAGATATTTTTGCTTCTGTTCTTGCAGGTATAGGTTTGAATGTTGATAATGAGAAACCAACTACATGCTTGAATACATTTCTTAGAGAATTGTCTGTTACGACATACCAATTTAGAAGAGAAGATATTCTTGCCGCCTTCTTTGACAAATTTGAGAAATTTTATGAGCTTTTTATAAATCAAGGTAAAAAATCATCGCTTGTCCATTAACCATCAAATATGTCATATGATATATCAATAATGCTATTCCTTCATTTTGATTTTAATGCTTAATCTTACTGTTTTGCCTCAACTATGTATGTTGGTGCCTTGCTTTCTATTTTTTCTTTTATGTTTTATGCCTGTCATGAAAAAATATCTGAATAACTTTTCCAGCTAGAATCCCTATAAATGAACAATCTTTGAACTTGTTATATGAAATTTCTTTTGATCTCAAAATTTGAATCCTTGGTAATACCATGGCAGTTATATTTTGCCCTCCTTTTTAACAACTTTATTTGTTTCCTGCATAGATATATGGAAAAAGAAAGGGTAAATGTAATCATTTCTTTCTCCAAAAAAATATAAATTCTAATTGACCTTGTTTCCAGAGTTTCTGTTTCAGTAATAAGATTCTACTCTGAGCAGCAAGCACGATAGTGAATCCATTAAGGGCATGTGTTATGAAAAGTAATGCATGGTTCATTTAATGCAGGATTCCAATCTCTTGAGGAGCTATACTATCAGACATGGCTACACAGGTAACACACTGTCATGTAGATCTAGATTCTACTATGGATCTTTATGGTTGAATTCAAGTTAGTCATTTTTAGGCGTAGTCTTGTCTAGCTTCAAAAACCAAAGAAGCCTAGTGAAATGTAACACCAAATATTCTGTAAATTTTGTCTCACTTGGTACCCGTTAACCTTTTTTACTCAACCTACAGAAGTCGTCTTCCAACCTTTTATGATGGCCTCTTGATTTTCTTCTCATAAAGTATGGAAACCATTCTTGTCATTCTTGAAGTTAGTTTTGTTTTGATATCTGCAGCGGACAGAGGGTTATTGTGCAAGAAAAGAATGACGATCAAGTAGTGGAAAACGTGGTCACTGTTCAGGTTTGACAAACTAGAAAGTTGCTAGATGAGTTACTGACTCAGAGTTTGAATATTCATGCCTGTGTACATGAAAGAGTTTATACCCTTTCTTATGATATAAACCCAAGTAAATCTGTTATTTTATCCTTTCTGGTTCAGACAGGAATTTAAGGGTTAACTTTATGGATAAAATTTTGGGTCTTGTGTTCATAAAAGATATGTCCCTTTCCCTTGATATACAGAAGTTAAAGAACGTGTTCAGTAAAAATGTGTGAGAATCCCTTATTTGAATGAGAAGAAAAGATCTAAGCCTAAAATTCATAAACTAGGGGGAAACTACAACTACACCTTTTATGGTTGACTCTTTTTACATGGATAACCCTGTAATTTATTGTCCACTCTTATACCCCTTTTGGTTTCCTACGTTACCACCTATATCACTTGTGATTTACCCCATGTAGCCATTGAATAAAGGAAGAAGACAAGGATAAAATAGTCATTTGCATGCTTATTAGCAAAGTACAGAGTGTAAATGTCACAAATAAACCACAGGTTATACCCTTATAAATAGGGTCGACCATATGGGGTCTATATGTACTTCCTCCTAAATTTTACCATGAAATTCTCCCTTCTCGTAGATTTTATGACGAAATTCTCAGACAGTTTGAGGTATGATTGTATATATTGGTACTAGGTTTTCAGCATCTAAATGTTTAATTTGCAGGGTTTGACCTCATCAGGATATTTGTTAGCTATTGGTGATGACAACCAGATGTGTGAACTTCATCCTGATGGCAATAGGTAACTTTGCTAAATTGATATTATTATTTTTGTATGATATAATGATGTTTAATTAACTATGTAACTTACATAGGCAGTACCTGTACAAGTCTCTTTTTTTTTCTTTTTTTTTAATATAGTCCCATGGATGTTTTTAATAGTTCCACTGTGTAAGTAGGAAAAGTGAAGAACTACCAGAAGAACATTTGGTAAGCCATATGGTTTTTACATAAACTGAATAATTTCTTTTTTTTTTTTCCCATTCTCTCATAAATGTACTACAAATTTTTTATTATTTTTTTTTTTTTTTTTTTTTTTTTTTGGTTTGGGCCAATGTGATAGCACAATTTAGAGCCACCAAGATTTTCATGTTCAACCAAAACGAACACTGTTTGGTCAAGACTGCTTTAAATGTTTTGTGTCATATGGGATAGATACCTGGTAATAAGGTTCAAACTTTTTCATACGCCTTACTGGGACATCATAAGCACAACTTTTTGGGTTTGATGTGGTTTTCGCAACTCTTGAAAGTTAGATATGAAAGGAAGTATTTATAAGTTGGTAATAAGTGAATATAGTTATTGGAACTAGTACATAATTCTTGCATTATACCTGAAGGTAGCTCCACTGTTTTGCTCACTTATTACTGGATTTATATGACTATTAGTTAAATTTATGTCCTGATTTTGTCCTAGTCCCGTATCATATAATCTTTTTGTTTGAAGACGTGTCCTTAACTAAATTCTGGGCAGATCACTTGAGACATCAATTGGTGAGGATATGGAAATTGCAACATCACCTTTTTCTATCTGTTAATTTAAAATTGCACCCCTGCTTTAGTACATGTGTCAGGTTGCTTGGTCAAAAGGACAGCAACTTGGCATAATTGTTCTTTTTGAAATTCGGTTTTACCACCCAAAGTTGAAATAAGGGTTCTGGTCATGTCTCTTGTACTCCTTTTCTCTCCAAATACAGTCATTGTGAAAAACTCTTGCATGCATTTACCATCTTAAAAGTGACGCCTGGTTTTATTTCTCATTTACTGGCCCCTTAATCATTGCCTTCTATTTCTGCAATAAATCAGTATCTATGCATTCTTGGGTATAACTTTGGGCCAGAACTGGTAGGTGATCTTGACATGTCTTTCTTGTCAAACATTACATGCCTGTATTTCTGTCTCTTCCTCAACTTGATACATGTTAAAAAGAATAAATAAATAAGTATGTAAGTAATACTAAGTAAATATGCTAGAGGATCACTAAGAACATCCTGTTATATATGTCGCCCCTTTTCCCGATCAACTATGTATAGCTTCAGTGTGAAGCATCCCCTGCATTCCCTTTGAAAGATAAGTCTTTACAACTTTTGGCAATTTGATGCAGTGGTTTTACACCAACATGTTATATTTTCAGAAGTTTGTCAGGACATGTGCCTGCTATTCTTAACCTAAGTAATCATGATACTGTTTCTATTTCTCTATAGTTTTGACTTCTTCAAAGGATTGGTCAGACGAAAGCTTGACTGAAGAAGATGCCTTGGCACCCTGCATCAGTGGCTACAATCTTGCTCTATCATGTGCACCACTGAGAATGTTTTCTCTTTAGTTACTTTTTTTCTATTTTGTTTTTATTTATTGTTCTCAGCATAGATCTCGATCAAACTTAGATCTGTATTTATTTGCTTAATAATATCAGAAGTCATGGATTACAACCACTCTACTTTGTATACTTGCAAACAAGAAATGGATTGTGTTTTGTGTCATGATCAACCCAAGTAATCAATCATTTGTAGGAAATCTGGTCATCCTTGCCAGCTTTGAGGTGGTTTGAATAAGTAGTACTTTTTTTGTGGTTGGTTGGGGGAAAAACTATTATAGAATATTTTCTTATCCAATGGGTGTTTAAAAAATATGCTTAGTTTTGTTGGCTTTGCTAAGATCTGAAGGCCCCAACAATGACCCACTGGCCAGAATGCCTTGTTTGTAAGGCAGTTGATAGTGATGCAAACAGAACTCTTTGGTTGCCTATATCATTGTTAACTGGTTGAAAAACATGTAGGATAAAGATTCTCTTCCAAAAGAAGCCGACGCTCATTTTTGGTGCGTCCTGTGGTTGTAGGGTACATGCTGTCCCTCTTCACATTCTGAGTTTGAGTCTTTTGTTATAGGGACAGAGAAAAAGAAACCCACACCGCCCACATGCACCGCCTTCTACACTAAACAAAATGTCCTAAATTGAGGCCACAACCCTTTAGTGGGGGTCCAACAACATTACCACTGTCTCAGTTGGGAATCTGGTTAAGCCATCTTCTCCAAGCTTCAAAAGGTCACGTTCGACGTAAGATATCACCAGTCACGTTTTCGACTGGTGTCATGTCTCATGTTTCGGTACTCATAATAGAGGTACTGCACTTATTAAATTGGATAATTTCTCACATAAAAGAGAAAACGAATCCCATCATCAAGGGTGGGACTCTACGGGACTGGATCTCGGAACGAGAGCTAGATCCAGTCCTGGTCCACCCACGAAACAATGTCGTTGACCACATTTGAAAGCTTTTTGAGATTCATTTCCAAATTAGGTTCCGCCAATATACCAAACCCACGCATAAAGTTGCAGCTTTTGTCTCTCATTTCCAAATTATAGGATTGTCTTTGCATGAGTTGAAAAAGTTGGTATTCACATTACACTAGGACACATTCTAATATCTTGTGTTTGGTCGTGGTATGAGAACAGCAACTGTGTCGTTTTGGTGGTAGGGGCTCATGGGGTGCAGTCTAAAGAAGTATTTGTTTCTGTGTCGGTCTCTGCCGGTTGCTAAAGGTTGTGATAGACGTGCTTGGCAGTGGCTGAATTCCAGGCTTCTCTTTTTAATAGCTTCAGGTTTAAGACACTTCAACGTGATATAATACGTGTTTGGTTGAATTTGTGCCACAATAGTTCGATTCTCGTCCTTCTCCTTGTAATTCTCTCTCAAAATATTAACCCTAAATTATATATTGGAAGAAAAATAGGGCAAAGGATAAAATTCGTTCGGACAAAATCATTCAAAGTCAATTCAGATGAATCATTAAAGCCTTCAATTCCATAAGAATCTATCCATTTATCAACTTGGAGCGTAAGATTTTTATGGATTATAGAGTGAAAAAAGCAAGTGCATGAACCCTCCTAGTTATTAATCCTTGGCATGATAGTATGACAAAAGAAGAAAAATCCTTCACAATAATAAAAGTATAGCATGCCGTCAAAAAGAATAAGAGAAAAAGATGACTAGAGAGGAAGAAACGAACAGAAAGTTATACTAATCACACTCTTGGTGCTCAAAATTTGCAATCTTTCATTTAATGTTTCAATCAAGTCTTCTATTTAAGTCATGTTCAGAGACTTTTTGACAACCAAAAACGCTTTTAAAAAAGTTTCGGCAAAAATTCATAAATGTTTTGTTTATGGGTCATAGAAACGTTTTCCAGATAAATACTTCCAAGTGTTTTTCTAAATGAATTTTTAATAAATATTTCAACGTATTTATTATAAAAGTGTTTATGAACAAAAATGTATGGTTTTTTACGAAAGTAATTCCGAATTATGAAGCAATATAGTCTCTTATTTCACCGACGGTCACAATCCATTACAAAATATGCTAATTCGATGTGATTCAAGTTTAGGGATCGATGCAATGCAACTAGTCTTTCATTTTATGTGAAATAGCATCGAAATGTGCTCTAGCTATGAGTCTATGACTGAGAGAATGGCATTGTTTCCATTCGAGGGAAAAAAAAAATTAAAGGAAGCTCAACTCAAGTGAAATATAATATAAAAATATTAATAGTAACTCGAATGAAATCTGACTCGAACTTTAACGATAGAAAATGTTTTTTTACCCCTAAAAAGTAAACAATTATTCAAAAGAAGCACTAATAACTCGTAGCTGGAGATCAGTCAAAGATCCACTGAATTATCATCACATGGCAATATGGCTGGTGGACCATGGTGGTTTAGAGACTTAGGGCTCTGTCTTATAGTCATTAAGTCGACGAGTTCATCATTCTCTGTTAGGATATAAATCAATCATGATCTATATATTCTATGTTAGGATATCAATCACAATCATAATCTATATATCCGATTAGATCATGTTTCTATTACATATGAATCCATCCAACCATCTTTTCTTTCTTTCTTGTTTTCTTGTATCTTGCTTTTGATTGTTTGGTGTTCCTTTGTGGGCTGTGACATCTAAATCTTCACCCTTTTTTAGTCGAAAAAGATTTTCCCTGAGTTAGAAATTGGTTGGCAAATGATTGGGTTTTAGTCAAAAAGAAGGCATGCTTAGTGGCACTGATGATGGAGGAGATCCAAAGATGAGGTTTGCTTGCATTGCAATGCTGCATAGAGAAGAGAGGACGTTGGGAAATTATTGCTGTTTACATATGTTTGGAACTTTTGGGGCATGTGATATATAATTTTGCATAAAATTACATCAATTCTAGAAGAGAGACTTTCATGCAAAGAAAATATCATTTTTTGCTATTCCGATCAATAGCCCAATGACACGCTGAATAACTTTTCCACATATTCTTTGCATTATTAGCCGAAGATAGCAAATTAGTGTTATCCATGTTACAATAAAGTTTTTTCTGCAATTCTAGAGTTCTTTCTAAACAAGTAGATGTAAATAGTAGACGTGGCTCTCTTTAGACAACTAATTATGTGCCGATCATCACTTTCTTCATCGTTTGTATTAATATTGTAAAATAAATCGCATGCTTTGCTAGCTCTTAGTGGTATAGCTTTATAGGATCGGGTTAGGTTTTTCTTTATCTCCTAGTTGGACCTTAAACTTATAAAGAAACTCAATATAATTTAGTCACACTTCAGGGTAGGTTCGATCCTTAATTAGTTGAGGTAATGTAATTGGCTTAGGGTAGGTTAAAATCTGTTCTTTTATTTAAAGAAAAAAATAAAAGAAAAGGCTATTATTTATTTAGTTTATATAAGAACCAAACATATGCTTTTATAAAGTTCT